CCCCCCCCCCCCCGGGGGCGGGGGGGGGGGGGGGTGGGGGGGGGGGGGGGGGGGGGGGGGGGGGGGGGGGGGGGGGGGGGGGGGGGGCGTGTGAGAGGCGGAGAGACTATTAAAAGAATAAGCGGTTTTTCTTTCATGTACGTCCTCCATATTTACAATGTAGGTCGTGGCTTTGTAGAGCCACGGCTCAACTCGATGTGAATGCGGCCTTTGTTGACAAGGAACTTGTGTGTTTGCGCACATTGGCAATAGGCCTATAATGACCCCATTCTGTCACATTTTTATCAACACCACATGAACTATTGGACATTAAGAACGCAGCTAGCTGATCAATCTTGTGTAATAGCCCGTTACCAATGTGGAGTAATAAAAGCGCCGTTAAAACCAGCGTTGACTGTATACGCCAGAACACTATAGTAGTCACAATGTTAGCATTCACGGCAAGGGGGCTAATATGGGTCCGCATATGGCTGAAGAACGTCCTGGCCCACCTGTGTTACAAGATATTTGGGCTGAAGCTCTGTCCGGTCAGCCAGGACAGTATTCTGGACTCTGGTCACTACATTAACGGGAAAGACACGGGGTGGATTGAACCCTTCACTCTACTGATTAGGAGTTATAGGGAGACAGACACCGTTACAGCACATGGAAGGCAGACCTTCGTCGATGGTATGAAGTTCAAGTTGAACGTGCGAGCCAAAGTGAAGAGGGAACTTTCGAATAAAGCTGAATTATTTGCCTCCAAGGTACTGCCTCTTGGGATAAACCCTCCTTAATTCATGCTAGTAGTTTACCACGCTCATTAAGGGTGGGGGCTTACATTTTGGTCAGACAAAATTAGCTGGTGAACGAAAGCGATCGACCTCAATTTTAGCACAATTTTTTCAAAATGAAAAAAAAAGATTATATTGGTGACATTGGTTGCTGGTGTGCAGAAATTTACATGTGACCCAGGGCAACCNTCCTTAATCCATGCTAGTAGTTTATGTAATTAACCACGCTCATTAGGGGTGGGGTTTACATATTGGTCAGACAAAATTAGCTGGTGAACGAACGCGACCGACCTCAATTTTCGCACAATTTTTTCAAATGAAAAAAAAAAAAAGATTACATTGGTGACATTGGTTGCTGGTGTGCAGAAATTTACATGTGACTCAGGGCAACATTGATACCGTTAACTGACTTTGTGCTTTGAAATTGCCGACACTTAACTAGACCTTTTTTCTACCCCCTAAAAGAGAGGAAAAATCTGACCGACCCTAAATTTTAGCGGTTTTAATTGCTTCTTAGTCTAAGAATTGTTTAATTGCTTCTAGTATGATAGACGTCATATATTACAAAAGATGAATAACTTAAGTCGACCAACCCGTTTTACAGAGAGCCGCCGCTAGTTAAGAAATTTATCTGTTTTGTCTGACCTTCAGATAGGCCTCTTCGACTGCGATAAGCTCACCGCAGGAAACGATATATATGCAGGGGCTGTTGGGACAAATATTGACAATATCGACAATTTGTGCCGTGAAGGGCCTTTTTCTGATCGACTGTAATTAACTGGGTGATGTTGACATTTTATTTTTCAGTCACTGATATAATGAAGATTTCATTGTGAAAGTTTCAGATAACTGAAATTCAAAACGTAAAACTAATTTGAAAGGTGGGCCTTAATTGTCACGTCACGTGGGATGTTCTTTACAACCCATATTGAACCCCTACCCCAACCCCAAATTAGTGAGCGCGTCTTATTGCTTTCATTTTGCTAGATTCCAGTGAGGAAACCAGTGTTCGTGCTGGGAGTGATGCGATCGGGAACAACATTCCTGCATGGTCTACTTGCTCAGGACCCAGCTTTCCGCCCTCCTCTGCTATACGAGCTGCTGGACCCGGTACCCCCGCAGACAGGAGCCGGAACAAAGGACGACCCGCGCATTGCAATGGGCACTGCATTGACACGTTAGTATAGTGTATCTTGGACTGGGTTCCCATTAACCCGTCGTACTAGCTGGATCGAATTTTTGTTTAGAACGGTGCTCTGTTTAAAAGCGGTCGCCATGTAGTAACTGTAGTGAGGTCAAGCTACACTGGAAATCTATAGTAAGGTCCATCTGTTTCACTTACTATATATATATATATATATATATATATATGGTATTTCAAACCCTTGACCTCCTTTTCTTATATTATATCCGATATTATTTTGAATACAATGTATCTTGAAAGGTTGTCTGGGCCTAACAAACTTTCAAAACCCCGGGCGAGCCCTTATAATATCATTTCAGTCACTTTCAATAAAACATCCATGCGTGCTCTCGTTCAAGAAGCTACCAAATCTGCAAAAGATGTTCATAAGAAAATTATGTCACTTCTACATGTTATAGGTGCCATAAATATAGCTGATCCCGATTTCTCCGTAAAACATGAAATTGGTGCTGAACTTCCACACGAGTGTTTCCACTTGCTGGCGGCAATGCGGTTTATTGACAAGAAGGAGTTCCTCCACGGTTCCAACATCAGTGCCTATCAGGAGTGGTGGAAGACAGCCTTGACTGGGGACTACATGACTGCAGTGTATAGAGAGTACAGGGCGGTACTGCAGCTTATGGCTTCCAAAGATGAAGGTTGGGCTACAGAACAAGATTGAGTTACTATTTATACAGACTTGACATTTTATATGGAATATTTTCTCCAAATCATAATTCATCAGTTTTTCCCTATTTTGCTGACTGATAAATGAAAATAAGGATTAAAATCGTATTTTAAAAACTTTTGATAATCTGTTCGATGTCATTGTGACATCAGTTCATTAATTGAATTTGCCAGTGAAGCAAACAAAAATACATTGCCTATTTTAAGTCATACGACAACCATTGAAAGCGATATTTTGGATCTCCATATTTTCCAAATTATCGTCTTTAAAAGAGTTACACGCCCCACAAAGGCCCCGCATGTCAGTGTGTAGTCACAGCAACGGTCGCTGTTACTCCGGACTTCATATTGCTGCTACCAGAGCTTTCAAGCGGCAAGGCATTCCTTAGGATAGGTTTTTAGAGATTAATCTGGAATAAAATTCCAGGCGACGGTTAAAACTTCTCCAATTTGGTTCATTTTTGTTGTAGGGCATGCAGGCCGTTGATTCGACGAGAAATGACCTACCCACATGTTGTCTATGTGGTTCAAATATGGCGATTTTGATGACCAAGGTAGCTGCTCATTCCCTTGGTTCATTAAGTTATCTGCTATAAAAAGTGCTATGTGTGAACCGGCAATCTCACCGTGCAACCTAAAATTGTTCCTAAGGTGTCCCCTATCAAATGATGGTCAAGTGGTTCCCAGAGTATTCCTTTATTTGATCTGGTTCAGGTTTTCATCGATGACTTCCATTAGTGTTGTGGCACCAATGTGTTATCCACTCCAAATAGTGATGCTGTCAATGACCCTAGTCACTTACCCAATTCATTAGAGAAACAGACTACGCTGTTTTGCTGTTTACAGTGGCTTCTTTAAAGGTCGCCTGATATCCTAACCTGCTGAAACCATTTTGGTGTTCGCTAAGAGCCTTTTGGTGACAATTTGCCCCTCATTCAAAACGGACTGGGTGGTTTTGGTTTAATTGTAGGAGAATATCCTGAAGGACAGCGAGTCCTGTACCCTGGTGGTAAGATGTCGATACATTGGGCGTGGTCTCTGTGTAGGTGCATCAGTCTGGGTATAACTCAATAAAACTATGCAGACCATTCCGTTTGACACAATAATCTGTCTGGCAATATCTGTCTTTCTCGCGCCATTCTGGCACAGCTTAACAATTTTATAAAACACTGCTTAACTCATTATACGCTCTGAAAAATCGACCGCTTGCATGCAAAATTTCAAATTCTTCGATACAGTAGTTGCCGACATATGGATACTTTTTTGACAGAAGCATGCTTCATCAAAGCCAAGCTTTGACCAGCCCAAAGGAGCACTAGCCAATTAAATCAATGCATATTACAGAATGCAACAGTGCAACAGACTTGGTAGTCACTTAATTGGTAACGACACACCTGGCTTCATACTTCTCGAGTCAGATATCTTATGTGAGATCTGAGTTTTTTGAAAAAAGAACTCATTTTTACCTAGGTAAAACTGATATATTCCATATTAAATGCCAAGTCTGTATATAATGTCTCAACAGGCAATGTGATATATATATATATATATATATATATATATATATATATATATATATATATATATATATATATATATACAGGGTATATATATGCAACACGATTATATTAACTTCTTTTAAAACGTAACGGAGTTTAATAATAATAAATGTTGTTGTTAATTTGTTATTTTCGACTCCCTAACTTGTTTTCGCTTTTTTTTTTTAGCTCCTCGGCCATTTCTTCTAAAGGACCATATTCATTGCCTGTTTATGGATTCAGTATTAGAGGTATTTCCCGACGCAAGTTTCATTTATCTTGTTCGCAACCCAGTAGATCTGGTAAGTTTTTACAGCTGAAGGATGAAGTTCATGTACCAATATTAAAATAAAGCGTGTTCAACTTAGCAAAGGGCTACAACTTAGGGCGTCATGTCTTGAGATTTACATGTCTGTACCTACCGCGCGTTGGAAGTGGGAGTTTAAGGTACGTCTCTGCGCGCGTCTCTTAATGTGTTTTAACCGTTTTGTACTTCAGGTCAGTTCCTGGTGTTCAGTCATGGAATCGCTGGCGACATTGTCCATTAAACCTGGGACAATAAGTCCACGCGAAAGAGGTGAACGTGCTCTCAACGACCTCTCTTACTTTGCCTCTACCTTCGTCGACTTCAGGAAGAAATGCGACGCCTCTGGCACATCGCTGCGCTGCATGGATGTCTTACAAAGCGATCTCGTCAAAGATCCCATGAAGGTTGTAAAAGACATATACGCGTTCCTTGGTGTTCCACTTACATATGAAGCTGAAGATAAAATGGCGCTGTTTATGGATGAGCGACGAAAGTTTAGGGCGAGAGCAAAACATATCCATCGACCGGAAGATTTTGGAATTACAAAGGACATGGTTCTGGATAAATTTCAAGATTATGTGGAATATTTTGGCCTTCAAATTTGAGTCTCTCTTTTGTTTTAAATTTAAATCAGTGACTAGAAAGAGACGTTGGAGAAAACATGAAATGGAAGAGGGACAGTTGAAAATATGGAAATGTATAAATATGAAAATATTGAATATATTTGAATATATGGCTTACATATAACATTACAAATCGCCACATTAACTCCTCAACTAAGGCGACACTTTGACCTGTAATTAACATAACCTGACCATAACAAATAACCATAACATTCTTGTCCGTCATTGGATGCAAAATTAGAAGCAATAAAATTTACGCACGTACGCAATAGTTGACGTCTGACTTGATGACGTTCAGTTACATGATATATAATATGAAACTTGCACAATAATTCTGCCTTGTGAAAGTTTCCCAGAGAACAACTTCACAATGTTTACATTTAGAAAGGGGTCTCAAGCGAGAAAAGCATTTTGCGTCTTTTTTTACGAATTTTCACTGACAGATTTACATCCCATGACTGTAATTTTACGGATTGATGAAAAACTATTTCATTTACAATAGTGCACAGTCCCGAGGAAATGAGATACGGACGCGAAGCCTTTCTCCTCCAGAATGTAAATAGAGAATGCAATGCGCAAAACATTCTTGTCGACAATTTTGAGAGCGCTTGTGCTCATTGAGACTTACTGCTGCATCAAAGTTGGATTTTTGACGTTGACTTCAGCAACCCTTTTAAAAATGTTAACTGCAGGGGGAACTATTATATGCAACAATACCACATCGTTATTTCATACGCATCTTAAAATAACTATGAAATAGAAACACGTTTGATGATGCACATTCTTCCATGACAATCGTTGAGACAGTGGCGGATTTAGAGGGGGTGGGGGTGGGGGTCCTGACCCTCGGTTTATGAAAAATATATCACACCAATATTACCCTCTTGATATAAGAATTTTAACTACAGGGTTACCACTTAATATGGAATATTAATTTTTGGCGAGTAAATTTTCTACAAAATATTAAATTTCTCTCTAACTACTTTAAATCCAAAGCTGAGGTGTCACTCCATGTGTAGCCAGGTGTGTTACCTAATTACCACACAACTCTCGAAACAATTGATGCATGCAGTTGCATGTTCTGTGGTCAGAAATGTGAGGGGTGGTCTTTTCGGCAATTTCTGCCCTTGTATAAAAACGCATGGGTTTGGTCAATCTTTGGAGTGTGTTTAGAGAAGCAACAGAGGGATCGCTCTGAAACTTGACAGGTACCTTAGTGAAGATATGGTTCGACAGCTAAGCAACGCAGCTTACTATGGGATTCTTGCTCTCAGAGAAAATGGCCAGAAACGGACAGCCATTGCAAGGTAATTCAACATTTATCAGGAACCGTTAGGAAAATCCTCCAAAGAAATACTGCAACAGGGGCACCTACTCCAATACCTCGACCAGGGTGTCCGCGTTTCACACCAAGAAGACAGGATCGCCTTCTCCTTAGAGGACGCCGTGCAGGTCGTACAAAGACAACCAGTGTCCTCAGAAAAGAGTCGCAGAATGTCATTCAAACGCCCGTTTCAAGGTCCCTCGTGAACAAGAGATTACTGAAAGCCGGTTATTTTGCACAAAGGCCAGTAGGGAAACCACTGTTAACAGCAGGTCATAAACAGCGACGTCTGCAATGGGTTTGGGACCACGTGCGTTTGCAGCCAAAACACTGAAATCACGTCGTTTTCAGTGATGAGGCCAGATATAGATTTTTTAGGGTTGATGGTCGAATCCGTGTCCACCGACGTGTACGAGGGGCATAAAACGATGATTGTGTACTGCCTAGGGTGCAAGCAGGGGATGGTAACGTCTCTGTTTGGGGAGCATTTCATGTCGGTGCCCAGAACCAGTTGGTTTTTCTAGGAGGCAACCTCATCCAGGATTCCTACAGAGACATTCTACAGCAAACAATGCTTCGATTGGTAAGAGTCATCTTCAGGAACAACTTTGTGTACCAAGACGACTGCGCAACCCCACATCGAGGCCGACGAATCACTGTTTTTCTTCAAAACCAATGGGTTCAGCAACTGCCCTGGCCTGCAAACTGCCCTGGCCTGAACCCAATTGAAAAACTTTGGGCAAAAGTAACTCACACAATTAATAGCTATGGTCATCGACCGGTAAATAGTGATGAACTGCGACAGGCAAATATCACTGCGTGGAATGATATCCCCACCCAAACTCTAAAAAACGTGTCACAGGGTATGCCATGTAGGATGAGGGCACTGCAAGCGGCTGCTGGAGGCAATTACTGACTTTTCATGATTTACTGTAGTGAGTTCTTTGACTGTGTAACATATCACTGGCCGGAGGCTATCATTTTCTTTAATATCTTAGCTTAAAGTTAATAATGACATCAAACTGTTGATATGGTTTTCTGGGGGTGTTCCTTTCTTTTGAATGGCATCTTATGTCAGATTTGATATCATTGACCAAAATATCTCACAACAGAAGACTGGTTGTTTTTCTCACTCGGTGACATACTTTTATAATGACTCAAGCCCAAAAAAATTTAATCAGCACTCAAAACTAAAAATGATAAAAAATATTCCATATTTAGTAGCAACCCTGTAGCTAAATCATAGCTCTAAACCGTACCAAAGGGTGCTGTTTGCTCTCCAGAAAACCAAAAAAAAAAAAAAAATTCGGGACCCTTGAGCAGGCCCCAAACCCCACACCAAGGGGTCGATGGTCGGCTTTGTATCCGAGGTTTGTCGTTCTGGATCCGCCCCAGTTAACAGTCTGATTGGTAAAAAAAAGTCAGTCGACAGAATAAATAGAGACCAAGCGTGTTTTTCAGTAGTCATACGAGAACCCACCAAACTGTATTCGGTCCTTGTTACATGTACTCATTCAGATGAACCTTGACGTTTTATCAAGGGCCTGACCACATGAAAGACCTGTCGAAAATCTGGCACAAGAAACAATATATATATATATATATATATATATATATATATATATATATATATATATATATATATATGAGAAATTCAAAATGATATGATTGTTACATCATTGACGTCTAGCGCCTTTGTTCACGTTAAAACCCAACTTCTGATTCCATCAATGGCGAACGTGGGCTTGACGCTGAAAATTTTAGTCAACAGGCCCATCCCCCTAACTGAGCAAAATGTATCGTAGCATGGCAGTAGACCTTATTGATTTTCTTGTGTGTAAAGAAAGACACCCAATGCTGGTTTTTCAGAAAAAAATTCACATAGGGGAATTAGGTGTAACAGGAATGGAAGTCCGGGCTCGCTTATGATTAGTGCAGGCTAGGGTTACTGTGGAGTATTGGGGTTAGTATATGGACGAATGTCACCTGTACAAAGTAATGGGAAGCGGACTATGGTTCCTAGCGGACTCCTATTCCTGTTACACCTGGTTTAGTGAACATTCGTGAACAGTTTCAGTAACAACCTCTCACCTAAAATGAGCTATATCTGTTGTTATTTGCATAACAACAAGTTGTTCATCGTAGTGCGAGCTGTCTTCCCAAAGGCTCACTTGGCAGTTAGATAGAGTCGGGTGTAGACGTAACAGTATGTGTGGTGCAGTTAGAAGGTCGAGCTTTTACAAGGCGTGGAAGCAAATGTACATGTATATGTTTGTGAGTATCACTATTTCTTGATCAGCCACAGCCATTAAATACTAAAGGCGTAGAAGAATGAAAAAAGATTCACGACAAATATTTATGACATGAATCCTTTTACTATATTTCCATTCTTACTTGTATGTTACTCATAATGGTAGAAATTATTGCTTACAGTCTAGGGTTACCCCTGTTACAGTGCATTGGGACTCCAAATGTTCAGGATAAAGGACGCATTCATCCGACTTTTGGTGATAACCTAAGTTTGCTTGAAATCCTTTGCACTTTGTAACCTACTGTTTGAACATTTTGTGTGCCCCCGCCTTGACAATAATTTTGAATATTTTGACCTAATTTAAAATGTCGTGTGTGTTTAGATGTAAGTATTACCGCCCAAATTAATTAATTGAATGATGCTTGTCATCGTTCTGAGCTTCTGATCCAAGTGCTCATTACACAATGATTAACAGACACATATTTTACACAGCCTGTTGTCTCCATTGTGCCGTGTGTTGTCCATCCATTAAACGGTTCACTGTATGAAAACTTATAATATATGTGCAATGTAGTTGTTATAATTTTCGACGAAAATTTGTAAATGGATCTCTTTCTCTGAAATGCGTCAACAATTATTACAACACGTGTTATAACTTTTGATATCAAGAGGAATATATTAACGGTCGTACCAATAACCTCACACACCCTGCAAATGTGACATCAGACTAGTTAATAAACGTGCACGCCATTCCATTTATATGTGCCCTCTGCCCTATGATATTAGATGCATTATTGGCATGTAAAGAGCCTGTCTGTTTAGTTCAAAGTTGTATACATTATTTTATCTTTTCAGGAGCTCAACGAGATTCAGAACAGCATCCGTCTCAAAGCAACCTATGAGGTCTAGCCTTTGTCTCACACACAGGAAACCAGCTACTTCGTACATCTTTTATATGAAAACTCAATAAAAAACTTGAAATTTGGCGTGTTATTTTTCACTTTGATATGAAATTATTATGATAAGAAAAGTAGTAATCGTAATAAAAAATGAGTTAATAAAATATCTAAAATGACTTCCAACAACCTACATTTTACAATTCAAATTTATTTAAATTTACAACCCCGTTTTTTTAAAATTCACATGACATTTTTGTTCTATAGCATATGAAACTACTTCGTTTGGATATAATTTTAACTATATTTTTTTTTATATAGGGAGGGTCCCATTTCGACGGGTAATGGATTTGCTGTCGTGAATTGTTTTAATTTGGCGGCATATTCTTAGTTTAAATACTTAGTTTTATATTTGAACGTAATAATGAAAAGGTAGGATTATTCTGATATAAGCTTAAATCAAGATAGTTTTTTAATATGGATCCGGCTGAAATTGGCCAAAAAATTGATTTCTGAGGGTATAACAACAATTTCTTTAGTTTCTGTTTTCTGAACCAAATTGGGATAATTACAAGACTCGCCCAACCTGTCACCCCTTCTATTGCCATAGTCTCACCCCACCTGTCACCGCCCCGCCTGTCACCCCTCAAATGCTATGGACTCGCCCCACCTGCCACCCATCAAATGCAATGGACTCGCCCCACCTGTCACCCCTCTAATGCAATGGACTCGCCCTACCTGCCACCCCTCTAATGCAATGGACTCGCCCCACCTGCCACCCCTTTTATGCAACGGAATCGGCCCACCTGCCACCCCTCTAATGGAATCGACCCACATGTCACCCCTTTGTTTGGAATGTAGTCGCCCCAACTGACATCCCTCAGATGGAGTGGATTTTCTCCTCCCCAACCTGTCTATCAGATGACCGAGGTGTACTGTCAACCTTACTTACTTCAGACAAGTCATCACTGCTTAACCTTTTCACCACTATTGTGTTAGCTGACCTTGTAAGGAATTTATTAGAATGAATTTTCTAAAATGAAATAAAAACAATTCATTAGTTCATCACAAACGCCAATCGACTAGCTATCAGGATTACTTGAAAACACCTTTTTAATAATTTTGCTAAAGTTAATTACATAATTGAAGTCTACTTTTAAAACTTTTTTTAAAAGCTTTTCATCATGTCGGTAATTTCGGGTAGGTTCTAAAATCCTCATCGCTCTAGTCGCCGACTAAACCCATTGCAATTTGTAATCAGCCACTAGGTGTTGACGCAGGTTTGATGCCCAATGTTATACCGACAACATATGGCGCGACTACAGCTTGCTATATTGGTAAACATTACCGACACATATCTTTTTAGTTTTATAGCATTGTTAGAAAAAAACGTAAAATACTAGATGTGATGATGAGTTATTGTTTTAAAAGTAACTACAAAAATGGTACACTCCATGTGTTTGAAAATCCCCCAAATGCCGTCCACAGCAGTGGCGGATTTAGGAGGGTGTCATTAGGGTTCTGACCACCCTTCAGTATCTGAAAATAATCACACCAATGGCCCCCTTCTTGAATTAGAATTAGAATTTTGACTAGCTGAATCACAGTTCTAAACCGTACCTAATGACACCGTTCGCCCTCTAAATTACCAAGAAATTTCGGGGCCCTTCAGCAGACCCAGAACTTGACGCCAAGGTGGGGGAAGGGGAGGGGAGAGGTCGGCTTCGCATCCGCAGACCCCCCCTTTAATTAATCCTGGATCCGCCCCTGTTGAGATATGAATTTTGCATTATTTTAAATATTTTGGATACTGAAATATAATATTAATTATCAAGAAATTAAATTAAAAGAGGTAACTTCTTTAAACGTCGATGATGAACATTGCACTTTATACATTTAAGGAATTATGCCGTTTACGAATTTTCAAATTACTCCAATTTATTTTGAATGCTGAAGGTATAATAAGACAAAGTTATAGGTTGATGGGCAATATATGCATGGTTATGGCAAACTTTTTCAGGTCAGAATTTAAAGTAGATTTTCCTCGGTGAACTTTAGTGTCAATTGTGTCTATATATTATTAAATTTGTATGAGAATATAAAAAGTCTAAGGGGGTTTAATCCAAAGAGACTTGTGATATTTGACAGGAATGAACTGATATTATACCTAAACTGAAATGGCTTCATTTTATTCTTTTATATCTAAAGTCAATTGTCCAGCGAAAGCTCCTGATGCCCCTATTTCACACAGACCACGAATCCCACGAATGGCCATGAATTGACAAATTTCACGATTCGTGGTTGAATCGTAATCAGTTCGTGAAGTTCTTAACAGATTCGTATATATTCGTAGTCAGTTCTTGCACTTCTTGACCAACAGAAATTGGTGGCAAAAACTTTGATGCCCCTATTTCACACAGACCACGAATCCCACGAATGGCCAGGAATTGACAAATTTCACGATTCGTGGTTGAATCGTAATCAGTTTGTGAAGTTCTTAACAGATTCGTAAATAATCGTAGCCAGTTCTTGCAATTCTTGATCACTCGGGAATTCGTGGCAAAAATTTTGAGCTGTTCAAAGTTTCGGCCACGAACTCCCGATTCCAAAAAATCGTAGTGAATTTCTGGACAATATTCGTGCGATTCCAGCCGAACCCCACGAATATTCGTAACACTATCGCACCTGTATCGTAGAGCGTGTCTAATTAGACCAGAAAATTGGCAAAATCTCACGAATCCTCACGAATCCTGAAATTTGTCAATTCCTGGCGATTCGTGGGATTCGTGGTCTGTGTGAAATAGGGGCCTTAGGTTATATCAAGGATAACCTTATACTAAGGCCTACTTTATATTCTGTGTGCTTCATCTTGTACATGTAGCAGCCAATAATATAGCCGGATTTCGCGGGCTGTTTTGAGAGACTCCAAAACTCTGTCGAAATAAATCAATAAATGAATTATGAAATAAATTGTTTGGTCAGTTAGTGAGGTGATGCATAGATTTGCTGATCTATTTGGAAAGCGAAATTCGACTTGAAGTCAGTAAAAATGTTGACATATAGCCGTCGTCGGCGTCGCAGTGTGCTTTCAGTGTTATACAATTAAAATGAAAAGCGTTCTAGTTGTATCATTTGTCTTCAAACTTACAGAAGTTCATGAATGTCATGAAATCCAGGTCAAGTTCGAAAACCAGCCTGAACCAGCCATCGGAACATTTTTCCAGAAGTTACGCTGCTTTTTTCAGCATAATTTATGAAAAACATACAAAAAATTAAATACTGTATTTGCCAAACCTAAGGAATTGTGAAAAAAGTTACTACATATATCTGACCGAAACTCATTAGTGGAGATTTCAAATATGACCTTGGATTTGACCATTGACCTTTATCTTAAGTTGAAATTGGCCAAAATTTTGTAAAAATTTTAATTTTCTTTAGAAACTATTTGTGTGCACTGATGGTTTTGATATTATATGTGATGAGAAGTTACATTTGGGTTCTTCTTTCATCATCCTGAGCTTGGCGTCAGTTGGTACATTTTCACAAGAATAGAGGGACAAAAGATGCTGAAAGTGAAGTCTGTAATTTAGGAACCGTAAACAGGGGCGGATACAGGATTATTTGAAGAGTGTGGGTCCGCGGATGCGAAGCCGATCCCCTCCCCCCTCCCCTTGGCGTGGTGCTAGTCAAAATTCTAATTTCTAGAGGGGACCGTTGGTGTGGGTGGGGGTCAGGACCCTCTGACACCCCCCTAAATCCACCACTGGTAAAAGCTAGAATCCTTTTGTTTGGTAGGCCTAAAATTGGTGGAACTTGTCAATCGTAGGCTAGGCCTAACACTGACAGTGGTGTTGTTTTTGTAGGCCTACGTTTTTCATAGGGCCTATATATATTGTATGGTTTGCGTTTTTTTTTTCAAAAAGTAATCAATGGTCAGCGATGAATTTTATTAGAATGAGAAATATATCCTTAAACCAGCAGAGATATGCCCATATTTAGGCTTACACTTGTCCTTTGCATAAGAAGTGAAATATTGGCAATCTTATTAATGTGGCCTTGAATTCAACATTTGGCCTACTTTAATTTCCACATCAAATGCACTTTGCATATTTACTAGTCCATATTTCTATATAGATAAAACTGATAGGCCTACATCCCAGCTACCGTTTGATCTGATTGAGCTTCATATTATGCTATTGTTAAAATTTTGTACCATGAAATATTGCACCAAATTTACAAAATAGGCCCTAATTAGGCCCTAACCTACTGTATTTTGTGCATCATTATTTTTTTGTCTGTACATTTTACAGCTTTGCTTCTTGTCAAAGTTAGTAATGCCTTTATCAATATGGAATTTTGCATAAGGCCCCTAAATATAGGCTACTTTTGTTAAATACTTAAAAGTCACAGACTCACAGTGTCACAGTAAGGTACATCAATAATTGGGAGTTTCGTTATCTCTAAATCTCAGGGTGCTATTCAGTTACTTCCTGTGCAGTGAACGAGTGCGCATTTACCTAAGAGCGGGGGCCATGAATCAACAAGGAAGATGAGTGTGATTGTTACAATCTTCAGGACAACATTTTCGGAATGTTTCATTTCGTTCTTATCCATGGCCATTGTAAATTGGACAGCAGGCATGAGGAAAACTAGAAATCGCGACTTCTGGACGAAGTCGCGTGAAACGTTTTGTCACGTGCAACGCTATGACTGGATGAACGTCTATGTCGGAATCTTAGGGTTGAGGTCCAAGATGTCACAAGACGTAGGAAATGGGTCTTTTTGATCATGAATTTTGTGAAATAGGTAAGGTGGATGTTTGCCTGATAAAATCCTCTTGAAAGACTTGGAAATATGTTTCTTGTTAGTAATGATATTACCTGAAGTCTGTGTCGGAAAAGTTAAAAACATACAAACGCTCTTGACGTTTTGCCTTGCTTTCTGCATCCGGTTGTTTGATGAGTAGTGTCGTATCGCTCCTATTTTCGTGTTCGATTTTCAGGAATTTAAAAGAGATGAAGGGCATCCTACTGCTTGCTTGTCTGGTGTGTTTGCTGCAGCTTGCCAGTACCAAAAAAACTGTTCTTGGCAGACCAGCGCATCTCAATCAGAAGAACTTCCAGAAGTATTGCCCAAAAAGATGCCAAATAACCCATAAAGCAGTTCTTACAGGAAACACCTGCCCCTTTGGCTGTTTTTACTTATGGTGGAAAGGGACAGATTACTGCCCTCTATGGTGCAGAAGTTACAAAAAAGTTTTTGAATGTATTCGACCAAAGGATAAAAAGCCAGTTAATAGACCACCACGCTGTTTACATGATTTCCCAAGGCTGGAAGAAATGTTTGTCTGCTTCATTTTCTTCATGTTCTCTTATTATAAAAGTTAATGATAATAACGTTTAAATACCATTTGTGACTTAGGCTGATTATTCATTAAGTAATGTTTAAAACTTTTAACTATACTTTCTTTGTCAGTTTTATTATGGTGCTTCATATCATCCTGAGATCAAAATATCATCATGAGATTGAAATAGACAGTTAATGTATTTGTTTATAAGTAGTTAATATTTGTTACATGTATGTTATTGTGACAACAATTTGTTATGACATATGTATAGTGAGTGTTGATTGACTTTTAGTATTTTGTTTTTAGGATTTTGAGAAACATGGGATTCAAGATGATGTTTGCCTATTACTTTCATCACACTTTTAAAACACTGAAATCAATGTAAGTATATTTTGTTTAAAGAAAAGTGCATAATTATATAAAAAATTTTCCAGGTGATTGTCACGTACAGATTGTACTTGATTAGTGGTTTTGATTCAGTTGAAAAAGTGCTAGAAGCAGCATAGAGAACATGAAATAAATCTCTTTCTTGTTTTAACATTTGATCATGTGTCATATTTACCTATTACTGTCCAATCTAGTATCATATGTAGACTTGCCCTTCAAGAAATCGACGGAAAATAGCTCTTTTTCAATTTTGAATGGGCACTGTAGAAAACATATAACAGATAAAGCTCTCAAATTAAGCACATATGTGTGATATCATGTGAAGAATAAGTTCTGTAAATTTCAATCCAAGCAGTTGAATACATTTTGAGACAGAACGCTTTAAATGTGCAGCAAACCGTAACGCTTATCCCTTCAAGATCTCGACGAAAACCGGAAGTGCGTCATGAGGTCACTCGCTTCTACTTGGAAAGCTGCTGGGTGATTTTCCGATGAGAAATATTTCATGGCTTATACAAATGTTCGGAAAATGACCATGCAGATAAAAGAAAATTCACTAATCAAAATTGAAACTGCGTAATAACATAGAAAAACATTGTGCATTCCTGACCTCGACTTGTCAGTGTAAACAAAGTGTACTGAACGCATCTCAAGCAAGCACGTGAATGCCGCGTTTGATACTTTGTATCAGACGCTTCGTTTTACTTGACAACACAGTGTTTACGATGGGCATGACAGGAAAAACAGTGCAAAAAACACGCACTTCCGGTTTTCGTCGATTTCTTGAAGGCGTCGATTTCTTGAAGGGCGAGTCTATACTAGTACATAATATGTATTGCTGTGATAAATTGAACATTATGCAGTTTACCAATGACAGGCCTTAATGCTGAAAGTGCATGTATTGTAGGGGTGGATTCAGAGATATTTTCTGACAGTCTTCCAAATTAACTGTTGATTCATCCTCCATTTTTGACCGTTTACTGACAGAAAAAAATTGATCCCCTTCAATGTAAACTTGAAAATCTGACCGTCTTCTGGAAGACCCAGAAGATAGCTTAGATCCACCCCTGTATTGTAAATTGAGAATATATCTGTGTAATTTGATATATGAACTCCATTTCAGCGATTTTTCCTTCAACAATATAGCTGGAACAATAATGAGAAAGTATTTCAAGATACAAGCTAACCTTCCTTATGATGTAAAGATGGAAAATTTGACGAAGATGTAGGTTTTTTTGTTGTGAGGTTTCTGTTGTAATTAGTAACATATATATGTGTGTGTGTGTGTTGAATTTTTAAAGTTCCTCATTTACAGTGATCTGGCCCCAGTTTTCCAAAAAAACTTAAGTTCCCTGGCTAAGAACTTGGTTTAACTTACCAACGTTACATTGTCACGTGCTCTCATCTTACCCTGTCAAGAACAGTGTTAAATTTGTCTTCAGTAGGAAATAAAAGAGTAAATTTGTGATATAGAATAGCCATAGTTGACTCTGAATGGTTGTACATGTATTACTGTACGTGGCATGCTTGCTGAGCAGTAACTGTTGACATGATTGTTCAATTCTTGGTAAGGCCACACTTTTTTATTTTTATGGATGACATCCTGCGCGCGCACCGATTTTCATCCGTTCTCCGAAAAAAAATTCCCCCCCCCCCTCCAATGAAGTCGGTTGTCGCAAACGTCGTTATTGAATTTGCCGGAAAATGAGCTTTCTGCGCATGCGTTTTATCGCCACGTGGAAATATGGCCACTTTACCGTCAAATTCATCCCTAGGATTACTTTCAAATTACATGACAATTACTTATGTAAAGTCGCAAAGAGAATGGGGCCGTCGTTTTGGATTGTTATGCCATTGATATTGGGCATGGAGATATCCACTTTTTTACAATTATGCGAAAGGCTGGCGGTGGCCAGTGATTATCGCCTGGAAAATTTCAGTGACATTCTGTCCAAAGCACCCTGAGCTTCAGAGCTAACTTGACACTAACCTTTTCACTGTAGCCTATCTCCATCGTGTCAAGTAACCTCTGACCAGATTCGAGTGCCCCCGCCGCCCGCCAATCAAATTTAAAGCCCGCACTCAATGACTCATTGAACGATCTAGCCAATGAACGCGAACGAGTCAAAGCGCGCTTTGTTCAAATCCGGACCAATCAAAGATAAGGCTGAATATCAGGGACTTGCCGTAACCTGTGGGCAGCACGCAAAATACATCATCCCTCAGTAGATAATGATGCAGGGCATCATACTGCTCTGGTTTCAATTCCGATATACTCCATGCTTTCTTTGTGTACGGTTATGCACTCGGAACCACTCGGAACTACTCGGATGTCTCCGCACTCGACAATAACTATGTTGTTAGTATGGAGCTTGCGGAATCAGCCGAGGATTGCCGATTGACGATCAACCAATCAGCGTTTTCACCAAACTTTGGTGAAAAATTTTGAAACATGGATTCGATTGGCTTATATAAACTAGGTCAAACTATTTTCGTCAGAGGTTACTTGACACGATGGAGATAGGCTACAGTGAAAAGGTTAGTGTCAAGTTAGCTCTGAAGCTCAGGGTGGTCCAAAGCAGCACATACCAGGTTTTTTTGTAGCGAAAAAAGGGTCGACAGGGCGTCAAGGTATTTGGTGGGCAGAAGGTCGGTCAGGACCTTTTTCCATAAAAACTTCATATAGCCTACCTAGATCAAATTTTACCCAGAGTGAACCTTTTCCCAGCAAAAGGGGTGGTTCTTTCGACCCCCCCCCTCCCCTGGCTACGGGCCTCTCTATTCATGACTTTTTTTTTACCTTTCTATGAAGTATTCACAATGCTTTAATATTTTGAGAGCATGGATAAAGACATATTGTTAGTTTGATATGTGTTTCTGTGGTAAATTTGTGTTTCCAGCTGTGTACTGACAGCACACCTTTACTTAAGCAGCATTTTTTTTTTTTTTTGGACTTTTTTTTTTTTTTCGCCCTCTCGCACCGATTTCGGGGTCCCAAGAGGATGTCATCCATAAAAATAAAAAAGTGAGGCCTAACTACAGACATCTTTGATTAGTCGTGCCATAAATTCTACTTGTGCAACATGTCTGTGTCAAATAAGTGAATTTGATTGCAAGGCTTTCATTTGGATGATTATATGTTACATTTTATTTTATGATCATTTCCTCAAAATGCAGTGCCATTTTAACAAAATGTTGAAGTCTGACATGCTTTTATTTTTTCAGAAATCTTGCATATAACAAAATCACTGCTTTTCAAGCAGCCACCTTTTTTCAAGTGCCACACCTTCGCTATCTGTAAGTGCAAGAGAAAATTTTTGTGTAGCTTATGAAAAAATGATTTGAATTTCCTTAACTAATGTTCTTAATGAGATTGTTGTATAGAATAGTGTTAAAGATAAATATTTTTGTGACTTAGTTAGATGGATTTTTCTTTATCACTAGATATGGTAAATAAAAGCAATGCTTACATTTTCTTGTCAAAAGGAAATTGAGAATGGTTTACCTGCTTCCCAACTGTTAGTAACGACTCAGTGATATGGTGACCAATTTAAAAAATTTCTAATGCTATCAGTTGTTGAACCTGAAGCCATCATCAAAATATCATCCTATATTAATTGATATATTCTAGTTAAGATTCATGGATACAAATGGAATTTGAATAACAGATAATGTTAGATGTGGCTAAACACATCTTTTTTTGCTTACTCATTATCATTTTCATTTTCTTCTCAGAAATATGTCTCATAACCTGCTTCCTGGGACTGTATTTCACGGGAAGATCTGGCGTAAAAAAAGGTATTGTGGGCCATTCCAGGCAAATGCAGAACTGAGGATTTTGTAAGTTGAAATAGGAAATTATTCCATTTATTTATAAAAATTATTAGCCTTCTCCTTACTAAAAAACAGCCGTGGGTTTGAAATCTCTAGAGCAAAATTACTAACTTGAGAGAATGTAAGCAGAGCTATCACACCTGGTCATTGAATGCAATACTGGTGTTTGTCAGATTGATGATGATAGTTGACATTGTTAAATCTTTTTCTGTCACGAGGTCATGAGAAAGTAATGAAACAGAAAAATAATTAAGTGATTGTTTTAATAATAATATAAAATTTAAGTAACAGTTTTTGTTCAATGTTTTTAAAAATTCAAATCATATTTGAGATATGCCTTAATTTGTTTTAAAGTTATTAGTACCACCAGCTTGTACGCTTGCGGTACTCATGGTTTTAGTCCCGACCCATCTCGTACAGCTCCGCCGGCTCCGCAGGATGACGTGGGATACAAGTCACCGTTACTGCTTCTCCTCCTAGACCGGAAGGACCTGTGTCCCCATCTCTTGGATTAAGTTCACATATAATCTCAACTTGAACCCCCTGGTTTTTTTTTTGTCTCAGTTGTTGCATTGACCTGGGCGTGAGGCTTGTTGAAATGCACCCTTGTCAAAATTTTTGAAAATTCAGTGCTAAATATCTCCCAAACCGATGGAATTATGGGAACAATTACAACAGATGGCTCACCGAAAGTCATGTGTGAGGATTTCAAATGTGCCCTAGGATTTGACCTTTGACCTTTATTTCAAAATTTTCAAAAAATTAATTTTTTGCAAGAAAATTTTAATTTATATTTTTTATATATATTTTTTTAGAAACTAAACAGATCTTATCTATAATATTATGAGCATGTGTTACCCTAAGGGTCATCTTTCATTTTCGTAAGTTTGGGGTCAATCGGTGCAAGTTCAACATCGAAATTCAGTGGTGAAAATAAAATGTGAAATACTCAAAAATTAGCAAAGATAAGCCCATAGTAACTATTGAACTTAAATAGTAAGTCATATACTGGTAATCTTATTGTGACCTTGAAATTGACCTTTGACCTACTTTTCATGATGAACTGAACTTTGCAAATTTTTCAGCTCTTAGACTTGCCCTTCAAAAAATCGACGTGAAATAGCTCATTTTCAAATTTGAATGAACACTATAGAAAAAGTATATAAGCTCAAGCTCTCAGATTTCGCACATAGGTGCGATATTATGTAAAGAATAAATGTTGTAAATTTCAATAAAATTGGTTGTGTAGATTTTGAGATAGAACGCTCTGAATGTACTGCAAACCATAACACTTACGCCTTCAAGATCTCGACGGAAACCGGAAGTGCGTCGTGACGTCATTCCATTGTGCTTGGGAAGATGCTGGATGATTTTCTGTTGAGAAGGACTTCGTTTTTTATCAAAATATTAAGTAAATGACTTTGCAAACCACGCATATAGTTTTTTTTTTAAGTAAAAAAAGCTATTTAAGACTAAGTTGTGTTTTTTTTATTTCGATTTATATTTCAATGTTGTCTCATGTTTTCAGAGCATTTCAAGAAAGTTCAAACGATTCACGAATTCGGCTTTTAATGATGTTTGAAGCGTGTAAGGCGTCATATATGTTTATAGAAAGTGTATTAGAAATTGAACTTAAGTAAACGTACTGAGAACGAACTCAAGACTCACAAATAGTGTTTGGTCATAAAAGATTTTACTTTTCTCAAAGACCACTTATATTTGCACTACAATCTTATAATATACAGAGGTAGTCCTAATTACGTATTCCGCCCCATTTTAATCAAAACGGAAAAAAGAATACACACACATTTTATCATTTCAAGATGAACAATGTGACAGAAAACAAACTATCACAGACGACAGAATTTACAACAGACATGAAGGGGCAAATGAAGGGCCACAAATTTATGTACATTACTTTATATGTAATATTAATACGTTGAAAAAACTGTAATTATAATAATAAACAATATACATGTTGAAAAGAACTAAACCAATACTCTTTTATTCTGATGCCTGCCAACAGTTATGGCATAAAAAAACGTCCAAAAATGTGGGTGTTTTCGAGCAAGAAAGATGTTCTTGCGCATTGCAAATGACACACCGAATAAACTCGTACACTTCTTCCACCAACTCAGTTGTGCTAGTGCTTGGTGGCTCCATTCCATTGCAAACGCTACAGATCGGTGCCGGCCGACGGGGTGTAGGTCTACTTGGTGCCTCCGTCCCTTCCCGCGGTTCTACAAAGAAGAAATTTCCTGCCACGATGCCCATTCTTTTTGCCCTCTTTTCATATGCTCTTTTCCTTTTCTCTTCTTCCTTTTTCTCTTTCTCCTGTCTTCTTAATTCTTTTCTTCGTTCCACTTCCAAGGCCTTCTGTGCCTTTCAATCGTGTGCCTCAGCCCTCTTTCTGTCCCTCTCCTCGCCCGCTCTTTTCTTCTCCTCCTCCTTCTCTATCCTTCGCTTAGCGGCATCTTCCCTTTTCTTGTGTTTTTCTTGAACAATCCTGTGGCTTTCTTCCTCTTTTCTTCTTTTTTCTGCCATCACTTCGTCCGACGTCAGTACTTGCGATCTACTATAATCTGTTGCAAATCTTCTTTTTCTCATGGGCGCCCCTTCTGCTGGTACAATTAGCACTTTCGCGATGGTTGGAGACACTATGCCCATCTTCACCATTGGGTGTTGCTTAATCTTGCATATGTGACCACAGTAACAGACAGGTGTCGCGTCAGTAGAGTCTGTTTGCGTCATCGAGTCCGTCTTGTCTGTCGGCTGTCCATTGTCATCGTAATATGTCTGAGTGGTTTGGTCTTTTCTCTCTTCGTCGTCACCGCTGCACTCCAATATGAGGCTGCACACGTCTAACATGGTTGGCATTGGTTACCTTTCTTTCATATGGGAACTGTTTTCCCTTCTTGGTGACAACTTTCGAGCTTGCTTTAGATTGAAAGTAAGTCTCATCTACATTGTAGATTTTACTTGGACAGGTAATGTTGTGCAGTGCGAGAGTTTCTTTTAGTAAATCAAAATGCGATTCTGCAACGGATTGCTGCGACATGACGGCTCTGCCTCTGAAAAATAATTTTCTAGAACGGTTACAGCACAGCGATTTTGCCTTTAAGTACCTTTAACACAATGCCTTTGTTAAATGGAGGAAAAAAGCCCACACTCATATGTGAACATTTTAGGTTGTAAAAAAAATGAATTTGGAATGACCATCATTATTATTACCACAATCATTATTATTTTCAGTCACAGGCACACCTATTGATTAATCCCGGCTTTCTTAGAGAGAGCTCGGGGTGCCTTTGCCTAAGGCGCCACCACCAACCATCCGATGCAAGAAACTCCACATTTGGGTCCCTTTCTTTCATAATCCCTTTTGCAAAGTGCCCCATCAGGTCTCTTGTCAGAGGAAAACCCCAGTCAGCCATAAGCATAGCATAGGCTATTAGGGCTTCCTCGTCGTCTGGGTTCATTAAAGGTTTTTTCTTAGGTGTAAACTTCAGTCTTCCTTTTGTGATAGACGCATATAAGAGAGACAGAGAAATGAAGTGAAACAGGATATACCTTAAGAGCAGGACAGGAAAGAGAATTTGCCCAAGGCAAGAATTAAACAACAAATACTCATAAAATTAAAATAAAAACGTTTTTATTTACAAACCAATTTACGTTTTAGTTTTTCTTTGTTTTTATTGTTATTAATACGAACATAAAATGCAACTCATACGGTCATTACCAGCGTATATGCTCACGTATATTGTTCACCGGTTCATTACTTTTATAGTCACTACTTGTATATTCTATGATTCGGTACCTGACACATGGTCACCAATCGTTGTTACTGGCACACCAAAAGCGCGTGACGCTTCAGTCAACGTGTACGTGCCTACTTGCACAGACAAAACAGCTGCATCTAATTGTTCTAAGTTATATTTCCGTGGCATATTGAAAACTGATTTGACATTTTTGGTTTAATTAATGTTGTTTTAAAATGTAAACACACATAATTTGGGCTTTTATTTTAGATAAACAAACATAACTAGGCCATCATTTGCTGAAGTTGGATATTCTAAAGGATTTCTTTTTAAATTAAACCTCAAGATCAGTTACTTACGTAACCCGTCTTGTAACATTACTATTGTAAGGGTCTCTAGCGGTGATTCACCAAACTACTACATGTGTATGTGTGTTGTGACACATATTATTGACCCATACAAGAAAACAATCCTAACTACAATTGATCGGGACGATTTTATTTACACTCACAAGAGAGATGAATTGGAGACAAAAACAAAGGACATCATTTGGATACTTAAGATGCCTTTTTTCAAGGTTTGTGTTTATCACTAAGTTTGAAGCAATGTGTTTACAAGCCGTGTACATTGTACCTGTAATACTACGTCGGGTACTACGGAGGTGATAAACATCCAGAGTATAGAGAATTACGGCTGGGTTAACATGTGGAAAACATCAATCAGCCAGTAACGTTTCTAGCAAAGGACACGCACCTGTTAGAATTTTAAAAATCTAGAATATATAAAGCAGATGAATGTGGTATTTTTCTACTTCATTTGAACTTACAAAGTTTCACCGGCGACAATAAATAATGATAAATTAAATTTGAGTTACTCATACGAAGGATGCGCAAATAATAGGACGTCGACAAGAGCATAAAAGCACGGAAAGTTATGTAAGTAAACATTATTTCTGTTCAACTAACTTCTTCTACAACATGTGTAAGGTCGTTATCAACGCTTTTTGTATTATAAACAAAAGTTAAAATGTTGCGTTCGATACTTTGTATCAGACGCTACAACTTACTTGACTACGCAGTATGTTTACGCAGAGCATGCCGGGAAAAATAGCGAAAAAAAGCACGTACTTCCAGTTTGCGTCGATTTCTTGAAGGCGTCGATTTCTTGAGGGGCAAGTCTATATCTCTAAAACTGGCAGAGATACGTCCATAGTTATTGTTGAACTTGAGTGGGAAGTCATATACTGGCAATTTAACTGTGACCTAGAAATTGGCCTTTGACCTACTTTTCATCATTAACTGAACTTTGTAAAATTTCTCTCTTATATCTCGAAAACAGGCAAAGATACGCACATAGTTACTATTGAACCCAAATAGGAAGTCATATACTGGCAATCTAACTGTGACCTTGAAATTGACCTTTGACCTACTTTTTATGATGAACTGTACTTTGCATGTTCTGGCCTTTATATCTCCAAAATTGGCAAGGAAATGTCCATAGTTACTAGTGAACTTGAATTGGAAATTATATAATGTGACCTTGAAATTGACCTAATTTTTCACCATGAACTGAACTTTGCATATTTTCTTGCCCCTCACATCTTCAAAACTAGCAGAGATCTGCTCATTGTTGCCCTTAGGTGTTCTCTTTTGTCAGCATATATGCAACACTGTAACACATTTCAAGGAAAACCAAGGGGGCTGTTGTCTAGAAAATCACAGGAGTGATCAGTGTTAGGAAAATACAGGCCAATTGGAAAATCCGCTTGATTGGACCATTTTTATGTTTTTTTTTTTGTTTGTTTGTTTTTTGTTTTTTTTTTTTTTGCATATTTTGAGAATTCTTGTTTATTGCATAGAGCTTGTAGAGGACAAGACTGATAGTGGTGTCCCTTTTTTTTTTTGGGGGGGGTGTGTGTTCATTTGAATGTGCTTACTCCAGCTGGTGGTACAATATCTAGAGACGGTATCGCCTCTCTGATCCTCTAGTTTATACTTAATGACATATTTTAGAGACATCGGATACAACAAGGTAGATAGGCTTTATCCTTCAGCGTTGGAATGTTTCAAGAACCTCATAACTTTGTGAGTATCCTGATTTATATCAATGGTTTAGGCATGTTGATGTGTTTGGACACACACAGCTGCACACACATATGTTGTGTATTGATAACATACACTGTTAGTTTTGATTAAGACATAAAAGAAGCTGTAGTTTAATTTCCACATTCTAGTTAAAATGAGGTATTAATCTTGTGGATAAACTCTCAAGTACATTTCAGGGCGTCAAGTTCCTATTTTTTGGAGATGTTCCAATTTTTTCCTATTTTTCAGAGAAAATTCCTATTGTTTCCTATTTTTTTTGTCTAAAAATGATTTTGTGTCAAATCGTGTTGGTTACTGGAAAATAAGATATGTGGACACTAGTCAATATTGAACTATTTATGAGCATTTGGAGAAATTTACCAAAAATATTGGCTAACTAAGCTTGTCTTGTTAAAGTACAATGCAGGAAGGTGCAAAGATTACTCAAAATTTTGCTTGAGTTTTGTATAGATGCCAATATCAGGGGTCGAAACAGAGGGTCGCCCACTCGCCAATGCGACTTAGAAACGTCCTGGGCGACTACCTGTCAGGGGTACTGGTCCGTTTTGGCGACCGCTGAAAAGTGCCGAACATCGTTGCCAAACCCATCTTATATTTCACTATCAAATGGCAAAATCTGATCAATTATTGAAGTATTTCTTGTCTCTCTCAAATGAAAACACATGAGCACGGCCATATTGCATTTTAACAGCAGGCCGAACGTCTTTTGGCTCGAGCGCTGTGATTGGCTCCCTCGTGTTGCTGCAGCAAATTTCCACCAATAAGAGATTGTTTTGTGTTCAGCAGCCATGACGTCACACCCCGGCAATGTTAAATGTACTTTTTTTTACATTTAATAAAAAAACATGAGGTGTGTCAAAACCTGCACCAAAAAGAAAAATAGCCCCTGATGAGGAAACAAACAAAGATAAAAAGAAAGAATATGATGCTTCTGAATCTTATGAAAAACATAAAAGAAGTAGGCAATTTTTGCCAAAGTGGACAGTTGGCAGGCCTTGGTTAAAAAATACACCAACTGGAATGACTTGCACTGTGTGCATAGAACATGAGGAGGCACTGAAAGGGCAGTGTGCAATACAGTCCAGAGTTTTTATTGATGGGTGCAACAGCATGAAATCTGAGAGCATCTCCCTACATGAGAACGCACAGGCTCACAGGCTAGCACTTAGCATTGATTCTAGGTGAGAAAAACCCATACTAATTTACATATATAATAAATATAAATTTACATATAAATATAATATAAATATTAAAATAATAGTAATATTAAATTATATATAATATGTTATTTAATATTAAATATAATTTACATATAAATCTAATTATCACATGATGATTTTTATTTGTCACTGGTTATTTCTCACAACATAAATAATCATAGTTGAATGAATATTTTAAACATAAAATATATTGATTAAAATATGGATATATGTAATAGTTATATTTATTTCATAATAATTTTTTATATATCCAGAAAGTTGCAACCGGAAATGTCCCCAGCCACCCTTGCATGTCAAGCCCTGAACAAAGCACACATGGAAAAGCTACGCCTGCTATTCCGCAACACACATGCCTTGGCAAAAAACAGAAAATCATTTTTAGACTACAAATGGCTATGTGACCTTGATGAAGTTAAGGTATCTCAGGAATATCTGCTAATTTTTGTCAAATTTGGTATCATTGTCATAGATGTCATGAATTTCTTGCTAAAAGACTGCAGTGTGAATCATTCTATCATTTGTTAGCCCTGTTATCTATTAGACCAGATACAGTGTCTGTGCATAATTATTATTGCAAAATATTTCCAGGGCTTGGAACCTGGGAAAACTTACCATAATGAGACTGCATGCCGAACATTCACAAAGTCTATTGCTAGCACCACCAAGCAACAGTTGGCCGATGTCATCAATAACAGAAGTTTCATTAGTATCACATCAGATGGATCAACAGACAGTTCTCGCACAGAGCAGGAGATTGTATTTGTTAGGTTTGCTGAGAAAGGTACTGTGCATACTGTATTTGCAGGGATTGTATCACCTAAGAGCCCTGATGCTATTTGGATATATAATGCCATCCTGAAAGGCCTAGAGGGAATGGGTATCACACAGGACACCCTTGGGGAAAAACTGGCAGGTCTGGGGTGTGATGGTGCATCAGTGATGACAGGGAGAGTTGGTGGAGTGGCTGCATTCTTTAGAGATCTGCAGCCATCAGCGACAGTCATTCACTGCCTGGCACACAGGCTGGAATTATCATGTAAAGAGCATCAAGCTCTATGATTCCACTGTTGTCTTGCTCATGTTAGTGTATTATTTTTATAGAAACTCCCCAAAGCAGAGGGAGAATCTTAAGAGTTCCTTCGAGAGCCTGGGTAAACCTGTTGGTATCCCTACGCGAGTTGGTGGCACAAGGTGGGTTGGCCATATGCTGCTGGCTGTGGAGACATTTCTTAAAGGACACCAGGCCATCTATAATCAAATGAAGGACTGTGTCAACCAAAAGGCAAAGGTATAAGTACAATATGTATAATGCAAAGAATTCATCTGTGTTATTCCAGATTATATCATTATATTAGTGGTAGTAAATATCCCATCCATGCTGGGTATGTGTATAAATGTTGAATGTAAATATTCCAAATCAAGTAAATGTAATATTAATTGATTAATCTCAAATGTTATATGTGAATAAATGTGAATATACTAAGGTTCAATAAATATTGTAAATATTTACAATAGGGTACAATAAATTTATTTGCAACTACAACAATATGAAAGTATAAATATAAAGTTTTTAGGTATGTACACTATTTATAAAAGAGGATATATTTATTAGGGTGAGAGTACAACGAAGGCTCTTGGGTACTTGCGTCTAATGAAGAGGCCTGACATCCTTGCCTATATATATCCACCTCTTCAAAGATGTTCTGAAGCCCCTGAAAGCACTCTCCACTGCACTGCAGGCAAATGATACAACACTGGCAGATGTTTGTGATAAGATAGAGATGGCCAAGTCTGTCCTAGATTCCTATAAAACAAGATATGTATATTTTTGCATGAATGTTTTCATGTTTGCATGTTTTTAGCAGATTCACTGATCGCATTATTCAATTTCAAATTAATTTTTTTCTGGGTGATGGTGTTTATTCCCTTCTTGTATTTTGCTTTTTGTAAACATTAACTTGTGGTGATGGTGATTCTTACTTCATAACATTTCCTCAGAAATGGCCCCAACCTATGCAAGTATTTTGCTGACCAGGAAAGTGATGAAAAGGTGTCTGGGAAGGTTGATGAAAAGAGATTTAACAGTACTAGAGAAACCTTAGTTAGCAACATAATTGCTGCACTTGAAAAGAGAACAGCAGATGTATCCAGCAAGTTCATCTCTGCCACTGAACTAGCTAATTTCAAATACTGGCCCTTGTATGACCAGCCGGAAGTTACAGGTTAAATAGTTTAAATGACTAATGTTGGTGAGAAATTTTAGTAAATTTCTGTTTCCCATGGTGATACTTGAACTTCTGTTTGTCATATTTTGCATCATAATTTTCATTTTTTTTTATTTTAGACTTCGGTGAGACCCAAATCATGACAATCTGTGAACAATACAATAACCTCCTGGAGAGGTCTGGCTTCTCGGCTCAAGATGTCATCTCTGAGTGGACTATGCTCAAAAACCAACTTTACAAGAGGTAGGAAAGACTAATACAGATTCATTATATTAATAATATGATAAACCAATTTATTATGATAAACCAATTTATAATGATAAACCAACCTGTTTTCTTCTATCTCTGATTTCAGATAAAGGGAGAAGGTACAGAAGTTGACATGGACAGAGGTTTAAGCCTCATATGCTGATGAAGACCATGCCAAAGTTTTGTCTCTCATAGATCTAGTTCTCTGCCTTCCTGCCAGCAGTTCAGAGAATGAGCGTGGTTTTAGCAAGCTGAAACTAATCAAAACAGACCACCGGTCAAAGATAAAAACATCTACTCTGGACAGTTTGATGTCAATCCAGATGGGCAGTCCTTCCATCCAGGACTTTGATCCTGATGCTGCCATACAGGCCTGGTTGGGTGCTGTGAAGTCCTCAAGAAGACCAGGGCCCAGTTTCATCAAGGCTGGATAGCGCTATCTTATAGATAAAAATGGCCGCTATCCTCTGGATAGTGCGTTTCATCAACAGTGGATAGCGCTATCCATGGGGTAAATCAGCTTATCCAGAGGAAAAAGTTGTCCGCTCGAAATAGGTGGGATAAATCTGCACTCATGCTGTTAAAAAATCAAAAATGGCAAACCTGCTTGCTTTAGGAGTAAATCCTATGAGATTTCACAGGTGTAGAATGATAAGAAAGAGAATTTTAGAAGATATGTGTTTGCTTTTGATACTTTATGTGATACTGAATCAATAGATTACATAACAGACTTTATCAAAGTTGACAGCGCGCCTGCTACGGACAGAACCCATGCAATCTCGGTGAGAGGCCAATTATCTTTTATTTTACTTAAACATACCTTTCAAATCGACGAAAAAATTCTACACTGCAATTGACATAATCTGCCAAACGTGCCAAGTCAGCTATTTTGTTAGAAAGTATGTCACGACCTTGCCCTTCAACTGCACATTGTAAACATTGCATGAGGCACAATGTGATGTGTTTTTGACACTGACACTAAAATATCCTGTAGATATTTTCCCCATTATTTTAATGAATGTACCATCTTGAAATATACTTAGCATATTGTTTATTATGGGTAATTTATTTTCCAAATATGGTATAGATCACTTTTTTGTTAGCAACTATCATGGCTTTTATAATGTTTACAGCAACCAACTGCATTATGGGAATGTCTTTTTCCAAATATGTTATTGGATAAATTTTTATCCACTGGATTACTATCATGCTGTTTATCCAGCCTTTGTGAAACACAAATTTATACAGAGAATAACAATACAGAGGATAAGAAATTTATACCATGGATAGTGTTATCCATAGAATAGCTTATCCAGCTTTGATGAAACGGGGCCCAGGTGTCAGAGATGGGGGTGCTGTGAAGAGTTGTCGTTTGAGGGTGACAAGAGAAAGAGGAGAAGGAAGAAGAGAAGAATGATCAGGAGCAGGCGGGGGAGGTCATGGATGTTGATGATGGTCAAGAGGGTCCTGCTAAGGTCATGGATGACAGTGAGGAAGAACAAAATGTTTATTTCAATGAAGAGGATGAGGATGATATCGATGAAGGATTCGAGGATGATGATGATGAGCTAGCAGAGGAGGATGTGTACAAACAGTTAAAGGAACTGACTGGAATATGAATGTGTTTAGATAATCATATAGAAATAAAAATGGATGTTAAACATGTATGCGTTTTTGTTATATATCTAGTAGCTTGAAACTACTAATTTTTAACGTAAAATTTTACGGACCAGTACTTCTTGGTAAGGACCAGTACCTCTAAGGTCCACTGGTCGGTATTGGCCAGTCCTGCCCAAATTCTGTATAGACCCCTGATTATGTGGAACACATTGATGTTTGTTGGCTTAGCATCAGACTTAGATCTGAACAAAGCTACTCCCTACAATTTGGGGAAGTACTGGGGTATGCAGTGGCTACCCATCAGTACCATCTAGTCAAAATACAGCATCACCTAGGATGAAAATAAAGCACCAAAACCCTTCAGCTGCAATAGTGAAACAGCTTAAACTTTGATTTTATGGTGAAATTGTATAGATACTTGTTGCAAACAAAAACTTGTGATAAGCATGTCCTTCCCATTTGGCACATTCCATGAATAAAATGAGCCCTTCAGAATGCCTGCCAAATTATCCCCAAATTTTTTCACTTTTGCACATTGAAATTGTGGTTTAGGTTATTAATTCTGCATTCACAGTCAATCTCATAGTTCCAATCACTAATGGCAATTGTTGTGTATGAGACCAAAAATAGTAATCCCTGCAAAACAGCAGTAGGGACAAAAAATTGTCTAGTGGAAAAGTGATTGTTCATCGGTAAACAGGTCGAAAAATGTTAGAATATATTTTTGATAGTATTTTTAGTGCATTGTTTTGTCTACATAAGCGCAATGTATAAAATGAAATGTGCTTTTAAAACAGATATGTTATAATAATAGTATTGAATAGAATTAATTAGAATTAATTAGTACCACCAGTGTGTACGCTGGCGGTACTCATGGTTTTAGTCCCGACCCATCTCGTAGAGCTTGTCAAGTGCAGCACTGAAGGTGATTTCCGNTGCTGTTAAACATTATGTAATATTGCATCAAAATTTGAAGAAACCCCTATTTTGGGCACTGCTCCCATGATGACCATTTAACCCTCAAGAGACCAAGCTATTTTACTGACTGAAATGACCAAGTGGGGTCATCTATGACCCCATTATGCTCTGTACAGGGATCCTTATTATATAAGGCTGTTGATGGTTTATCACAACTATACTACTCCTAGGATTTAAGACAAGTATTTAATAATGATCTAATTTAATAAGTATTCGGTAATAATACTTTTATTGCATAGAATAACCAAGCACAGATTTTAAGAACAACATTACACCGGTATTTAGACAGTCCTTGTTAGTCTCTACTTGCAGAAGTATTTCTCTTTTTATTTCCACACTAAATGAAAAAAGTACATTACAAAATTACTTTGAGTAAAAATATTTTGACATATGTTGAGATAGCATCTTGCTAAATTCAATAAAAATAATAAGCTGACTTGCTGAGTAGAGAATACCCTAATGCTGGTAAGGAAGTCACACTACTCAGAACACATTGAATCAACCTTCATGTATGTTACTACCACATCTGTGTATAAAACAAAATCCACACATACAATTTGTTAATTGTATAATACACTTATGTATAATATGATGTTGACAGAATTCTTTAGATTTCCAAAATACCCGAAAATTGTAACCGTCAAAATGAGAGACCCAGTTATGAGAACACGTTCCAACAAAGCTACTGAAATTAGATTCAGCGATGCACTGTTAGTAACACTTCAAGCACAATCTTCACAAACCACTTATCTGTGCCTTTGTTTTGGGCACACTGGCTGGTTGCATGAAACACATGCATGTGACATTTCTCTGTCAGTGTTGCTAGGGCAAAACATTTGAATAAAATTTAAAAACTAATATTTAAAAGCCAATGCTTCTCTTTGGGGTCATAAATGACCCCACAAGAGGTTGTGCTGTATACGCCATACTAATTGATTGATCCCTACAAAAAACTGTGAAAGTGTGTAGGATTAGTAGACTGACAAACTCATGCAAGGAAAGAAAATTCGAATAAAAAATAAAAAGATGGCACATTAAATCATATGGCTGGGGTCGTAAATGACCCCACTCGGTCACTTGAGGGTTAAGGAAAATCATGTCACTTACTGTTCTCAAACTTACAGGAAAGAAACATGGGACTAAAATACAGCTTCAGTAGGCAATGCAGTCTGTTTGGTAACTTTTTCTGGCAGTAAAACAGTTTTTTGTGAAAATTTAATTTTTCACATGTTGTCATTTTTAAGGTGTGACTTTGAAGTTCCATGATCGTGAAGACCTTTGCTTGTCATGTTTTCTGAATGTCCATGTTACTAATATTTTATTAATAACATTTGATGGTCATTATGCTGTTAAACATTATGTAATGTTCCATCAAAATTTGAAAAAAAATAACTATTTTGGGCACTGCTCCTATGATGACCATTTAAGGGAAATCATGTCACTTACTGTTCTCAAACTTACAGGAAAGAAACATGGGTCTAACATACAGCTTCAGTAGGCAATGCAGTCTATTTGGTAAATTTTTCTGGCAATTTAACAGTTTTTTGTGAAAATTTAATTTTTCACTTCTTGGCAATTTCAAGGTGCGACTTAGAACCTCCACGGCTTGAAGACCCATGCTAGTCACATTTTCTGAAAATCCATGACACATATATTTTATTATTAAAAATTGATGTATTATGCTGTCAAGCATTATGTAATGTTGCATCAAAATAGAAGAAAACACACTTTTTGGTGCTTCTGCCATGATGACCATTATGGGAAAACCGTGTTAAGATTGTCAAACTTTCAAAAAAGAAACACAGGACTAAAATGCAGCCTGAGTTGGAAAAGCAGTCTAATTGGCTTCTTTTTCTGGAAGTTATACATTTTAGTGAAATATTCATTATCTTTTTGGCATATTCATTGTGGGACTCGGAGCTCCCATGGACATGAAGCCGGATGGTAATCACATTTTCTACATGTTCATGCTATTTATAGTCAATAATCAAAAATTGGTGATAATTATTCTATAATTTATTATGTAATGTTACAGCAAAATTGACAAAAATCTTTTTGCACTGCTACTGCAAACATTATGAAAAGAAAACTGTGCTACTTATTATTATTTTTAACATACAANCATTTTCAAGGTGCGACTTAGAACCTCCAAGGGCTTGAAGACCCATGCTAGTCACATTTTCTGAAAATCCATGACACATATATATTATTATTAAAAATTGATGTATTATGCTGTTAAGCATTATGTAATGTTGCATCAAAATAGAAGAAAACACAATTTTTGGTGCTTCTGCCATGATGACCATGATGGGAAAACTGTGTTACTTATGATTGTGAAACTTTCAAAAAAGAAACACAGGACTAAAATGCAGCCCGAGTTGGAAAAGCAGTCTTATTGGCTTCTTTTTCTGGAAGTTATACATTTTAGTGAAATATTCATTATCTTTTTGGCATATTCATTGTGGGACTCGGAGCTCCCATGGACATGAAGCCGGATGGTAATCAAATTTTCTACATGTTCATGCTATTTATAGTCAATAATCAAAAATTGGTGATAATTATTCTATAATTTATTATGTAATGTTACATCAAAATTGACAATAATCTTTTTGCACTGCTACTGCAAACATTATGAAAAGAAAACTGTGTTATGTATTATTATATTTAACTTATGAGTATGATTTTTAGGATTGGCATGCAGTTCAAATTAGAAAGCCAGGTCAATTGGGTTATCATTTATTATTGAATTTTATGCGATTTTGTGTGAAATTTCATTTTTCTCATTCTGGCACTTTCAAAGTATAAACTTGAACTCTGATGGGCCTGAAGCCTTATGCTGTTGTGCAAAATTAAAATTTGATGTTGACTGTGCAGTTAAACATAATGTATTATTGCATCAGAATTGGTAGTCACCTATTTTGTGCATTATTGTTTTGTGCTTTTCTTAAGTTGTGACTTATGGGCCTGAAAGACCTTTGAGAAGGTCAGTCTGTAAATTTCCTTTGGGTATCACTTAGCTAATTTCAGTGTTATAAAGTAATTTGCCTAATTAATCGGCCATTAAATGAGGTTACATAAAGCACACTTGTTGATATTTCCCTGTAAACTCACATAGGTTAAACTCTCTGCTAGATTAATAATAAGGAAGCAGTGATAATTATGCAGGTGAATTTTGTTTAATATTGCAAATAAGTTTTTAATATATATATATATATATATATATATATATATTTATATATATATATATATTTATATATATATATATCAAACTCAAAGATTAAAAGTTTGAATAGCAGCTTCATTGGAATTATATTTACCTCTGCCAAGGAGGTTATATTTTCACCCCTGTTTGTCATCAACATAACTCAAAAAGTTATGGACCGCTTTTGCTGAAATTTTCAGGAACTGTCGGAAGTGGGCCAAAGAAAACAATAATCAATAATAATCAACAATTGCTACCTTGGCAGAGGTCTGCACTCTCGGAGCGCTATTCTAGTTTTGTTATGTTTTCCTTAATAATTTTTCTCAAACACTTGCATTTGTGACTTTTAACTATCATCCGCCTGAGGCTCTGACATTTCTGTATTTCCACATAAGCAGTTGTATTGTTTTTTATGTCTTTAAACATTATGTTACTTATGTAATATTATTTTATGCACTGTCATCATTTTTCAAATATTGAGACTTTCATCATGTGAATTTAAACTCAGTGTCCTGAAACTGTAATCTTATTGAAAAGGTAGATTGAGACCATCTTCTAGGTCTTCCGGAAGACAGTCAGGTTATTAAGTTTATATTGCCTGGTATCTATTTTTTCTTCTGTTGGAAGACCATCAAAATGGAGGATGGATCAAAATAGATACTTTGGAATACTGTCAGAAAATATCTCTGGGTCTGCTCATGTTATTGACCATTTTACCTGTTGTGCATGATTAAAATTCAGTGTTGACTGACAGTGCTATTATAAGCATTATTTATTATTGCATCAAAATTGACAAAATGACCTATTTTGCATCTTTATTTTCTGTTTTTTGTCTGTACATTTGACAGCTTTGCTGCCTTGTTTGTTTTTTCGATACAGCTTAGGCGTTGTACTATATCAAAAAGTTCAACATCCAGTATTCAGTGGTGAAAATAAAATGTGAAATACTCCAAAATTAGCAGAGATATGCCCATAGTTACTGTTGAATAGGAAGTCATATACTGGTTATCTATCTGTGACCTTGAAATTGACCTTTGACCTACTTTTCATGATGAACTGCCCTTTGCAAGTTTTCTGATCTTTATATCTCCAAAACTGGCATAGATACGCCCATAGTTACTATTGAACTTGAATAGGAGTCATATACTGGCAATCTAACTGTGACCTTGAAATTGACCTTTGACCTACTTTTTATGGTGAACTGTACTATGCATGTTTTCTGGCCTTTATATCTCCAAAATTGGCAAAGAAATATCCATAGTTAGTATTGAACCTGAATAGGAAGTCATAAACTGACCTTGAAATTGACCTTTGATCTACTTTTTATGTACAGACACAGATGTGTCTGTACATATTGCCATCACCTGCGTCTGTTGTCGCCGATGCCGATGCCGTCGCCGTGCACTTTCCTTGTAAACACGATAAGTGGAGGGCAGTTTTACTTTTTGGCTTTATATTTACAGAGCTGATGAATATTCATAAAAGGCAGGTCAAGTTCAAAAATCAGCATGATCGGGCCATTTTTGTAGAAGTTATGCTGTTTTTTCACTTTTCAGCATATATGTAACCTTGTAAACACATTTTAAGGAAAACCGTTAGGCCTGTTGTCATGAAACTCACAGGAGTAATCAATCTTATTAAAACGCAGGTCAAGTTCGAAAATCAGCACGATCGGGCCACTATTTTAGTAGTTATGCGGTTTTTTCATTGTTCAGCATATATGCAACACTGTAAACACAATATAAGAAAAACAGAAAGCCCAATTGTCATTAAAATCACAGGAATGGTTAGTCTTACTAAAACGCAGGTTGAGTTCGAAAATCGGCATAATCGGGGCATTATTTTAGAAGTTATGCTGTTTTTTCACATTTCCTCAGATTTCCTCAGATTTAATTCTTAGGCATGTTAATAGCCTTATTATTTAAGTAGTAAGATACGTAAAAGTGTTTGTTTGACATTTCCTGCATCTTTACAACATTGTTAGTTGATTATGTAAAAATGATGGTAAACTTGTTATCGTGTATTGTGTAATTAAGTGTNAGTTATTTTGTGAAAATTTAATTTTTCACATGTTGGCATTTTCAAGGTGTGACTTTGAAGTTCCACGGGCTTGAAGACCCATGCTAGTAACATTTTCTGAAAATCCATGATACGTATATTTTATTATTAAAAATTGACGGTCATTATGCCGTTAACCATTATGTAATATGGCATCAGAATAGAAGAAAACACAATTTTGGGTGCTGATGCCATGATGACCATTATACCATTTCAAAAAAGAAATACAGGACTAAAATGCAGTCTGAGTTGGAAAAGCAGTCTAAGTGACTTCTTTTTCTGGAAGTTATACATTTTCAAAGTGTAAACTTGTCACATATTTTAATTACATTGGTATTACCTGTTGAGGATAATTAAAATTTGATGTTGAATTTGCAGTTTAACATAATGTATTTTTGCATCAGAATTGACAGTAGCCTATTTTGTGCATAGTTATTTCCTGTTTTTTGTCTGTACATTTGACAGCTTTGCTGCCTTGTTGTATCATGAACTGAACTTTGCATATTGTCTTGCCCCTCTTATCTTCAAAACTAAGAGAGATATGCCCAGTGTTGCCCCTAGGTTTTTTTCTTTTGTCAGCATATATGCAACACTGATAACACATTTCAAGGAAAACCAAGGGGGCTATTGTCTAGAAAGTCACAGGAGTGATCAATGTTAGGAAAATACAGGTCAATTGGAAAAACCACTTGATTGGACCTTTTTTACAGTTATGTTCTTTGTGCATTTTTGCATGTTTTGAGAACTGTTGTTTATTGCATTTTATGGAGCTTGTCAAGCACAAGACTGATAGTGGTGTCCCTTTTTTTTGGTTTTCCATCCGAATGCTCTTACTCCAGCTGGTGGTACAATATCCAGAGGTGGTATCGCCTCTCTGATTCTCTAGTTTTGGCGAGTATTTCATGTTGTTTATAAGTTTGTTAGATGATTTTTGTTAGACTCAACTGGGTTTCCATACCTAGATCGATCTAACGGGATCGGTCCATCTCCAAGGGATTTTTTGCTAAATTGCTCTCAGCTAAAGTGGCTTAGATGTCTGGCACGCCTACCAAACTGCTAAACGGTAATTAATTACCACCTAGCTGGTTCAGTAGGCATGACAAACATCTAAGCTGCTTTAGTTGATTGCAATTTAGTAAGTATCCCCTTGGAGATAGTTCGATCCAAAGTTAGTATGATAGGCTCAAGGAATGTGGCNAATATTTACAGAGCTGATGAATATTCATAAAACGCAGGTCAAGTTCGAAAATCAGCATGATCGGGCCATTATTGTAGAAGTTATGCTGTTTTTTCACTTTTCAGCATATATGCAACATTGTAAACACATTTTAAGGAATGTACTTTTGCATCAGAATTGACAGTAGCCTATTTTGTGCATAGTTATTTCCTGTTTTTTGTCTGTACATTTGACAGCTTTGCTGCCTTGTTTTTGGTTTTCCATCCGAATGCTCTTACTCCAGCTGGTGGTACAATATCCAGAGGTGGTATCGCCTCTCTGATTCTCTAGTTTTGGCGAGTATTTCATGTTGTTTATAAGTTTGTTAGATGATTTTTGTTAGACTCAACTGGGTTTCCATACCTAGATCGATCTAACGGGATCGGTCCATCTCCAAGGGATTTTTTGCTAAATTGCTCTCAGCTAAAGTGGCTTAGATGTCTGGCACGCCTACCAAACTGCTAAACGGTAATTAATTACCACCTAGCTGGTTCAGTAGGCATGACAAACATCTAAGCTGCTTTAGTTGATTGCAATTTAGTAAGTATCCCCTTGGAGATAGTTCGATCCAAAGTTAGTATGATAGGCTCAAGGAATGTGGCATAATATGGGTGTTGGGACTCCATATTTCTTAGAAAAATTCCTATTTTTCCTATACTTTTGCAACAAAATTTTTTTCATATTTTTTGAAAAAATTTTTCCTATTTTCTGGAGCTCCGTTATAACTTGAAGCCCTGACATTGCTGTATGGTTAAAATGCTGAACTTCAGTAATAATGACTCAAGTTTGTGAAATACTTGCAATATTTTGTTTTCTAAAACCATGTAGAGTATTGGATGGGAATCCCATTAAGCAAATTGACGATGGTTTTCTGTCACCAGCACCAAAACTGAAAAATCTGTAAGTTTATTACTTTACTTTTTACATTTTGACTTCCTGTAATTGTCTAATGGCTTAATTTGCTTAATTTTGTTACACAGAAATTCTTGAAATTAATATAATATTTTAATAAAAAATAAAATGACATCAGTGTAAAATTGTTTAATTTTTATTGCCCTGCCATATATATTTTTTTATGTCATTGTCATTATTAATTTAAAACTGAGATTGCATGATTATGTTCATCTTCAATTTTTGGTGAAATATGCAATTTCTTGATGAGTAAATGGATAGACTGTTTATATATTGGGATAATTTGGATATCAGTCAAAATTAAGACATTTACACTGTTCAGTGACAGTTTAAAAAATTGAAAAACAGTTTTGGCCAGTTCTATAACATTATACATATGTGACTTTAACCACAAAAACAGTCTTGAACCTAAGTGACATTTATTAAGTGACTGATGTTTTCAGCCATAATGATAAGAATTGTACCTTTTCATTATTATGTTTACAGTTACGTTCAATACCTCAAATTACATATTGTTAACCTGCAATTTTTGGACCTGGAAAAATATTCTGTGACGTCTCTGTAAGTACATGCTTTCATTATTATAAATATATGCTTGGTTTTATTAAAATGCACCTTTTTTCTTGCTAAATGACACATTAAATGTGACACAATACAATTATCATCTTTATTTATAGCTGACTACCTATAGTTGATTCTAGCAAAGGTAGCGTGATTTTCATTTAGTGCATTGATTTGTTTGATATCTTGTCTTGGTTGATTGGTGAGATTTTCTTTATTGACAATATGCACCATGTTTTGTATGGCAGTCAGTGTTTGTATTAAACTGCACAGTCAGTTGTTCTCTTTCACAGATACATTGCAGGCACTGGGAGAATGTGTGATTGTTCTTGGTGGATGATTGTCGGCAAGGTGAGTGGGTATCCTGATGACGTAAAGGAAACTATGGAGATGAGAGGACCGGAAAGGTATACACACATTCGTGGTGTGAATTTGACAAAATGCGACATAGGAGTTTACCATGTAAAATGCTTAAGACGCAGACCCATTACCACAAGCACAACTAGTAAGCTAGTGACAACAACTGTAAAACCAACAACTACTACCAAAAAAACAACAACTACCCAAATACGTACAACAACTAAAAAAGCAACTACCACGACTGAAAAACCAACTACTACCACTACTACTACCAAAAAAACTACAACAACTGCAAAACCAACAACTACAACCAGAAAGACAACTAAACCAACTACCACAACAACTACCCAAAAAACAACAACAACTAAAAAACCAACTACCACAACAGAAAAACCAACTACTACAACAGCAGTTATAGAAGGAGAAACACCAGAACCAGAGACTGAGGAAGAAGCCAAGTTGTACAAGCAGCTGGTACCACCAGCTCTGGAGAATGGGAGAGTCACTTTTGATGGTGACCCCAAATCTTATGCCATACATTCGGTCAAGGGACAGCACAGAATAATGCAGTATGCCTTGAATATCCGCTCCAAAATCAAAAAGATTGAAGATCAGCACAAGAAGAATTTTTATCTACGGCTTTTTTCGACAAGAATGGACCAGTTCCTTGTCCACTACATAGAACAGTCTCGGGAAGCCAGCAAGAAAGAGCTGCATAATAAAGGTAACCACTTGTTCCAAGTCTATTCAGGATAACTTTTTTGATGATTCACAATATTTATTTAAAATTTAGATATTTGCATAACGAGAAATAGCAGTTTTAATAGTTTTCTTTGATGGTTCGATATGTTTTGATTACAAAAGGTCATCAATAGTAAGTAACAGGAATCAAAGTAATCTACTATGTGTGAACACTTTGATAGAAAAGGAAGACCATGATCGGCTCATTCAAATAAAAAATCTGAAAAAGAAGCTGAAAAGTAAAAAGAAACTCATTGCTAAACTTAACAAGGAAAAGAGAGGACGAGAGAAGAAAATTGAAGGTAAAAAGCAACTTTCCTGTAACATGTTATCTACAAATATAATTGGTTATAAGGACAGTGTGAACACTTCTTTTTTGTATATATAAATCAAATATTAGTTGTTTTTGTAAAGATTAATGAAGTCCATTTGACTTCCATCCCTTTTCAGCAAGTTGGTCTTTTTTGAAGACACTTATATGAAAAAAAATTGTCTAGTTTGTAAACAATAAAAAAAAAATTAAAGGTTTTACTTGAGGCAGAAACACTCTTGGACATGTGTTCAGTTTCATCATATTTTGTATTTGTAGATTGTGAGGAGGACAAACTTTCTGCTGAAAGAAAGAGAAAAGCTACAGAACGTGCTGTAAGTATGAGACGGTGAATCTGCTTCAAATCCCAGGTGCCACTGCTGTACGCTGTTTGCAGTTGTAAATTCTGAATCAATTCATTAAAGTGGCTTATGAGTCAGTACCATCCTGATTTTTAAAATTATATTTTTTCTTACTTGTTCCTTTTATTTATTATTAATATTTTTGTTTTATTAGTGATTATATTATTTTTTATTAATTTTTTTTAAACAAAAAATAAAATAGATAAATAAAAATAATAATAATAATTATTTATCACTGATGAAAATTTATGTGAGGTGGGACTAATTTTTATCCTTGTCTCAATTACAGAGATTCCACATGCCCCCTGCTGTTATTGTTGACAGTGTTACAAGATTGTTGTCACTGCGTGGAGCTATTCCGGAAGTGTATTTTTCTTTTCTACATTGTTTTTATGGCTAGCTGTAAATATGTAATGAAACTTAAAAGTTTTATTCTTTGTTGCCTTTTCCAGGCCAAGCGAGCTGCAATAAAGGCAGAGAAAAAACTGAGGAACATGATGATGCTGTTCATAATTATTGCTGCTTCCGTTCTCTTCCTGGTGGTCGTTGTGCTAGTGGCTTATAGATGTGTAAGTGGACCGCTTGGACTAAGAGCTGAGGTGGTGTTTTACAGAGGCGGATCCAGAGTTATTTTCTGACAGTATTCCAAATTATCTTTGTTGATCCATCCTCCATTTTTGACCGTCTTCCGACAGAAAAGATTAGATACCTGTCAATGTAAACTTGAAAACCTGACCGTCTTCCGGAAGACCCAGGAGACGGCCTAAATCCGCCCCATATTTTAATACACAGAAGGAATAAATATAATAGTTGATGGATGAGAAAAAGAACAAGTTAGTAAACAACAAGCAACACAGATGAAAGCTGACCAAATTGTTAAGTTGAATTAAATTTGGCAATAAAGGATACTGGAGGAGACAGGATTGTGCTGGAAGTGACTAGAATGGTGTAAGGTAGGAAGCTGTCGTTCATTTTTAGCTGGAAGTACACAGGAGTGGAGCTTTGCATGCAAAGTTTAAGTGGATTTTCTGATGGCATGGTTTGATTATATTTTTTTCTTTTGGCATTTTGAGCAGAGGATGCTTTGTAGAAATATGGGGTATATGATATGAAATAGTGTTAGGAAACTTGAAGGTGCAAAATTGTGCTTATTTTCAGTCAGCTTGTTTTCTGATAACTTGCTGCATTGGCGACATCATTAATGAGACTTGCTACTGGAATTTTTTTTTCTGAATTTAAACTTGAATTGTTTCCAGAATCAATGAAGTATTTATTGATATTCAATTTGCTATTGAGGAGATGAAGACAACTGCATTCTTCCAAATAGTTTTGCCCTAAGACGTTTTTTAGCAAGTGTTATTGATGTACTAGGTACTGTTGTTGATTAATCTTCAGCAAGCACACCACCTTTTTATTTCCATAACCAAGACAATATCAAGATAGATAAATAGAATTTATTATATTAATCTTAGTGCATGATTGCTGTTTGTTAAACTTATCTGAAGAAAATTGAAACTTTTATAGCATAAAATGACAGGACCTTTATCAGTATTGCAATAATCCTATTCCCCGTACCCTGCCTGTCCTTGGTAGTGAGCTGTAATGACACAGTTTGAAAAGAGCCGGAATAATAATGCAAGACTCCCTATGTCAGGAAGCCATTGGAAATGAATGCTGTATATGAAAAACCTCTGCTAGCTTTTACACAGGTTTTGATCTTTGGCTCTTTCCAAAATTGTTACAGAGTTATAGCAAGTGTCAGGAAAGGAAGACTAAAGGTTGGCTTATCCAGGGAAAATGCCGTTTACCCTGGGATAGTTAGTTAAATATAAATTTTGGCACCAAAGTCCTTATTTGTGTCCCTTTCGTACCTGAAAAGATTGGCTAGATCTGGTGTAAATAATCAGAGATAATTTGTGTTACAGAGGTAATTTGTGTTACAAGGCATTTATTCAGTGCTGTTTCTTAAACAGTTCTAGTGACTGATGTGAACCTATATTTCAGACATGTGGCAAAGATGCAGAGAGGGAAGCAGATAAATGGAACTGCTTTAGGTGAGTACAGCTTTATTTTTTTATCAGATTTATTTAAGATGCATTTAAAGCAATTTAACATGTCAAGTCAAATACCAAAGAGTATAGTTTTATATTTCCAGAAAAAAATTATATTTGAAAAGATATTTCCTGCTTTCTTTGCATGCTATATATAAAAGCCTAGGTTGTTTTTTATGGTGTAATTATTCAAGTTGTATTAATTTTAAATATCACAATGGGCTGACATGATGTTGCTTCGATGTTAAGTCATGGCATGTGAAATTAGTATGACAATATTATATCTGTTACTTACACTCATTAGAGAAACCAATGTAAATTTTAATGATTGAAAGTTTTATCTTTAAAATTAATTTTCTTGCCCTGCAGAATTTGTTGCAGAGGGGGGGCAGGTGATGTAGAGGACAACACTAAATTTGAAAAGATGAAAAAACACAAGAAGAAAGAAAAGGTATTTTTTATATAATCATTACATTTTATATAGCTTGTTTGTTTATATATATATATATATATCGCGAGGGGCATACATCTAAGCTAAGTCAAGAAAAGTCTGAAGAAATGCATAAGTAGTTCATTGAATCACTGTTTGTTTCATGCCAGAATACTCTGGACATGTGAATAAACTAGAAAAAAAATACAAATCACAATGTGAGCTGTTAAATATGAATTAGTTATAAATACTGTCTTTAAAGGCTCTTATTTAATGCTTATGTGGTTTAAAAAGGGAGATGAAGATGAAGAATTGCTGATAAAATGTCTTTAAAGGCTCTTCTGTATGTGAGTATTTGATAACAACTGTTATAGTTATTTGACTAAATAATTTTTTTTTTTTTTGATAAATGGTTGTTTTGGTTTGAAAAGGGAGAGGGAGATGAAGAATTGCTGATAAAATCAGAGTCTGCAGAGAACCTGGAAGAAACTTCACCCTCACAAAAATCCTTGCAAAAATCTGTAAGTACTTGAAAAAAAGAAAACAAAAAACAACTAAACTGTTAATAAGTGTTTCTATTAAAACTGAAATAAAGAAACAATGCTGTATAATTGTTGATTTTTTAAACAAAATTCAGAACATTACTTAACTATCATTTGAGATGATATACACCTGTGGCTTTCAAAGGTTTTTAATTAAATGGTTTGTGCCCGATTCGATTGCATGCATGCAAAAAAAGAAAAAAAAAGAAGGTTCTTAGCAAAAACTGGAATTTTCACTGGCTACATGTAAAATTTACCAATAATCTTAAAAGCTGCTCCCCTTGATTTTTTCTGTCCATTGGGCATTTTTCTTCTTGACATATTTGCCTATTAATAAATATATAATTGTGACCATATATTTGTTAAAAGCTTTGAAAGCAATCTGAAAGAGTCCACTTTACATTGTTTGCTGTCCATTTTTAGCAGTGCAAGCTATTAAAGAATTATTGTGAAACAGGCCATCATGTCAATGGGCAGTTGTGGGACAGACATCTCACACAATTTCTTTTTAAAAACTTTTACAGGGTGAGGCAATCTACATGACCCCAGAACCATTCAGGAAGACCAGCAGTGTGGCTTCTCATGGCTCACAGGGAAGTAGAAAGGTGAGGTCACAGATGCAGTCTGTGACATTGAGCACAGGTCCCAGTTTTTTTAAAGAAAAAATAATAATTAAATAAACCAGTCATGTTGACTAGGATATCCATGAGACTCGGTGTTGTAACACTGTTCCTGATAGGGTAAGATGTGTACATGTGTCCAATGTAATTAAGTTCTTAGCCAGAGAACCTGACAAGTTTTTTTTTTTTTGTGAAACAGGGGCCAGGTCTTGGCAAGTATACTAGACTGTAGATTTGGCACCAGATCTAAAAAACGAGAAATTGAGATTTTCAAAGTTATTCAGATTTATGTATTATTGTATTATTATTATTATTATTACCAATTTGCAACCCGAGGGTTGGATAATTACAATCATTGCATCATAGTTGGATAAAACCATTAGTAAGTAAGAATAAAGGAATATTAAGAGACATATGTAAGCAAATTTAAAACAAAATATCTAAAATGCAAGGTTAAAAAAGAAAAGTCTATCAGTTAATGAAACTTGTATATAGCACTTGTTAAAAAGTCACTCATTGATCGTTTGGTTTTAATTTTGGGTCTTTTGAAAGTTTCCTGTTCCCTTAATGAATATTTGACATTTTGTTTTGGTTGTAAAAGATAATACAGTCTATGATCCGGTTCATTTGATATTTATTGCATGCACTGAGCCGTCTTTCACTCTGTAGTTCAAGTTAACTATGTTCACAAGCAGCATCATATTCAAGATCAGGATAAATTATCTTAAGAGCTCTTTCTTGAGACTTTTCTACTAATTAAGGCAGTCAATTCATTCGTTAACCCAAAGTGCCAGACAGGGGCAGCATATTCCAAAACCCTATGACTGTGTGGTAATAAGTTACAAGGTCATCAGTTGTAAGGCCTGCATGCTTAAGGTGCTGTAAGAAATAAATCCTTTTGCATGCTTTTTTAGTGATTTTGTCTAGTGATTTAATTTAAAACCATTAATTTTTCTCGAGAAAAAATTTATTAATTTTTTTTTATCATTATTTACATTGGCACAGGGAAGCAGGGCATCCGTTAGCTCAGTGAGATCAGTTGGTGGTGGTAGTGGTCGGGGATCCAGGCAGAGCATCCCTGGCTCTCAGCAGGGCTCACAAGAATACCTTTCAGAATCCACGAAAAGAAAGAACAGGCAACATGTAAGGTTTGGGTTAATAGCGTTCACTGCTTCAAGAAATATTTTTGCACGTCTGCATTGGCTTTGATGTAATAGGTCTAGAAGTAAACTGTAAATTAAAGTACTAAGACTGAAAAAGTCAGATAAAATATAGCACACTTAGGTCAGTTGGCAAGGGTTTTATCTGCACTGTTGAGAATTCCATCCCTACTATTATAAACATTAAGACTTTCTTCATAATCGGTGGTTGATCAATGTGGTATTTACATCAGATATTTGGTTCTTTGGAAAATCATGGGTTAATTGTTCCATGCATGCACAATTGATGGACATTGTATATAAAGATCTGTAGTTTATCAGTCTAAAACAAAATACTAGCAGTAATGTATCAACATTGTCAAAAATAAAGATGAAAACATAAAAATGAAAAGGTTTCTAGTTTTGGCTATGGGCAGGTCAAAGTATAACAACATTTGATATTTGATGACCAATTAAAAAAGATTAGATGACCCATGGTGTTGTATTAGAGATTAATGGACCATCACCTAGTTATCACACGCCTCAGCTTGTCCTACCACAAACAACAGAAGTTTTCTCATAAAGAAGTAGAATTTTAAGTAATCTGTGAATCTCAACATGCAGATGGACAGCCCAGGAACATAACCTCTCGTTTCTGCTAATATGGGGAGCTTCACTTTAGACAAGATGCAACCTGATAATGTATTACTGTTTAGTAACACAGGTCTGTATTATTATTACTTCAGATGATATGTGGCTGCGGTGACACATGTGAAAAGTGTGCTCCAGTTTATGAAGAGATGTCGAGAAGTTTGAAGAAGGCCAAAGGAGATGTGAGTAACATTGAACTGATTTGAGCTGTTTATTAGTAATAGCTAAAAGAAAATCACAGGGATCCGTAAAATATTGTACTTGTATTTTTTTCTGCTGTTCGTGGGTGTCGTCAAATCTACTTGAATGTGTCATTGTTGTAATTTACAGTTTGGTTGGTTTTAGTCACAGAAATTTTTAAACAACAATTTTAAAAAATATTAAATAAGTTTTTAGAAGAATGTAACATCATTAGGCTCTTTTCTATTCTTTTATACAACTTTTGTAGCAACATCTTACAATGTTTATCTTGAAAACAAATTTTTGAATATTTTCATGTAATATATAAAATGTTATTAACTGTGTACAAACATTCTTCTTCCAGCGTCTCAGAGCCTCCATGCTGAAACGGCAGCCCAAATCTGAGGACGGTTCCCGCAGCAGCGTGAGAAGCGCCAAGGAAGAGGTGACCGAGGAAGTGACAGAGATTGTGGAGGAAGAAGTGGAGGAAGTGGAGGATGCTGCTTCTGGTGACTCTAGTGAGGCAGCCAAGTCTGACACGGAGTAAAAGTACCCTCTCTAAAAGTCTATGATAAGGACAGATGTGGACATTTCACACCTTCCATTTTTCCACTGATGATAGTACAAACCTTGCTCAGCAAATCATTTACCCAGGATAATAACACTAAAGCCTGATACAGAGAAGTTTATTTATTAATGACTCAGTACTGTACAGTATGAGATGACCATGGTTTTCCTGGGCGGACAGAAGTGGTGCTTATTGTCCAACTTGAGTGAGCAGCCAACCCTGATACTAAGGGAACTCTTTCTGGTTTAATACAATCTCAAATCCTACAGAAAACTTTTAACTGTTTTACTTCACTAAAAAAATCCCATTTAGGACTACATTTACTTATAGAAGACAGATACTGTTCAGTTTACTATGTATGTTATAGTAAACAGAATGTATTTTAATGAATTGGAGTTTCTTGCTCCCCATTTTTTTTTTTACCTTACTAGGTAGCATAATATTTGTATTATTTGTGATAGTAAATTCAACCTTGTTTATAGTGTAAATATTTTACTTGTTCATAACCAAACCTTAATATTAGAATCTGTTTTGTGAATCTATTTTTTAAGCTCAGCATAAAAAAGAAAAAAAAAAAAAAAAAAGAATTTTGCACTTGACCAAGGGCTTATTCAGCTAAAAATAAGTCTTGACATTATTTGTTAAGCATTTGGTTTAAATTCAATTTAAATGTATTATGTACATTTGAGCCCAAGTTTGTGAGGAGTCTTATCAAGTTGAATTAACATTCGAGTAAACAACAAGTTCTCAGATATACTTGGCATAGCTCTAGTTAAGCTTCTTGAAATATCACGAAGGCAAAATCCCAGGACAAAATTATAAAAGGAGCTCAAACTTTTGTGAAAATAAAAAGTTGTTTAGGGTTGTTCATGTGAATGTTTTGAATACTGCAGCAAAGGATGCTATCCTCTTTTTTTCTTTCATAATATTTCCCTTCACATAGACAAATATACTACTATTAAATTAATTTGTTAGAGTTGAGAGCTATTTCATTCATGCTTTCCCCAAATTTTAGACTATTGGTGATTACTGACCATGTTGACCATTTACTGACCTTTTATTGATCATAGACTGCACACTGCTTGGGAACAGTAGTGTCTAAAGAAACCACAAGAATTGATTGCTGCTTAGCCTGACCAAATGTCGTCTTGTAGTATCAGATAATATAACTTTTAATTTACTCCAAAAAATACCACAGGGTTGTTTCACTATTTGCCTTCATTTTTCATTTCATCACAAACTGGAGGGACGAGTTAGAGGGTCATGTTTACAACCAGAAATTTAAAGATGCAGTTAAAAAAAAATCCTTTTTCTGCTGCCCAAGTGATTAATTTTAGTTCAACTTGGTTTTTTGGCATGTGGATTTGTTGTGGAAGTTACTGATAGTAGCAATTTGTACATGTGACAGGGAATATACGTTAGCTGTACTACTGCTTGTTATGTATGTTTTGACACAAGTGTATAAAATGATAAATGTTACAACATCATACATGATTTATTACGTACCAAGAGGAACAGAAGATTCTAGAAATTTTGATATAAAATGAGCCCTGGGCTCCGCATCTCGAAAGGTTCGCTATGTTGCGCACGTGCGCAAGTGTCTCGATTCCATAACCGATTCTATTTCGAGATACGGGGCCATGGAATCGAGACGCTTGCGCACGTGCGCAACATAGCGAACCTTTCGAGATACGGAGCCCTGAAGTCTATTTCAGGCAACTGACTGGCAAGACTATTTTTCCAGGAACATTATTCTTGACATCTGTGAAACTGGGACATTTGAAGTCCATTTCCCAAACATATTTCACAATGACCCAATCAATCCAAGCCTTTGTCATTTATCGTGTATATCCCTTCCACTATCTCACAGAGTTTGACAGTTATTTGAATTTCTTTATTAATAAATCTCACAAGTTTTCTATCACATCCTCTGTGGTCGCAAATTTCTTCTTGTCTGCAATGTCCTCATTTCTATGAGTCCCATCACAGTAAGGTCTATTGTCACTTTGTTTACACTGGCACAGCCAATAGTCCTTGGTCTCTTCCACCTCAAACCTAATGGGGCGGAATTTCATGTGTGACTTGGTGAATGATGATCCATCCAACTTTTTGTGGCTGCCATCACACATTGGCTTAAAAAAAAAGGTTGAAACACACTGTCAGCATCTGATCATTTACAGTGTAATTTAAAGCAGTTTTTAATCATAAGAAACTCATTTGTTCCCAATAAAACGGGTATAATAATAACTTACAATGGACCAGAATTTTGATGAGCAAATATGTTATTTTTACAAATCAAAGGAACTCCACACAGCTCTGTTGGATGTATTTTCTCTCAATAAATACCTTATTCTCCTTCCTTAAAAGAACAATTTAAATATATCACCCTCCCCCTCCCCCAACTTTAAAATCTAGGGGCAACCTAAACTTCAAATGACATTTAGTCTAGGGATTTGTTGAAACTGGTTCCTAGGTTTCAATAATGTGGTAATAAGGTAATATGGATGCAGCATGGTTACCACGTAAGGATTTTTTTTTTTGGTCACAATCTAACCTTTTTTGCCATATTCACAAATATGCTTTGATGGCCAAAGGTGGGTACAGTATGAGCAAGAATTAGTTCTCGACAACCAACCACTGGTGACACAAACAATAACTAGTAAATGTCAGTGCAGACTGAGAAATATGTCAGACTGACATCCAAAACCTGTCTATGAGTATCACAAATACTCGTAGTGTGTGGCTAAAAAAATGTCTGCTAACAAGAGTAAAAAACAGCATCTCTGCCCCCACCTGCGTATGACTGAGACCACATGTACACCACGCATATTTCTTCCCTGCCTCTAGGGTCACCTTGATAGGCCTGTTGTCTGCTATACTACCCTTGGGGAATCCTTGCCAGTCACCTGAACATAAAAACACAACTCCAATATACCATGTAAGCATACTGTAAGTCTGTGATTAAGCTGGTCAATTGATGAAAAAAAATGTTATAAATCTGGTAGGGGCTGTAACAAACGCAGAGAAGAACTCGATAAATGAATTATGGATAATATGACAGTTGTATACATAACTGCAACTTTGTGGCTTTTTTGGAAGACACCAATCTCCTCTAGACTGGGCCAATGAAATAATGCATTAGAAATACTGTTTCCCAGTCCCACAGTTTCTTTACATTGATATTCTAATTAAAACTTTTAAAACTAGATAATCTAGAAAAGCAATCAGAAAGTGGAGAACTTTACTAAGGCAGCTGAACTGTCATGATTATTAATTAATGCACCAAAATCTAATTGTTTCTAAGTTGGTCCATATGAAAGTAATTTGATGTTTAAATGAAAACATGTCTAAAATATTTTCAATCAGAATGCTTGATAAAAGCCAACAGAACCCAAAACATAACCTCCTTTAATTTGCAGGGTTTAATCAATATCATAAGTTTCTGATACATAAGAATCACCTGGATATTTTGGCTTTTCCATCAACTGTGGCCCTCTACGATTGTGGAAGTCGGATTTAAATGGTTTCACAGGTTTAATCAAGATCTTTTTGTAAGGCCCCCTATGAACCTTAGGAATAGGTTTACGATAATCTATACCTGGGTTTGGGCCATGCAATGTCTTGGATGCAGAACGAATTGCTCCAATTCCCTGAAATATAATGAAATAACCATATGTGTAATTACAATTTAAAATATTAGTGAAACATCAAGAATAAAAGTACTTTTCATTCTTTTATTACAACAAGGTATATATCCACCTTCCTAATAAAGAACACAATTGTTTTGTCATGATATTCTATAACAGTATATAACAATTACTTTTTTCAAGGGGAAACAGGAAACATAAATATTACAAGACAACATTCACCTTGAATTCAATTACTTCAAGCATATTTTACACAGAATCTGAAAAATTCTACTTCACACAAGATGAAGAATGTCATTAGGAGTATATCCTTTCGTTCTCTCTAAATAGAGGGAAGGGACACATCCCATTTCTTCATGATGAAAGGGCAGGGCTCCCCACATACATGTAAATGTCATCGCAGCGCAACCGACGCCACAGAACACAAAATGTAAATAAACCACCAAAATGCAATGACACATGGAAACACACCGAGTTACCAACATACAAGGTTGACCTTGAGTATTGTAATTTATGAAAACTAAAGTAAGACTTGATTATGTCAGCTTTTTGCGACGCAGTAAGTACCAAACGCAACTTTTTGCAGAAATCTGAGGCAATGTTGACGAGTGCACAAGAGATGGCCTTGTCTGCCGACCAGGATGCTGGATTTCAACATTGAATTATCTGTTTTTTTTGCAAAACAAAATATAATACACTCATTCTCACCGCAAACTGCTGTAGAGAACCGACATATAAAAGGTCAAGTGTGTGCCTCGACAGCATCGCCATTTTTAATCATGTGATTGCGCCCCGCAGTGATGAATTTATGTTGGAAATAAATTGTTTTAAAGTCTGATCACAATGGCGTATTTTTTTTTCTGTGTTGATTTAATAACCAGTGTCATTCTTTAATGGCAAAGTTTACAAGTTTGCTGAACGACATGTGTAATTATAACGTATTCAGTCAATCATAGTTCACATTTCATTAAGTGCGGAGCACAATCACACAGCGTGTCATAGCAACAAACGAAGTGTGTGCGAGAGGTGCATAAAATAGTTTCTCGGTATATTACGGCCCTTTTCTGGAAAATTTATCACGACAAGATAGAAGACCAAAATCAATATGAGTCAGAGACAAGTGTTGCAAGGTATGTAACGAGTTTTACGTTTTAAATTGTTTAAAATTGAGTGATTGAACTTTCTGCTGTGCTGGAGTTCTGACTGAAAAATTGCAATGACTGTCAATCACACTCAAGGCAGTTTTCTTTTCTTTTAAACTAAACTTAAACATTTCATGTTACATGTAAATGCTGACAATGAAAGTTAACCATTTGAAATAATTATTAGGGGCACGAAATTTGGAGCTCCAGTTTAATATTTGTTCTAAAATATGTGATTCTCATGAATAATTTTTCCTTAATTTTTTACACCAATTTGGCTATTTGCGATGAGTTTTAGTGTTCACATTACAGAATTCAAACATGTAAACGATTTTAATTAATTTCAAACAGGTATTCAACTTCATTTTCATTTGAAGCAGTTTGGGTTCATAACATTGGTACAGTTTCAAACATATACCCTGACCCACACTTACTGTAATGCTTATAATTAATGATTTCCATTTCCAGTTTTTGAGCAATACCAAAAAGCTCGCACACAGTTTGTGCAAACAGTGGCAGAACTTGCTTCAAGGCCACAGAATATTGAAACCCTGCAGAATGCTGGTGTGATGTCCCTGCTGCGCCCACTGTTGCTGGACATAGTGCCTACTATACAACAGACTGCAGCTCTGGCCCTAGGAAGACTGGCCAACTACAATGATGATCTGGCTGAGGCAGTGGTCAAAGGGGACATCCTCCCACAGTTGGTGTACTCTTTGGCAGAGCAGAATGTAAGTTTACATAGTTATCATACAGATATATTTGTGTTCATAAGAACACATAAGAATTTTGAACCAAATTTTTGAAAGGACCTTTCTTTTAAATTTATTTCATAAGCCCTAAATAAAAAAAATGAATTGAAGAACTTACTATTTATAACATAATAATATATTCAGAGATTCTACAAGAAAGCAGCAGCTTTTGTTCTGCGAGCCGTGGCCAAGCACTCCCCACAGCTTGGCCAGTCTGTGGTGGACTGTGGGGCACTGGACGCACTGGTCATCTGTCTGGAGGAGTTTGACCCTGGGGTCAAGGAGGCTGCTGCCTGGGCCCTAGGATACATTGCAAGACATAATGCAGGTCAGGGAATATCACAGTTCATGTGGAGACCAACTGCCTGTTGTCTGTGGTGGCATGTTGAACATAGCTGTACAAAATAGTATTATAGATGTCTGTATAAAATTACATTAGATTTTAACAAAAATTATATACAAATTATTGAGTTTCCATTAAACAGTTAACATCAATTTACATGAAGGAAACTACTGGTATTGCAGTTTTTAAGTTTGGGCTTTTTAAAGATATTTTTTTTTCTAAATATATATTTATTTACTTATTATTATTCACATTGCTGCAATTATAATAATAATGCATTGTTTGTCCTTACAGAGCTGGCACAGGCTGTAGTGGATGCCGGGGCCGTTCCTCTTCTGGTTCTCTGCATCCAGGAACCTGAGCTGTCACTGAAGCGTGTAGCAGCCTCCGCCCTGAGTGACATCTGCAAGCACTCCCCTGAGCTGGCCCAGACTGTGGTAGACGCTGGCGCCATTGCTCACCTGGCTCAGATGGTCCTCAACCCTGACGCCAAACTCAAGGTGAGGAAATGGAATATGAGATTTTAAAAAAATGTTATAATTGTAGAACTGCCACAAGTTTAAATGGAAAGAAAGTTATTAGTAAAAAAAGATTTCATTTGACCTAATGTCATAAGTATATATACTTAGGATATAGGATTTAGTGGTGAAAATGTGCTCTAGTTTAATTATACAGCTATTTGTAATTTGGTAAACAAAATCAGAAATCTTATAATATTTTGTGCAGTTGAAAAGAAAAAAAGACTGATATTACTTATTTAATGTGGAGGAATATAGAAAACAATATATTTATTTACAACTCTCAGACTAGATGAAAAAAATCAGTATAGTAACGTAAGATTTGTTTTCTTTCCCCAGCGCCAAGTGTTCTCTGCTCTCAGTCAGATCGCCAAGCACTCTGTAGACCTGGCTGAGATGGTTGTGGAGGCGGAGATCTTCCCTGCCGTGCTGACCTGCCTGAAAGACCAAGATGAATATGTCCGCAAGAATGTGGCTACACTAATCAGAGAGATTGTCAAACACACACCAGAGGTTTGTAACTGTGCTTCTCTTAGGTACACAAATAAATAGATAAATAAATTATACTCTAGCACTTTTGTGTTGTATGATTATTGGACTGTGCTAGTTTCTGGGCTAATTGTATAAAACATAATGAATATTGCCATTCTTGACTTACTGAAATACAAATTGGCATTCTTTTCATTCGCTGCAATTTTAGAATCCCTTATTAAATAGAAAATAACATATAAGGTGACGTTCTTTCGCACCCAATGTTACAATATTTATTTCAGCAAATATGGTATTTTCTCTCCATTTTTAAAAATATTCTAGAAGGATAGCAGTTCATAAGAATCAATAGTCCATTATTTCACAATCTTTTAACATCTGAAGTGATATTAATTGTTAAGGTGATCTTACTCAGTGTACCAAACCAGTGGGTTATCTTAATGGTTACAAACCCCTATAATTCCAGCTTGCCCAGCTGATAGTGAATGCTGGTGGTGTGGCTGCAGTGGTGGATTACGTTGGAGACTCCAAGGGTAATGTGCGCCTCCCTGGAATCATGATGCTGGGATATGTGGCCGCACACTCTGAAAACCTCGCCATGGCTGTTATTGTGTCAAAGGTAGAGATTATTTAATGCCTTTCTTTTCTTTTTTTATTGGAGATGCAGTGTATGTCATGTTTCCCTTTTCTATTTGTCCTTTGATGCCCTCTTCTCTTTATTGAAGAAATATAAGAAATAAATTCTGGGGTCTTTGTGAATTTAAGAACTGATAACTTGGCTTTCTCTAGTGAATGATAAATTGGAGTTTTAATTTTTATTTACTTAGTAAAATAAAACCATTAAAAAGTAACTATAGCATTTGACAATTGGGAAAGTAATAAGTAAATAATAATAATTATAATGACAAAAACAAAGCTGAAAAATCAGTCAAATAGTTGCTAGTAAACTTATAATTTTCATGTCAATATTTTCCAGGGTGTAGTGCAACTTGCTATAGCATTATCAGAAGAACCAGAAGACCACATCCAGGCTGCGGCTGCCTGGGCACTGGGTCAGATAGGCAGACACACGCCAGAACACGCCAAGGCTGTGGCAGTGGCCAATGTGCTCCCGAAACTACTCCACTGTTATCTTAGAGCTGACTCTTCAGAAGACCTGCAAACTAAGGTGAGTTGGGGGTGCCTGTGTTAAAGTTGTCTTAAGTTTCTGTAATTTTTTGTTCTTTTATATTCGTGGGACTGCTTGATAGTTTTGATGAAAGTGTTTCGGTATTGAACATTTTCTTTTTTGAAAAAGGAATGCTTTGCAGTAGTTTTAATGGATTTTTAAAGATATGCATTACAACAACATGATTATTTTTTTAAATACAAATTGTGTATGGAATTTCATATTGCAGAAATTTATATCATTTTTTTTTTTTTTTTTGGAAAAAATCAGTTTAATTATGTGAGATATAATCAAGATTATTTATCATCCATTCCAGTCCAAGAAAGCATTGAAGAACATCCTGCAGAAATGTGTCCACCTGCCTGCCTTGGAACCCCTCCTCCACGACGCTCCTCCCAACATTCTCAAGCACGTTGTCGGTCAGTTCAGCAAAGTATTACCACACGACTCCAAGGCACGCAGATTATTTGTCACCAGTGGCGGGTTGAAGAAAATACAGGAGATCAAGGCAGACCCAGGCTCAGCACTGGCAGAGTACATTAACACAATCAACAATTGCTATCCAGAAGAAATTGTCAAGTAAGTAGATTTGTGTATCATTTTAGTAGCCCCCCCCCCCCGCCCCCCCTTATCTACTACCGCATACAGGGGCAGATCCAGAGATATTTTCTGACAGTCTTCCAAATGATCTTTGTTGATCCATCCTCCACTTTTGACCGTCTTTCGACAGAAAAAAATCAAAACCTGTCAAAATCTGATCGTCTTCCGGAAGACTCAGAAGACGGCCTCAATCTGCCCCTGGCGTATCCCTTTTTGGAAAATTAGAATCCTGCTATGGATGTTGTTGTTGATTATCTTGATAAACACAACTTTGCAAAACCTGTCAGTCCATGTAATGATTTTCAGCCCACAAAATTTCTTTTTAATTTTTTTTTTTATTCCTGTTTGATAAGTAAACCATGTATTAATGATATATCAATAGGAACTGAAAATTTCACCTGTATGGAAAATATAACATGAAGGTCTATACACTATTTCCACTGATTTTTGTTTGTAAAAAAGAATCAGTGCTTTCTTATTTAATCATCCAAGATTTATTGTATATCTTGTGTGTAGTTATTAATCAATATATAAGTTTATTTATTTATTACTTCTTCCAGGTATTACTCCCCTGGTTACTCTGATACTCTCTTGGACCGTGTAGAGAGCTACATGCCGCAGGACTAAATTACGATGACAACTTATTTTTTACGAACTGAACATTTGTAACCAACTCACCTGTTTCATCATCTGGAGGAGGACTGACTTTTCATATTACTTCTTTAAAGTTACTGACAGTGAGGAAATGAATCAACTTTCTCTTTTGAAGAACAATGCAGTCACAGATTAAAATCACTGAACCTGTTGAAGATAACTTCTTGGCCTAACTTACCATGGATTTTTGGTATTCAGTTTTGTCAGTTAAAATAATTGAAAGAAAGTGTTCTAGAATTAGTTTGAAAAATGGAAACAGTAAAAGAAAATATTTTTTTGTTTTGCCTCAAAGGATATGTGATATCATAGTAGTACATTTGGCAATGCTATTTTTAAAACTAATTATAAAAAAGTTAATAGTTTAGAAACTACATACTATAAATATATGTTATATTTGTCATGTTTGTGTGTAAATTCATGTAAATAAATCATTTTGTTGAAAAAGTCATTCAGGAATGTTTTTTTCTGGAAATCCCTTACAGAACGTTATTTGTACTAATAATTTACCTAGTACAAAGTAAGTCTGAGAGGGGAAAAGTAATAAAACTGAATTTTTTAAATCCAATAATTATTCTGAAAAAAAAAAAAAGATAAATAGGCCGGCGGTGACCTGTTGATGTGTTGGATAAATTCAAATAACATCGTCTGCTGCGTCAAGTTGAATGCAGTAGGTGTGCGCACTAGCCTGACTGCAATGTGTTAGCTGTGAAACTCTTTTGTAGAAAGAGACAAGAAAACACATATCAAAAGACGCCATAACTCCAATGACTCGCTGAAGCCGGTAACCGGGAGTAAATCCAACTCATCTCGGTGTCTGTTAAGAGTAATCGAAAATAGCGGTAGTGCGTTTTAATTAAGCTATATATAATTTATCCATCAGGGATATACTTACGGCTTCAAAATGGTGAGTATTGGTAAAAATTGCTTTGTTTACGCTAAAGTTCTTCTTGCAAAATATCAATCACAATGACTTGTCAAATATGAATAGCTAGTTTTGCACAGAGTGGTTTGGGGAATCAGTAGCAATGAACACAATGTTTTCGAAATGTAACCATTTGATAGAATGTGGCTATTACTAGCAGCACAACTTAAATTTACCATTATTGAATGATAATTAACTGACGCTGACAGGCCATTCTTGTGCTGGTTACCGTTATGGTTGTATTTAGTACAACCTACAAAAATTTAAATCGGCATACTTTACCCATTGTTGCGATATGCGTTTATCATTCCATTAACAGCATTTCGAGAGAATTATATTAGCTCTTGCCAGTCTAAGACCAGACTGCAATGCAGTATTTCTCTTATTGATGAACGTAAAATCTAATTTTTTACGTGGTCCATGGACCACATGCTCAATACTACAAAATTGCCCTGTTTTCAGTATTATCATAGTGATAATGACAGCCTTCTGTCAGTTGAATGTTTTTTGGGAATCTTTGATGTACTTTTATATTGTTCTGATATAGTGATAGGGTCCAAAATAATCTGCAGTTCAAAATCTTTTGTAATTCCTACTTTAATGTAGAGTTGAAGACAGAAAATAATAATAAAAAAGTGTAGTCTTAGGTGTGCCATGAAATATTAATTTTTTTGCAATCCACCCCTATAACTTAATGTATATACTACCATGTGCTTCCAGAGTATAATGTCATATAATGGAGCTGCCATCATGGCTATGACTGGAAAGGATTGTGTTGCCATAGCATCTGACTTGAGGTTTGGTATCCAGGCACAGACTGTCAGCATGAACTTCCAGAAGGTGTTTGAGATGGGACCAAGACTATACATAGGACTGGCAGGGCTAGCCACTGACGTACAGACAGTGTAAGTGAAGATGCTCTTAAGAAAATGATTCAAGACCAAAAAGGATATAAATGATGAATGAACAAAGTAAGAGGAGATGAAAACATGTATTTTGTTTCACGGTTTTTGTTTGAACTCTGATATGAAAGAAAACTACAGATATGAAACCCTTCATTGTTGTCTATATCTTTTTTCTCTTATTTTTTCAGAGCACAGAGGTTGAAGTTTAGAATAAATCTTTACGAGTTGCGAGAAAACAGAAGAATAAAGCCAAAGACACTAATGAGTGTAGTTTCAAATTTACTCTATGAAAGAAGGTATTGTTTCAGGGATGGGGATAAACATATGCCAATTTAATTTTAATCGTACGATGAATTGTCTCATTTTCTAAATACAATTTTTAAAAAAAAGTAGTCTAGATGTTTTAGTTCTGTTGATATGCCTTTGACACTTGTCTTGGCTGACTCCTAGAATGTAATGTAACATGTTATTTCCACACACAACTGTGAAGTTCATGGCCGCCTTTGGTTAATTAATTTATGCTTATAAAGTATATCTAATCTCTCCAGATTTGGTCCCTATTTTACGGAGCCAGTGATAGCTGGTTTAGACCCCAAGACAGGGCAACCATTCATAGCGTCACTGGATCTGATAGGCTGCCCAATGATCACAGAGGATTTTGTTGTCTCTGGGACATGTTCAGAACAGATGTATGGCATGTGCGAGTCGCTATGGGAACCAGACATGGTGAGACGAGAACATGTGTTTGAACTGGACCTTGTTTAACAACAGCAACAAACAACAACAACAACAACAAAGTCCTTGACACTTTAAAAAAATAATTAATTTTGTAATTTTCCAGTTTGAACATGGGTTATGATATATGAGGCATGTTTTGAGCAACATAAATGCATGGTGTTAATATGTAATGTGTTAATGCTGTACAAATTATATCAAACCCTTGTCTTGTTTAAGGCCGTTTCCCCAAGTTATGTTTTAAAAGGGAATTTTTTTAAAAGGGGGTGGGGTGTAGTAAACTATCATTCTGTTCCATGGGCATTCTGCTTGAACCTTAGCCTTGTGTTAGAAGTTGGAGGATGCTATGGTTATTTCAAATGAGGTGTAGTAAATCTATTTATCATTCCAGTCTTCTGAAGTCCTGTTTGAAGCTATATCCCATATATTTTTGTTTCCTGGTGTTGTTTGAGAAGGGAGAAAGTGCAATATTTATTTATTTATTTATTTATTCATCATTCCAGTCCCCCGAAGTCCTGTTTGAAGCTATATCACAGGCCTTGCTGAATGCAGTGGACAGGGATGCAGTGTCTGGCTGGGGAGCTATAGTTCACATTATGTGAGTGTTTTATTTTTTTTCTGGAACCAAAGATATGAAATCAGATTCATGGTAGATAAGTTCTGATAGAAAGTTGCTATTCAGAACAACTCAAAATAATGATAAATTATACCGATGATAATAATGGCAGATATTATAAAAGGAAAAAGGCCAATATTGTTCCATGGGTAAAACACGGATAATGTGTTAATCTGACAAAACGTTAATAATTTCTTCCACCTGACATTACTATACCTACTGACACCACAACTGTTCAGAATGTTTTCTCTGAGACAAGTGATAACCGTAGTATGTTGGAAAATCTTGCTTTATACTGATTGCCACATAAAGCGCACTGTCCTTTTCTTTGCCTTTTTTTTTCCAGAGAAAAGGATAAAGTTACCACCAAGACATTGAAAGCCAGGATGGATTGATTGGACATTTATCTGACACTAGTGACTTTGATATCTGCGGATACTGCAGGCAGGAGACGTTTAAGGAAAGTGGAATGGAGGTAGTCAAGACCAGTGGTCAGGGATAGTTAAACAAGAAGCCTTGATAGTCAGTGTTATTGATTATTATGCCATCTCTTCAGCAGGACTTGGTTTGGAATCGTCTGAGATGTTCAGTTCCTACAGTTTGGGTTAACAGCTGTGAAACTGTCCAGCAAGGAGTTTGTGGCAAACACTGTATATGAACTGTGCTCCAATGATGTCTAATTGAGCAACTGTTCACGAGATATCTCATTGACATTATTATTTAATTCGTGTACTGACACATGCGCAGCGGAATTTTATAGTATCAAGATTATACTTTAAATAAAGTATTCTGGACTTTTTTTATAAAGTCGTTGGCTTAGCTTTCGAAATTCTCTCCCTCTGTTTAGAATAATATAATTGAAAATACTGAGGAGCATCCTCCAGCTTAACCCCCTTTACCACCGCCCTCCAAAATATACTATCGAGTTACAAAGATTGCAGAAATTTCAGTGGTTGCCTGCGCATGCAAACATCAAGTCTAAGGGGCCATTCAAAATAGGTGACTAACTAGTCCGTGGGTCAAACATGGCCGACCCACTTGAATACTTTCCCGCGGGATATCTTTTCAGTGTCTATTAGCGGATTAGATGGCAAGCTTTGTAGTGGGTCGCCATATTTGAGCTTCGGACTAGTTAGTCCTCTGTTCTGAATGGGACCTATTGTGTTTTAAACTGGAAAGAAAATGAACGTTTGGCGTTTTTATTTCAAACCTGACTAGTTCTATATATACACGCTTACATTCGCTATACAGAGATCACATGCGGGTTAGTCAATACAGGACGGAGGCCACTTCACTGACAACATGACACAGAGTTAACAACAAAAGCCACCTTAATTTAAATCTTTGTACTAGTGAAAATTTGATTAAGAAAGAATTTTAGTTATCAAAGTATTAAGGCTTGGGCAATATTAGTGTAGCACAGTGAGATTTGACATCTCCAAAACGAGAAAAATACCTCATGACGGGGCATGCGTTTTTTCATGCAAATGAAAGTATTTATCAGTAATTTTGATCTTTTAACCGTTTGCAGGTATGGAATTATAGTTCATTTTTTGAAAAAAATGTTTATGGCAAACAGCTCCGCCTATTGGGGGATCATTCTTCCTCTACTTCCGCTAGCGGCTGGACGTTGAATCTTCCTTGTAACTGATCTGAAAGTATACACTCAGTTTTAACGGTGTATTTCTTTTTCTTGTCTATGTCAAAATTTTTACGGTCACGGTTCGTGCGTTAAAATGTAAAGAAAAAAGTTGAACCATTGTGTGCTCATTAACAAATTAATCTTGGCGTTACTCTGCCAGTTAATAGACCCCCTCCCCCCCCCCACTTCCACGCCTGCCAACGTCTTGTACTGGCATTCTCATAGGACGCAAAGTGTTCCGAGATACATAAGACTCGAACTGACAAACAAGAGGCATGTAAAAACACCCCGAATTTCCAGCTCACATACCTGCCACGTTCTTATACTGACATTCACGAAGGACGTCGATCAACGCCCTGAGAGTCGCATCGTGTCCTTTGATCTCTTGCCACTTGAGTAAACTCTGGTAACATTGCTCCTTCAGACTGTTGCCGTGGTCACTCTCTATGGCACTGATGTCGGACTCCGGCACCCCCAGCTCTCTCGCTAGCATTTTCCATTCATTTATGACTGTATTGCTATGGGTTATACTAGTGTAAGCTTTGCGTAGATTAGCCTCTGTAAAAATGGAAATTAATATTAGAAAATTCGTAATCGTAAATGTGTTTACTGCAACTTAATTCAGTTTGTAGTCAGTCTTAATAATCAAACATAGATTTTTGACGGTAGACGTTTGTCAAAGGGTAAGTATAAGTCAAGGGCATTGTAATGGAAACTGAATTTCATAACGCGCGCGGACACACGCACACAATTAACACATACACACGACTGCACGCAAACAAGTGGTTGTAATTAAGTGATATCACACCTTCGACCTTCCTATTCTGTGCAAGTTTATACCGCTCTTCTTTCTCGAGCAGTTCCGCCGCCAGCTCACTGTGACTGCAGTTTTCGAGGGCTTCGCATAGCTTTTTAACCTGTGAAAAAATACGATTTACTCGTTAAGCTCATTAAAAAGATAGCCAAATGAAAATAAAAGGTAGCAGAAAACTTAATTAAGTAAGCTAGAGCGAAAAGTAAAAAATACTGACGCTTTCTTCAAGCCTCACAAAAACTAAGAAGACAACTAATTTATCTTGGTCGCATGTTTTAAACACATAAGCTTTAGTATAGTAAAAAAAAAAAAAAAAACATTTAACATATGCCCGACAACCAAACTACTGGACTTCAGACGCCCAATGGGATCAATAGAAAACGACAAGGCCCCTAATGTATACAAGACCTGCAACTAACTGATATCGTAAAGAATAGTGTGCGGCAGTCGTACTAGGCTGTAAAGCTGCGCACGTCAACCCGGATATGCGTACAGTATGCCAGTCATGCCTTACCTTGTCCGCGCCTCTGTTTGCGTGTTTGTACCAATGTTGCAGCGCGCCATAGGCCAGTTTATCCGAGTCTGCGTCATAGTTTTCTCGCTTAATCTGCTGGATGGTTGCCTTCTTTAGATGTAGGTGCGCAGCCAAAGCTTCCCAGTCCTCTCCGATCTGTTTAGCGACGTGTTGCATGGTTTCCGTGGTTAATATTCCTGCAAGAAAATAGGAAGCAGATTTTGATGGACAACTGGACTTTAATTGGGGGAAAGCCTTATCCCGAGAAGATGGAAATCCCTGTGGGCTGTCCAATACACTAATTGTAAGTTTTTTTTTTTTTTTTTTTTTTTTTTTGGGGGGGGGGTATGTGTGATAACAACAAAAAGTGGAAATTAATCGCATTCCTCTCATCATTATTTTAGGGATAAGATAAATTAAGTTAACGCCCTCATTACTTAAATCTCAAATTAAATTGAAAAGATAAATCAAGTTATTTGATGGCTATCTTCGTGTAGCTGCTGTATGCTTTCAATGTCACGCTGGGTCTTAAAAAAGAACTGGCCGTCCGCGTTTCTGGGACCTTACCCGCCGCCTGCATCTGCAATGGCACACGGTTCAGTGGTTGTGGGTTTTGAGGTGGGGGCTGCAACAGAAACAGAAAGTCATAACCCATACTTCCAACGTATATTTTTTGCTCTACAACTATCTGACAAAGTGACCCTTCTGCTTATACTGTAGCTAGCTATTAATTAATTCATGTGCATGACGTTACTTTTTCGTTAAACAATCCTAAAATCATTTGGTCGTGTCTATACATTTACATGTATTAATAACTAAGTCAATGGCACAAATACTTCTTTTGAAAAAATACATGCAACACGCTATTTTTGGCAGGTATAGAATTGTGACGTCATAGCTCTTACCTTGGGTATCTTGACACACATTTCACACAACATGACCTCGTTGTGGTTCTCATCCCCCGTGACGTCAGTCCAGAACTGGGCGTGGCCCATGTACGAGTCAAAACCCTTCTGGGCATAGAAGTCTTTGTGGACCAAAACTGCCTGCGTGCGGGCGCTGTCCAAATTGGAATTGAACACAAACTTCAGGTGCGAGTCGCCTTCGAACTGGAGATTCCCTCGAAAGGTGACCTTCACCTCCTGACCTTCGTGAAGAATAATATCTTTACTGGGCACTGGGCCATAACCATATCCCTCTGTCTTGTAATAGTCGCTTGATTTTTCACACTTGTCTGCCCTGACGCAGTCCACCACGGCCATGCTGGGGTCAGCTTCCTTCTGTCGAAATAAGAACTTGACCACCCGCTCCTGTAGATAGGTGTCGACTATGTTGGGTATGGCTGCTATATGTGCTGCCTCTGCCGTGCTCTTGGTTTTCAACACTAATATCCTACAAGAAAAGATACATATAGCCTATAGTGAACAAAGCGCCACCTTTCTGTTGGGCCTAATTCTATCTACTCTTTTTTCTTTTAACGTTTTCGTGTCGTTGTCGAAGCTGTTATTGAGACAGAAAAGTATATTGTTATTATCAGTTATCTTGCACCTTTGTTCAACTGATAGTGCGGCATCCAATGCCGATCACAAAAGCTTCGAACTCGAAATTTAACTGAGAAAATCCTTGCGGGTTGAGATAAATATAAAAAAGCTCCAGTAATTTGTAATAAAATAAAAATGAGATGTACTGAAAAGGGACAGTACCTTTACAAAAAGATGCAAAGTTTTTTTTTAATTTCAGCTGCCGATTCCTCTCAGACTTGATCAATGCTATTGTTCAAATGTACTTTCGGGGTTAATATTCCTAACTCCACGTGATGTATTTTACCTGGACGTTTGCGTTTCCAGAGGGAAGGTCACCACGTCCCCCCTGCCTGGCGTGAACTCCACCCCAGGCACCCTCACCCAGGCGTTACCCTTGCCTTGGATCAACAGGTGGAGGACGTCTTCGTTCTCTTCATCGGCTGAAATGAATGGGGAATTGTATATGGAAGCAAAAAGAACAACGCAGAATTGTTTTTGGATATACAAAAGTTATGGTAACGTTATAATAACGTTGTGTTAGCTGGGAAAATATATATATGTGTGTGTGTGTGTGTGTGTGTGTGTGTGTCTGTCTGTGTGTGAGCACTGTTGCGTGTGCGAGATATGATATGTTCCGAAGAATATTCGATTCTTCTACAGCAATGGAAAAAAAAACTTCCTTTGTTAAAGTCCATAGCTGTAGCATGCGCGTATACATACCTTTTTCCTGATGACCATGTGTAGTAGACGGTCTAGCAGGCAGCTTTGGTCCTCCCTTATCTCTGCTCACAGCGGTCCTTCCCCGGGCTCGCTTCTTCGACAGACCCCCAGGGGCGGGGATGGAGACGGTGGGGGCACCACTGAAGTTGTTGGTCATGCTCAGGTAGAGGATGGAGCTGGCGGAGAGCAGCTGCTCGCACCCCTTGTGGCGGCTCTTCATGTCATTAACAGTTAACTGGTCCATTGGCTGTACCTAAGCCAGAAAGACAGGATTTCATATTTTTTATTGTATGAAACAATGAGAATGGCGCTTTTTACCTGTATCTTGATGATCTCAATATGAATGTTAAAACAAAACTTATATTAATTCAAATTCTTCCTTTTTATTACTCACTTATTTCTCAAATGTTGCAAATCAAAAGTTCACCGGAAAAAAATTAAAACTTCCTCGCTGCAGTCTGGTGAGAGATTGTAAGGCTAGGCTGTGAGGATATCAACTTATTGATCTGACCTTGATCTTTTGTGTTATTTACTTTGATCTATTACGCAATTTTCACTACTTTCATGAATTTTAAATGCAGTAGTACATGTTGTAGTTTCTCATAACCCTTAGTAGAGTGGGTTTTATTTTGTGAGACGTTAATAAAATTATTATTATTATTATTGCGCAATTTTCCCTGCATGGACCATACCTGCAGCCTGACGGGCGTAGACAATCTAAACGCGTTCTTGGCAAACTGCAGGTAAATCCTGGAGTCCACTGATGACGTCACTTTGCCACCTCGATTGTTAATGACTTCCTTGTCGTCCTTAAGGCGCGTCACAACTGCGCACGTTACTGACTTGAAGCTCTTCATGCTCATTTCAATGAAGCGAATATCCTAGAAAGAAAGTTTTAATTGAACATGTTCCCAAGAAGCCACACAGACAATGAACAACATAACTGGTGCTCTGCTACTGGCATTTTATAGGCCTATGAGTTACTCAACCCGTCATTTAAACATATGAAGTTCATTTAAATAGCTAAAGTAACAGTAGCCTACCAAATATTGACGAATGTCTTAGCCATCTAAGAACACTGGAAGTGCGTATGTGTGTGCAAGGACGCGCGAGTGTGTGTGAGTGCGATTAAACATGCCTTACCATAATAATTATTGCTCTTGACTGCCAGACAAAATTGCAGTGTAAGTTTACGTGGGGCACGAGAAACATGTTATGTAAAATTTGGAAAAAAAAAACAAAAAACAAAAAACTGTCTTCCTACCTTTGGAAAAAACAAACAAACAAAAAACTGTCTTCCTACCTTGTAATCCTCAAACACTACATCTCGGCATGTCTGGACCTCTGACCAAATGCCGTCCTCGTTCTTCACCTTCAGCACCACCACGCGGTAATTGACGTTCTTGGGCGCACAGTGAGGCACGGCCAGACACATCGGCTCCTGGGTGGTATTAAAATAAAGAAGAGTTTCAAGCGTTGCTACAATTAAATTGTTATAAAAAGATTTATGAAAAAGGCTCCTCGTGGACACCTTGAGAATAAAAAAAAAAAAAAGAAATCAAAATTGCTTTTCACAAAGTAGCCTACGAAATATAATTCAACTTCATATTCTTTATTTTTTAAAATCAAAATGGACTATCAGTTAATACATCTCTCCCAAGCATGCTAGCTTGGCCATAAGTTTCCCGCAATAGAAAACACCATACCTCAAACTCTAGCTGTTCTTCTTGCTCCGCAGCGACAGCTATCGTGAGAACATGACCCACCAGTTCCTCGTTTTCGCCAAGCTTCATGCATGTATTAGGATCTAATAGATCCAATTTAGAACTTGCCAGCTTGTCTTGTGTCACTTCGTCTCCCATTGATCGAACTATACAGCCGATACCTCTCTCAAACCCATCACTGTCAATGTTACAACTGGAAAAAAAGATGGACGATACAACAGGGGTAAGTAACCCAATTGTGTTAGGTGAGATTTTGCGTTGGATGTTCCTGGATGTTCTGATACTCTTCCTGGATGTTCTGATACTCAGTTTCAACCGAGTTGGCGAAAATTTTATCGAAAATGAAACTTCTGTTTTGGATAATACTATCGAAACTGCATGAACGAAGTGATAATATCAGTCGTGTGAGATTACGTTACATTACTGCATAGTGCAGTTTACTTTAAGCCATTCTAATTTCTAAAAAAGTCGCAGTCATTAAAAAAAATGTAGGTCTACTTGTAGCTAGGCTAGCCTACTCTGAAATGTTGTTTTAGCTGGTAATATATCTCATTATATAGTTGCTATTGACACACTGATTTTGCATTAAAACATTGCTTACATGACAGGGGTCCAGTTGGCGGGATCTCTTTTTTCTCTCTCTTTCCTCTCTTCTTCTTCCTTCTTCCGTTTTATTTCTTCTTCTTTCTTCTTTTTTTCCTCTTCGTCTTTACGGCGCTGCTCTCTCTCTTCATCTGTCTCCCCGGGCTTTCGATCGGCTTCCTTCTTTTTCTTCTCTTCTTCCTCTAGCCTTTTGCGTTTTTCTTCCTATAATATGTGTATTGAAGTTAAAGTAAATGCGCATGCACAATAAATAAGTGCATAATTATTATAAGTAGGCCTATGCATCTGAACTAAAGAATCAGAATAAAGTCCATAGTTGAAAATAAACGAGAGAAATGAAATAAACCATACAAATAAAGTTAAAACCGGAACTACACGATACAAAGCACACTCTGACTACTACACTTCTATTTACTTCTTTTCTCTTCCTCTCTGCCTCCTCCTCCTCTTGTCTCTTTCTTTCAGCTTCTTCCTCTTCCTGGATTCTCCTCTCTTCCTCTTCTTTCTTCAGCCTTTCTTCTTCCTCCTCCTCTAGTGTCTTTTGGGCACTCTCTAAAGTATCACCGTAGGCCTCTGCTTCCGTGGAGGCCGCCGCCGCTGCCGCCGCCGCCTTGCAGGCCGCCTCGTTGATTTCTGCCGTGAACACGAGAAGGTTTTGAAGGTCTTTCGCTGCTTCTGCGAACGTGTCGTGCGCCTTGGTTGCTTGTTCAAGGGCGTGGATTTCCTCCTTCGTCATAGGATGATCTAAGGAGATTAAAAATGGTATAAATTGTATAGGCCCTACTAGTATATTGTGCACTAAGTATATGTTTTTAGTACATTTTTTGATACGTAAAGGGTGGGATGGGGGGGGGGGGGAGAGGTGGCTTTCGGGGAGTTACAGTCGTCCAATGGCCTAGTGCTTTACAGTCGTGGTTGGTCACTTATTTTTCCAGGATGGACTAATTGTTTGAACTATGTAAACAGTATAAGAAATATCACGAAGTCATATCTGTCTAATTATTTTTCTCACCGGACGTAGAAATCAAGTAATGAGAAGTCAAGTCCTGAACAGCCACAAGACGTAGTATTTCGCCACCTTCATCTTTTACCCCAACCATGGATCTTTCCAGCTTTCTCTGGTTGTAACAAAATTGCATGAAAGACTGTGAAGATCCCTGGTAGAAGATAAGCATACCCCCTGTCCCCGAAGAAACATTTCGATAATAGTGCGCCTGAGATCAGTCTCTCCGCATCTTTTGGCATGGACAAATGCCACTTTTAAAAAATGGAGTGGGAGACTTTAACTGGAGCATTGACAACACGTGTCATATACAGGTACCTGTATGTCAGTGCACTTAGGTGAACAAACAATGTCTCAATGCAAATTCAATGCAGGGTTGAGTCATGTTTTGTCAATGTTTGCTGGCGTACGCGTAGACTCCAGGCTGTTGCTTTAGTTAAGGTGAATTTTTTTTACCATTCATCTTAGTTTTAGATCGCTTACTATGCGTTGCGGTCGTTTGTATTTGACACACGCACACAAAAGAAAAAAAAAACACTGGAGCTAACAGTGAAAAGTTCAAAGTAAAGTAAATAAATGTTTTGTAAAAAAAGTCGAGCACCAAAATTGTTCAAACGGAAAGTAAGTGTTTGTTATCTCTAAACAAGCCGAGTTCCCTGCTTGGTTAATATTTATCGATAAAATTAAGACATATAGACCCCATATAGACATATAGACATATAGACCCCAGCAGCTGAAAAATAAATTCGAGAATAGAAAGCAAATCCTATGGTTCATCATATCTACAGTTTCTACGGACTTTTGTTCGGACCGAACAATAAATAAATATATAAATAAGAGGAGAGAATAAATAAACAGACCATTAATTATTTTGGAAAACAAACAAACAAATAAATCCAAATATTGATCTGCAAAACAATTTTAAACGAACGGACATATATTTGGTNAGTGTAAAGGGGGCTTTACTACATAGCCTATAGTGAACAAAGCGCCACCTTTCTGTTGGGCCTAATTCTATCTACTCTTTTTTCTTTTAACGTTTTCGTGTCGTTGTCGAAGCTGTTATTGAGACAGAAAAGTATATTGTTATTATCAGTTATCTTGCACCTTTGTTCAACTGATAGTGCGGCATCCAATGCCGATCACAAAAGCTTCGAACTCGAAATTTAACTGAGAAAATCCTTGCGGGTTGAGATAAATATAAAAAAGCTCCAGTAATTTGTAATAAAATAAAAATGAGATGTACTGAAAAGGGACAGTACCTTTACAAAAGGATGCAAAGTTTTTTTAATTTCAGCTGCTGATTCCTCTCAGACTTGATCAATGCTATTGTTCAAATGTACTTTCGGGGTTAATATTCGTAACTCCACGTGATGTATTTTACCTGGACGTTTGCGTTTCCAGAGGGAAGGTCACCACGTCCCCCCTGCCTGGCGTGAACTCCACCCCAGGCACCCTCACCCAGGCGTTACCCTTGCCTTGGATCAACAGGTGGAGGACGTCTTCGTTCTCTTCATCGGCTGAAATGAATGGGGAATTTTATATGAAAGCAAAAAGAACAACCCAGAATTGTTTTTGGATATACAAAAGTTATGGTAACGTTATAATAACGTTGTGTTAGCTGGGAAAATATATGTGTGTGTGTGTGTGTGTGTGTGTGTCTGTCTGTGTGTGAGCACTGTTGCGTGTGCGAGATATGATATGTTCCGAAGAATATTCGATTCTTCTACAGCAATGGGAAAAAACTTCCTTTGTTAAAGTCCATGGCTGTAACATGCGCGTATACATACCTTTTTCCTGATGACCATGTGTAGTAGAGGGTCTAGCAGGCAGCTTTGGTCCTCCCTTATCTCTGCTCACAGCGGTCCTTCCCCGGGCTCGCTTCTTCGACAGACCCCCAGGGGCGGGGATGGAGACGGTGGGGGCACCATTGAAGTTGTTGGTCATGCTCAGGTAGAGGATGGAGCTGGCGGAGAGCAGCTGCTCGCACCCCTTGTGGCGGCTCTTCATGTCATTAACAGTTAACTGGTCCATTGGCTGTACCTAAGCCAGCAAGACGATTTCATATTTTTTATTGTATGAAACAATGAGAATGGCGCTTTTTACCTGTACCTTGATGATCTCAATATGAATGTTAAAACAAAAATTATATTAATTCAAATTCTTCCTTTTTATTTCTCACTTATTTCTCAAATGTTGCAAATCAAAAGTTCACAGGAAAAAAATTAATACTTCCTCGCTGCAGTCTGGTGAGAGATTGTAAGGCTAGGCTGTGAGGATATCAACTTATTGATCTGACCTTGATCTTTTGTGTTATTTACTTTGATGTATTACGCAATTTTCATTACTTTCATGAATTTTAAATGCAGTAGTAGGCTACATGTTGTAGTTTCTCATAACCCCTATTAGAGTGGGTTTTATTTTGTGAGACGTTAATAAAATTATTATTATTATTATTGCGCAATTTTCCCTGCATGGACCATACCTGCAGCCTGACGGGCGTAGACAATCTAAACGCGTTCTTGGCAAACTGCAGGTAAATCCTGGAGTCCACTGAAGACGTCACTTTGCCACCTCGATTGTTAATGACTTCCTTGTCGTCCTTAAGGCGCGTCACAACTGCGCACGTTACTGACTTGAAGCTCTTCATGCTCATTTCAATGAAGCGAATATCCTAGAAAGAAAGTTTTAATCGAACATGTTCCCGAGAAGCCACACAGACAATGAACAACATAACTGGTGCTCTGCTACTGGCATTTTATAGGCCTATGAGTTACTAACCCGTCATTTATACATATGAAGTTCATTTAAATAGCTAAAGTAACAGTAGCCTACCAAATATTGACGAATGTCTTAGCCATCTAAGAACACTGGAAGTGCGTATGTGTGTGCAAGGACGCGCGAGTGTGTGTGAGTGAGATTAAACATGCCTTACCATAATAATTATTGCTCTTGACTGCCAGACAAAATTGCAGTGTAAGTTTACGTGGGGCACGAGAAACATGTTATGTAAAATTTGGAAAAAAAAAAAAAAAATAGCACACTGTCTTCCTACCTTGTAATCCTCAAACACTACATCTCGGCATGTCTGGACCTCTGACCAAATGCCGTCCTCGTTCTTCACCTTCAGCACCACCACGCGGTAATTGACGTTCTTGGGCGCACAGTGAGGCACGGCCAGACACATCGGCTCCTGGGTGGTATTAAAATGAAGAAGAGTTTCAAGCGTTGCTACAATTAAATTGTTATAAAAAGATTTATGAAAAAGGCTCCTAGTGGACACCTTGAGAATAAAAAAAAAAAAAAAGAAATCAAAATTGCTTTTCACAAAGTAGCCTACGAAATATAATTCAACTTCATATTCTTTATTTTTTAAAATCAAAATGGACTATCAGTTAATACATCTCTCCCAAGCATGCTAGCTTGGCCATAAGTGTTTCCCGCAATAGAAAACACCATACCTCAAACTCTAGCTGTTCTTCTTGCTCCGCAGCGACAGCTATCGTGAGGACATGACCCACCAGTTCCTCGTTTTCGCCAAGCTTCATGCATGTATTAGGATCTAATAGATCCAATTTAGAACTTGTCAGCTTGTCTTGTGTCACTTCGTCTCCCATTGATCGAACTATACAGCCGATACCTCTCTCAAACCCATCACTGTCAATGTTACAACTGGAAAAAGAAGATGGACGATACAACAGGGGTAAGTAACCCAATTGTGTTAGGTGAGATTTTGCGTTGGATGTTCCTGGATGTTCTGATACTCTTCCTGGATGTTCTGATACTCAGTTTCAACAGAGTTGGCGAAAATTTTATCGAAAATGAAACTTCTGTTTTGGATAATACTATCGAAACTGCATGAACGAAGTGATAATATCAGTCGTGTGAGACTACAGAGATTACGTTACATTACTGCATAGTGCAGTTTACTTTAAGCCATTCTAATTTCTAAAAAAGTCGCAGTCATTAAAAAAAATGTAGGTCTGCTTGTAGCTAGGCTAGCCTACTCTGAAATGTTGTTTTAGCTGGTAATATATCTCATTATATAGTTGCTATTGACACACTGATTTTGCATTAAAACATTGCTTACATGACAGGGGTCCAGTTGGCGGGATCTCTTTTTTCTCTCTCTTTCCTCTCTTCTTCTTCCTTCTTCCGTTTTATTTCTTCTTCTTTCTTCTTTTTTTCCTCTTCGTCTTTACGGCGCTGCTCTCTCTCTTCATCTGTCTCCCCGGGCTTTCGATCGGCTTCCTTCTTTTTCTTCTCTTCTTCCTCTAGCCTTTTGCGTTCTTCTTCCTATAATATGTGTATTGCAGTTAAAGTAAATGCGCATGCACAATAAATAAGTGCATAATGATGATAAGTAGGCCCTATGCATCTGAACTAAAGAATCAGAATAAAGTCCATAGTTGAAAACAAACGAGAGAAATGAAATAAACCATACAAATAAAGTTAAAACCGGAACTACACGATACAAAGCACACTCTGACTACTACACTTCTACAGACTTGACATTTAATATGGAATATTTCAGTTTCGAAGGTATGCCTAGGTAAAAATGCATTCTTTTTTCAAAAAACTCCGATCTCATATAAGATATGTGAATGGAGAAGTGTGTAGTCAGGTGTGTCGCTTCCAATTAACTGAATACCAGTTTTGTTGCGCTGCTGCATTATGTAATATGCAGTGATTTAATTGGGTAGTGCACCTTTGGGCAGGTCAAAGCTTGGCTTTGACAAAGCATGGTTCTGTCAAAAAAGTATCAATTTGTCGACAACTACTGCATTGAAGAATTTGAAATTTTGCATGCAAGTGGTCGGTTTTGCAAGGTGTAAAATGAGCTATGCAGTGCTCTGCAAATTTGTTAATCTGTGGCAGAATGGCGCGAAAAAGTCAGACATTGCCAGAGAGATAATTGTGCCAAACGAAACGGCTCGCACATTTTTATAGAGTAATGGCCAGACTGATGTACCTACACACAGGCCAAACCTAATGTATTGAAATTTTACCACCAGGGTACAGGACCCACTGTCTGTCGGGATATGCTATTGCAACTAAACAAAAACCACCCAGTCCGTTCAGAATGAGGAGTAAATTGTCACCAAAACGCATTTTTCAAGGCCCTTAGCGAACACCAAACTGGTTTTAGCTGGTTAGAATACCAGTCGACCTGAGGGGAACCCACTGTAAACAGCAAAACATCGTTGTATGTTTCTCTAATGAATTGGGGACCTTGACCGTTTCTGAGTTGAACACTGAAACCTCGTGGCTTTCTTTATTGAGGTCAGATTTCACTTGTACCGCTCAACTAGTCAAAAAAGAGTTTACAGACATCCAGAAGAGGCCAACGACTAAGCGTGTGCCGCGTCTAAAGTGACTAAGGCCATTAATAGCGTCAGTAATTGGAATGGATACCACATTGGTGCCAAAACGCCAATGATGGTCATCTACGAAAACCTGAACCAGATCAAATAAAGGAATAATCTGGGAATCACTTGACTATCATTTGATAGGGGGCACCTTAAGAACTATTTTAGGTTGCACAGTGAAATTGCCGGTACACACAGAGCACTTTTAATAGCAGATTACTTACAGAACCAAGGGAACGAGCAGCTACCTTGGTAATCAAAATCGCAATATTTAAACCACATAGACAATATGTGGGTAGGTCATTATTCGCCGAATCAATGGCATACATGTCCTACAACAAAACTGGACCAAATTGGACAGATTTTGACCGGTGCCCAGAATGATATTCCAGATTGAACTCTAAAAACCTAACACAAGGAATGCCTTGCCACTTGAGAGCGCTGGTAGCAGACAGAAGATGTCAAGCGTAATAGCGACTGTTACTGTGACTAGACACTGACATGGGGGTTCTTTGTGAGTCGTGTAACTCTTTTACAAAAAATAATTTGGAAAATATGGAGGTCCAAATTATCTCTTTTAATTGTTGTCGTATGACATAGAACAGACAATGTGTTTTTGTTTGTTTCTCTGGCGAATTCCATTAATGAACTAATGTCACAATGATATCAAAGAGATAATTAAAAGTTATTAAAACACGATTTTAATCCTCATTTTCATTTACCAGTCAGCAAAATAGGAAAAAATTGATGAAAAATGATTTGGAAAAAAATATTCCATATTAAATGTCAAGTCTGTATTTACTTCTTTTCTCTTCCTCTCTGCCTCCTCCTCCTCTTGTCTCTTTCTTTCAGCTTCTTCCTCTTCCTGGATTCTCCTCTCTTCCTCTTCTTTCTTCAGCCTTTCTTCTTCCTCCTCCTCTAGTGTCTTTTGGGCATTCTCTAAAGTATCACCGTAGGCCTCTGCTTCCGTGGAGGCCGCCGCCGCTGCCGCCGCCGCCTTGCAGGCCGCCTCGTTGATTTCTGCCGTGAACACGAGAAGGTTTTGAAGGTCTTTCGCTGCTTCTGCGAACGTGTCGTGCGCCTTGGTTGCTTGTTCAAGGGCGTAGATTTCCTCCTTCGTCATAGGATGATCTAAGGAGATTAAAAATGGTATAAATTGTATACTAGTATATTGTGTACTAAGTATATGTTTTTAGTACATTTTTTTATACGTAAAGGGTGGGATGGGGGGGGGGGAGAGAGGTGGCTTTCGGGGAGTTACAGTCGTCCAATGGCCTAGTGCTTTAATTACAGTCGTGGTTGGTCACATATTTTTCCAGGATGGACTAATTGTTTGAACTATGTAAACAGTATAAGAAATATCACGAAGTCATATCCAGGCCTACCCAACTACCAGACTCGGCACATAAGGATCCTGAATTAACCGGTACATCGGTCGGAGTATTAGGATGAGCCCGCGGTCGTCCTACAAAATTTGTTCTGGGGTATAGGCCTAATACTCCGAAAAGAAGCTACGCCGAACGTCTTTTTTTAAAAGTCGTACAGGAACGCAGGAGCAAGACTTACTTCATTCATTTATCACAATTTATTGATACTTGAAACAACCAAGGAACCCCAAAAGAGTTGGCCTACGTGCGGAGTGTCGCCAAATCTCATAAAAAGAAAAAAACGCTTGTTATAATTTATCTGCAGTGTTTCACTCGTGTAAACAGACAACTGTGCATAATCACGTCTCTATGGTGACTATATCTCCAATGTGATCCCCCATGAACCTCAGGTTATCAGTCGTCCGGATACAGGTATAAACTGGGGGGTCTCAGAGTCTATTGAATTATGCTCCGTGCCTTCGTCCCAAATAAAAACTTCGTCCTGAATAATCCATTACAAGCATTGCTTTGAAGTAAAAACACAGCAAATAAAATAAAAAAGGATTGCTAAAAGTTGACCCTTTCCATAACTTTTTATGACCAAAGTTGGTTAAATATCTTGGCTGTTTTACTTTCTAATATTTAGATAAGTGAGCACTGATTTTTAACGTCTGGGTAATTTGTCTGTATAATTAAACGGACATTATGTTATTGTAAAATATTACCCACTCTAAATAGAAATTAGAAACTCTGCATTAAGGGGCAATGCTCTTATATCATTAATACAAAAAGTAATACAACTCATAATTTTCTTTTTATTTGATTTTAAGGATGCTGAACCTAGTACACTACCAGTTTTCAAGGTGTGTGTCAGATTGCATTTCGGAGTATCAGTCAGAACACCGACAGGATGAGCCCGCGGTCGTCCTACAAAATTTGTTCTGGGGTATGATACTCCGAAATGCGATCTGACACACACCTTGAAAACGGGTAGTGTGGTCCGATATACCGGTTAATTCAGGATCCTTATGTGCCGAGTCTGGTAGTTGGGTAGGCCTGATATCTGTCTAATTATTTTTCTCACCGGACATAGAAATCAAGTAATGAGAAAAAGTCAAGTCCTAAACAGCCACAAGACGTAGTATTTCGCCACCTTCATCTTTTACCCCAACCATGGATCTTTCCAGCTTTCTCTGGTTGTAACAAAATTGCATGAAAGACTGTGAGGATCCCTGGTAGAAGATAAGCATACCCCCCTGTCCCCGAAGAAACATTTCGATAATAGTGCGCCTGACATCAGTCTCCGCATCTTTTGGCATGGACAAATGCCACTTTTAAAAAATGGAGTGGGAGACTTTAACTGGAGCATTGACAACACGTGTCATATATGTCAGTGCACTTAGGTGAACAAACAGTGTCTCAATGCAAATTCAATGCAGGGTTGAGTCATGTTTTGTCAATGTTTGCTGGCGTACGTGTAGACTCCAGGCTGTTGCTTAAGTTAAGGTGAATTTTTTTTACCATTCATCTTAGTTTAAGATCGCTTACTATGCGTTGCGGTCGTTTGTATTTGACACACGCACACAAAAGAAAAAAAAAACACTGGAGCTAACAGTGAAAAGTTCAAAGTAAAGTAAATAAATGTTTTGTAAAAAAAGTCAAGCACCAAAATTGTTCAAACGGAAAGTAAGTGTTTGTTATCTCTAAACAAGCCGAGTTCCCTGCTTGGTTAATATTTACCGATAAAATTAAGACATAGACCCCATATAGACATATAGACATATAGACCCCAGCAGCTGAAAAATTAATTCGAGAATAGAAAGCAAATCCTATGGTTCATCATATCTACAGTTTCTACGGACTTTTGTTCGGACCGAACAATAAATAAATATATAAATAAGAGGAGTGAATAAATAAACAGACCATTAATTATTTTGGAAAACAAACAAACAAATAAATCCAAATATTGATCTGCAAAACAATTTTAAACGAACGGACATATATTTGGCNCCAGGCCTACCCAACTACCAGACTCGGCACATAAGGATCCTGAATTAACCGGTACATCGGTCGGAGTATTAGGATGAGCCCGCGGTCGTCCTACAAAATTTGTTCTGGGGTATAGGCCTAATACTCCGAAAAGAAGCTACGCCGAACGTCTTTTTTTAAAAGTCGTACAGGAACGCAGGAGCAAGACTTACTTCATTCATTTATCACAATTTATTGATACTTGAAACAACCAAGGAACCCCAAAAGAGTTGGCCTACGTGCGGAGTGTCGCCAAATCTCATAAAAAGAAAAAAACGCTTGTTATAATTTATCTGCAGTGTTTCACTCGTGTAAACAGACAACTGTGCATAATCACGTCTCTATGGTGACTATATCTCCAATGTGATCCCCCATGAACCTCAGGTTATCAGTCGTCCGGATACAGGTATAAACTGGGGGGTCTCAGAGTCTATTGAATTATGCTCCGTGCCTTCGTCCCAAATAAAAACTTCGTCCTGAATAATCCATTACAAGCATTGCTTTGAAGTAAAAACACAGCAAATAAAATAAAAAAGGATTGCTAAAAGTTGACCCTTTCCATAACTTTTTATGACCAAAGTTGGTTAAATATCTTGGCTGTTTTACTTTCTAATATTTAGATAAGTGAGCACTGATTTTTAACGTCTGGGTAATTTGTCTGTATAATTAAACGGACATTATGTTATTGTAAAATATTACCCACTCTAAATAGAAATTAGAAACTCTGCATTAAGGGGCAATGCTCTTATATCATTAATACAAAAAGTAATACAACTCATAATTTTCTTTTTATTTGATTTTAAGGATGCTGAACCTAGTACACTACCAGTTTTCAAGGTGTGTGTCAGATTGCATTTCGGAGTATCAGTCAGAACACCGACAGGATGAGCCCGCGGTCGTCCTACAAAATTTGTTCTGGGGTATGATACTCCGAAATGCGATCTGACACACACCTTGAAAACGGGTAGTGTGGTCCGATATACCGGTTAATTCAGGATCCTTATGTGCCGAGTCTGGTAGTTGGGTAGGCCTGATATCTGTCTAATTATTTTTCTCACCGGACATAGAAATCAAGTAATGAGAAAAAGTCAAGTCCTAAACAGCCACAAGACGTAGTATTTCGCCACCTTCATCTTTTACCCCAACCATGGATCTTTCCAGCTTTCTCTGGTTGTAACAAAATTGCATGAAAGACTGTGAGGATCCCTGGTAGAAGATAAGCATACCCCCCTGTCCCCGAAGAAACATTTCGATAATAGTGCGCCTGACATCAGTCTCCGCATCTTTTGGCATGGACAAATGCCACTTTTAAAAAATGGAGTGGGAGACTTTAACTGGAGCATTGACAACACGTGTCATATATGTCAGTGCACTTAGGTGAACAAACAATGTCTCAATGCAAATTCAATGCAGGGTTGAGTCATGTTTTGTCAATGTTTGCTGGCGTACGCGTAGACTCCAGGCTGTTGCTTAAGTTAAGGTGAATTTTTTTTACCATTCATCTTAGTTTTAGATCGCTTACTATGCGTTGCGGTCGTTTGTATTTGACACACGCACACAAAAGAAAAAAAAAACACTGGAGCTAACAGTGAAAAGTTCAAAGTAAAGTAAATAAATGTTTTGTAAAAAAAGTCGAGCACCAAAATTGTTCAAACGGAAAGTAAGTGTTTGTTATCTCTAAACAAGCCGAGTTCCCTGCTTGGTTAATATTTATCGATAAAATTAAGACATATAGACCCCATATAGACATATAGACATATAGACCCCAGCAGCTGAAAAATAAATTCGAGAATAGAAAGCAAATCCTATGGTTCATCATATCTACAGTTTCTACGGACTTTTGTTCGGACCGAACAATAAATAAATATATAAATAAGAGGAGAGAATAAATAAACAGACCATTAATTATTTTGGAAAACAAACAAACAAATAAATCCAAATATTGATCTGCAAAACAATTTTAAACGAACGGACATATATTTGGTACTAAGCAGAAATGAAAAATTAACATAAGGGCAAGAAAAAGAATCCGTTTTAGCGAATTATTAATTTATACCAGTATTAAGTCAATTTTATCTTAAATTCACGACAAATGTTTCTGGGCGATGTCAGGTCCAAAAAGTCCGGGTTGGGGTGGGGGTTGAGAGATGCAATGGGGCATGCCCCCTCCCCCCCCCCCCCTTATGCTTTGGAGGTACCCCCTCTCCTCCTAAATACAACACATGCAGAACGAGACAAAACCGAGCACTATTTCCAAGTAGAACAGTAAGGTCGTCCTTGTCTTATTATAACCTCTATGTTAACTGCTGAGCGAAGCGAAACAATATTTGTTATCGTACCCCCCCCCCTCCTCCATCAAATAAAATTCTGTGACTGTAACTGTTGCTAGTGAAAATAACACTTAAGCAACCATGCCTAGCGGTAAAGTTGATTGAGTCACTACATGTGCAAAAAAATTACTAGCTGGCACAGACAAAATAGAGCATTACTAAACGGCTCTGTGATAAGTTAAATGTTAATAGCAATGGAATACATGACATCCCAAAACATGCTCTCTCTCACACACTCTCTCTCGCTCTCTCTCTCTCTCTCTCTCTCTCTCACACACACACACACACACATCACTGCACAAATAGACACGCCGACATTTTGCAAAACACTGTATTGCACCGATTGCAGCTCACCTCCATGTTCAAAAGGTTTAAATTCTTGCTTGAGTTTACTTGTGATCGTCTGCACCACTTCTGCCATCACATCACGGGTAGCCGAGATGCTGTCTGCTGCAGCCATTATATAAACATTACATTTTTTGAGCTCGTGTGAACAATTCTTAATTTCATCTCTGAGGGTGGCCACCCTGTTACTCTCATAGTGCTCCAGCAGCGTTCCGTCTTCAACATTCTTGTGCTCTGACCTCAGCCTGCTTTGCAATTCTTTAAGAGTAGTGATCGGATTCAAATTTTCATCCAGTTCAATGTCGAGTTCTTTCTCTTTCTCTTCATCTTCTTCTTCATTTTTAACTTCTCTCGATGTGTCGTCTGCTGGAGCATCCGCAGATTCGTCGGAATTTTTCTCAGCGTCGGACATACCCGCCGTCTGTCTTTTAAAACTGTCGCCTGCCTTCACAATTACATGTATTTCTTAAGGCACTTTGCGGTTGGTTTCCCTTCTGAATTATCTGAGTAATGGTACCTCTCAAAAGGTGTAAAAAATAGCAGGGTTGAAGCAGTAGATTAATACCATCCCGTTACCAAGGCCTAACAGGACAAGGCCTCGCTCTTCAGACGTCAGTGAACTTTGCCCTAATTCTTGTGAAACCGGTAGCTACAAAGGTAAGCTGTATTTTATAAACTCGAACAGCAGTGTAAACAAACTGCTTAGAAACAGCGGAGTAGCTTTAGTAATGGATACAATAATATGGGATCTAAGCGTGTAAAGGCCAAAACACCGGTCAAGACCCTGCCTATTATTCTTTGTTTACGTCAGCTACTTTGCGGTGTCACAAAGAGTGTAAAGAGTGGAAAGGGGAATAATTCGTGTTTTCATTGTGTTTTATTGAATTGGAATGCTGTAAATCAGGGCCAAACACATTCACCACTTGGCATGATAAGTGGCCTCGGATAAAAGATGTGCATTCCTCTAGAGGCACAGTTCAACACGAAGGCAGCGGATTTCGTAACAGAGCAAATTTTGCTGCGCTTTATTTTCCATTTACCGAAATTCCGTAGTGTGCATTAAAATTTAAATTGTGTCTGGATGAATGCAGATCTGTTTTTGTTGTGCTTTTGTGCCTGTTGACAAATGCAGATTGAGAGAGAGAGAGAGAGAGAGAGGGAGCGTATTTATGTACTGTATGTACTTGTATGTTTCAGAATAATAAACAGTCTACAGACGTTGTCATTGACTTGCATCTTTTATTTCTGTTGTTTTAACTAGTTACACAGCTAGTGTGTTTGCTTGATAGGTTCGCAACGTAATATATGGAAATTATTTTAATTCTTGTTTTATTTTTTTTGTTCGAATAATAGGTAGAACAATCAGGGATAGAACTTAGTAAAACTATTGCAGAATATATTTAAAATATCTGTAAAACTTAATTTACCTGTCGCCCATTGACACCACTGTACCCCTAGGTTATATATGTATGTACACGCAATAATCAATGAAGGTATGTCATGCTGTTATCTGGCCACACCAAAATGTCGCAATTTATTTTATGTTTAATAAAGTTCTATATATCTATCCCAGCTAGGACCTATCTCTGTATCACGGTATTTCATTCACATTCCTATGGTTCGTACTTACGTTCATGTTTGGTTTAAGACCAAAATTGGGCCCAAAATTTGTTGTACTATTTATTCGGTTTTGCCCGAAATTTAAGTATACTAGTGCACGTATTTTGTATTATAATGGAAATTATGAAATATATATATAGCACCAGGTTACAGGGAGACAAAGTATCTCGTAGTCCAGATGTCCGAAGACGAAATTCCGGTCGATATTCGGTTTAAATCAGTCCCGTTTGAACGCAAACTAAGACGTAGTGACTTGACAGATAGCATTGCCATTTGTGTCGCACTTCTGTTCTTTCCATTTGGTCGGGGAGTTCTTCGTATTGATAGCTCCACATTCTTTGGAGGGGTTGGCAGGGTTTGTGCCCGACCCGTTACCGTCCCAGTTCACGTACCCCAGGGCAGTGCCGTCGATCCACTGCCAAGTACCGGTGGTAAACTTAAGTCCTATCCAGTTAACGTCAATGGTTGCGCTGAAATGCATAAAGAAAAAAATGGTGTGAGTTCAGGATCCTTTATCATTCAAAACCACGAAAAGTAGATATGTACAGTGTGTAATTTATTTAACACACCCGTCATGTGACACCAAGTAGAGTTTGTATCGCATCTCTTCATGAGTTAGTGACATCGGAGTCAACAAGCAGAATAGATATTTTGGTTGATTTAACATGGAAAAGATTTTTTATTTAACAGATTTATTTCTATAATAAAGATATGCAAAATAGATAAATTCAAGGCATGGAAAACGTTCATAAATCATTTTTTCATTCAGGTTCAGCTGGCGAAGATATACGGATATAATAATAATAATAATAATAATAATAATAATAATAATAATGCATATAAACATACATACACATACGTAGGGGGCATACATACATACATACACACATACATACATGTACATATCAGACTATCAGCAATAAACGTACAGATTTTACCTTTTCAGTGCAGTAAGATCTACCCTTTTCAATTAAAACTGAATTTTATTATTTAGAAGCGCAATTTCGGGAGGTTGGAGTACAATTTTTTTTAAAAAATAAAAGAATATATCTTACTTTCCCGGAATCAGTCCCTCTGCTGTATTTTCATCCGCCTCACTGTTGATGACTGTCAGGGCTGCCCCCGCAGCTTGTTTTGCGCAAAAGGATTTGGCAGAGTCAAAAACGGCTCCAGCTCCAGCATTTAAAGAGAAATACTGGTAGCATTTGGAACCGTCACTTGTTGCTGCCCAGAAGTCGGTACCGGGGGGTCCACCAACGCAAGCTAAATTAAACAACAACTCTTTTATAAAACGATAAGGCACAGGGGAGACCTACATGTATGTGCTTTCGCCACGCAATGCTGTTTCATATGGATTATATTTATTAAAAATCTGTATCTGGACTTGCAATTTTGTCTACGTGTTGTTGTTCATGCTAATGACACCAGTGCCACAAATATATGCACGCGTAAAATTATTATACTTTTTAATGCAACATTTAACCCGACTTTTACTCGGGGAAATTAGTAATTCTATCTACAGATCACAGAAATTTTCATTAAAAATTTTATGAATATGACTTTTAAATTATTAGCTCAACTAAGTTGACGCGTTGGGTCTCCTTCTCTTAGACCTCAGGTGGCTAACTGGTTAACTGAGAATGCAGGTGAAATATTCTCAGCCTTAACAAATAGGGAGGGGGGGGGGAGTGAGATCCCACCTGACCGGGACACGGGACAGGGCGATCTGTACAGTCGATAATCTGCGTTCTTTGGAAACCGGTTGAAGTCTTCGAAAGGCAGACACATTTTTGTCAACTAGACAAAGTAGTTAGTCCATAAATGTTAAATAACCTTTTTTAGACGTGGGATGCTGTTTACTTAAGTGTATATGGAAGCAATTGAAATTATTTGCAATCATTGATAATGACAGTAATGATAGTTACTATTATGTACAGATGTGAATAAGCAAATGGAAGTTATCATTACTATAAGATGGGAGAAATGTCTCTACTAATGATAGCTCGCATAGGAAAGTAGGAAACGCTCCGTTGTTGACTTAAGTGAATCAGTAATTTGGGTCTAAATACTGAATAAAGCAAGTTTTTCAAATATTATAATGACGAGTATACTAACATGCCAGTGTATTTATTTAACGTCAAATTTATGTTCAAAACTTTTTTGACATAACTATAAAATGTCTTACTTCTGATATCATCACATATTGTGCCATCGCCGCTGAAACCAAACAGACAGGTGCAGGTGAAACTGCCCACCATGTTGGCGCATGTGGCATTCTGAGCGCAATTATCTGTGGCTAGGGCACATTCATCTACATCAGCACACTTTGTGCCATCACCGGTGAAACCAGCTAGGCAAGTGCAGGTGAAACTGCCCACGGTGTTGGCACATGTGGCATTCTCAGTGCAATCATCTGTGGATAGGGCACATTCGTCTACATCGAGACACGCTGTGCCGTCGCCGGTGAAACCAGCCAGGCAGGTGCAGGTGAAACTGCCCACGGTGTTGGCGCATGTGGCATTCTCAGCGCAATCATCTGTGGCTAGGGCACATTCGTCTACATCGACACACGTTGTGCCGTCGCCAGTGAAACCAGCTAGGCAGGTACAGGTGAAACTGCCCACGGTGTTGTTGCATAATTGAGGGCATGGGTATGGTACCTGGGTGCATTCGTCATAGTCTGGAATGTATAAAAACAGCTTAGATCCCTATGTAGTGTTGTTACTTAGTGGCCTAGACCACATCCTAATTCGGTCTTTGCATTGTTAACAGCATAGTCAGCATATTAATTGGCCAACTTATTTACAGGTGAGCTGCCAGTTTTTAATGGCATGTGTCATTAAATAGGTGATGTCATAGATCAAGGCGTATATTATGATACTAACAGGTGTAGCTAATAAAATGCAGTTTTATTCTAAGGATAATTGTTAAAGATTACTGCATAGATGTTTAAAGGGAAAGCATTCAAATCTTAATATTTTTACAACATAAAAAAATGGATTGATTAAAATAGGTAGTAAAGGGATGTGTAATCAAAGGTATAGCAGGAAAAGCTAGCAATGTTTCATTTTTATATATTTTCTGAAAGCCTGTCCATTTTCCCAAGAGTAAACTGATCATTTTGATTACAAAAAGTGGTTATTATCCCTGTTAAAAAATGAGCTCAATGTTTTATTTCATCGAGTGTACATCTTAACCTATGACAGCATGGAGAATTGAGAAAATGGCTTTTTTTAAGGCACGATACATTTTGGAAGAATATAGGAAAAGTAATGTATTGGTATGCTAATGTAACATTACTTTAGAATTATTATCATGTTTAAAATAATACCAAGTACAATTTTTTAAACCTAGACGATTGATGTTGGTCAGTTACAGTAGTTTTGAGATAACTGTGGTACAGTGACTGTGATAAGGTTGATCATACTTTTCATGTCAGCTTTTCAAGTAAACCTTGTGATCTTTATGAATCAAGTAAATTTTAATTAATCAGCTGTGAAAAACTGGGGTGAACATCAAGTTGCAGTGACTGTGATCATGCTGATCAAAAGCACCTTTAAGACTGATAATTTGTTTCTCCCGAAAAAGTTGCGATATAAATGTGCGTGCAAATACACTCTTGCCCAAAATGGCTGATGCACGGAAATTTTGGGATGCATATCGCCCTGTTTCTTTCATTGTTATTGATATTATCAAATTAATATTGTTTATATTGTGAAATATGTGAAGCTGGAGAATTAGTAAAGTGAAGGAGAAACAACCAATGCAAATGTGAAAAAAGCGTTAATTTATTTAGGGTTTTTTTTTTCAGCCCCCCCCCCCCAAAAGAGTACTTTTTTTACATAACAGTACCAAGTAAAAAATTAAACATAAATTTGTACTGTTATTGACAATCAATATGAAATTAGGGGAAATTGTCAAGAAACATCTTCAGAGTTCATTATTAATCTCAATAGCGGGCATGCCCACCCCGAGCTTGGATAATGGCCGCCAGACGGCGTGGCATACTGTGAACTAGAGTTACAGCTTTTTGGAGAGTCATTATCCAAGCTCGGGGTGGGCATACCCGCTATTGAGATAAATAATGAACTCTTAAGATGTTTCTTGACAATTTCCCCTAATTTCATATTGATTGTCAATCACAGTATAAATATACGTTTAATTTTTCACTTGGTATTGTCATGTAAAAAAGTACTCTTTTGGGGGCATGAGAAAAAAAAAACCTAAATAAATTAACGCTTTTTTCACAATTGCATTGGTTGTTTCTTCTTGACTTAACCAATCCTCCAGCTTCACATATTTAACAATATAAACAGTATTAATTTGGTAATATTAATAATAATGAAAGAAACAGGGCGATATGCATCCCAAAATTTCCGTGTGCCAACCATTTTGGGCACAAGTGTATATAGTTAAGCTATTAAATCATAATTTTCTTTTTAATTTATCCTTAACAAAATGCAGATATTTCCAAGAAAGCTGAACAAAATATTAAGAATATTGTCACCCTTCGCCTACTGCCTTACATACATTCTTTTGGGTAATACGTGAATCTTCAGTGTTCGGTGACTAATTAAATAAACATCTACACATGTCATCCTACATGTGACGCCATAATTGCGATTTTAGGGTAAAAGATACAGCCCTGAGAGTTTAAAAATGGGGATTTAGCCATACGTTTTATCGCCAAAGGTTCTAACGAAATTAAAGAGTGGAAAGTCTGATAGATAGGGGGGATTCCAGTGTGAATTGACAGGTTGGAAGGTATGTGGCCAAGACCCCTGACTTGATCAGGAGTGCTGACAAGTAATAAAGCATGAATGTATCAATTAGAGTACTTCCATATATCTATAAGGGCAATCCATAAAAAATTTCATTCTTTGTAATAATAGCTGTTGTACTCTCTCTCTCCCTGTATGTGTATGTGGTGAGAGATAAATACACTGACAAATAAAAGTTGCTCTCTCTCTCTCTCTCTCTCTCTGTGTGGAGAGAGAGAGGGACATAAACAAACTAAAAAAAGTTGCTACTTACCCGTACACGTGGAACCATCACCTGTACTGACATATCCAACTCTGCAAACACAGGTACAGCAAACAAAAAAAACAAGTGTTTTTCGTATATCATATTTTTATGATATTAGCAAAGAAATATTTGTTCCCAGAATGAAAAGAAGTCCTATCCTGTCGGAATCCTTATTTGTCTGATTTTTCACACTTAGACTCACATTTCTCCTAAAGAGCCATATTTGAAGCCAAACCTCACAGAGTTGTTGTGAATGAAATAATGATTATATTTAACACCCAAACAAATTCAATTGCCTATCTTCAAAAACATAATTTGCAATTTTAGGCAACACTTTAGGGAAAATCTGCACAAATGGTCTTTGCCTGAACTTTGACTCAAGCCAGTGACCTTTAGAGAATAAATCCTATTAAATAAGCTTTTTTTCAGTGAATAAGTCCTTTTCTTTAACTTTGTGTGTATTTTGAGGTTTTATCTCCATTTATTTCTAGCACAATACTATGTAAATTACACACCATTTACTTACACTGATGCAATATAATGGCGGCCATCTTGGAAAAGCTGCCTTAAAAACCTTTTTCCACTACTTAGATTTTTCTAGCTTTTCATTATGTTTAAATTTGGATATTTAGCTTTCTGAAATACCTCATTATATTTTTTGAAATAAGTCCCTACTGAAAAAAACGTTCAAAAAATTATGTCTTATAAAACCTTATGAATGCACTTACTGGCGGCTATATTGAAAAAATGCATTGAACCGGAATGTAGATGGGTGTAAGAAGAAAATGTAAAAAAAAACAAGTGTTTTCTATATATAATATGACATTTACATAGAAATCTTTGACCTCAGAATGAAAAGAAGTCAATATTAATTACCTACCCCATCTACTTATACATAATTTTTATCCATCTGATTTTTCACAATTTGTCTCATATTTCTCCTAAAAATAAATATTTTGCAGCCAAACTTCATAAATTTGTTGTGAGTAATGTACTAATTGTAATTAATACCAAAAGTTTCAATAAACAATCTTTAAAAACATTTATTGCAAATTTTAGGCAAAATTTCATGTTGAAAATCTGTACAAATGACCTTTGCCTGACCTTTGACCCCAAGTCAGTGACCTTTGGTGAATAATTCCTATTAAATAAGCTTATTTTTTCAACCAATTATTCTTTGTCTACAACTTTGTGTATATTTCAAGGATTAACCCCCATTTATCTTAGCAAAATACCACCTAAATCAAAAGACACCATTTACTTACAGTGACGCAAGATAATGGTGGCCATCTTGGAAAAGCTCCCTTAAAAACCTTTTTCCACTACTTAGATTTTTCTAGATTTTTATTATGTTTTAATTTGGATATAAAGCTTTCTAAAATACCTAATAACAATTTTTTTGCAGTAAGTCCCTACTGAAAAAAAATGTTTAAAAAATTAAGTCTTATAAAACCTTATGAATACCCTTGCTGGCGGCCATATTGGAAAAAAGGAATTGAGCCTGAACATAGATGGTTGTAATAAGAAAATGTAAAAAAACAAATGTTTTCTATATATTATATGACATTTACATAGAAATATTTTTCCCCAGAATGAAGAGAAGTCCACTTTTAATATCTACCCTACACATTTATACATACTTTTTATTCATCTGATTTTTCACAATTTGTCTCATATTTCTCCTAAAAATACATATTTTGCAGCCAAACTTCATAGATTTGTTGTGAGTGATGTAATAATTGTAATAAACACCAAAAGTTTCAATAAACAGTCTTTAAAAACATTTATTGCAAACTTTTAAGCAATATTTCAAGTAAAAATCTATACAAATGACCTTTGCCTGACCTTTGACCCTAAGCCAATGACCTTTGGTGAATAATTCTTATCAAATAAGCTTTTCTTTTAAACAAAAAGGTCTTTGTCTCTAAGTCTGGATATATTTCAAGGTCTTAACCCCATTTATTCCAGCAAAAATACTCCTAAAAAATAAAGACCCCCTTTACCTATGGAGACTTAATATATTGGCGGCCATCTTGGAAAACTGCCCTAAAAACCATTTTCCACTACTTAGATTTTTCTAGATTTTTAATATGTTAAAATTTGGATATTTAGCTTTCTAAAAAACATCATTACAATTTTTTTGCAATTAGTCCTGGGTTAGGCCATTTTTTTCGCTCAGTTTACTAGTCTACACGGTGCATTGAAAAAAAGCTGGCAAAAGATCCCACCAAACAGATTGGAGACCAAGTATATTTGTGGGTTTGGAATGCATTCAGCCTCGGGAGCACACTGCGCTGCAGTTACTGAAAAATATCAAAGTGCTGTCTTTATGTGGTGTTCATTACTCGAGAAAAAGAAAACTTTAAATAGAAAGGGCACAAGTTTAAGTCTACTTCAATCCAGTAAATATCAGCCGTTTGCCATGTCAACCCAGCTAACACAGAACGTTAATATAACGGCACAATAACGTATATATTTCAACCCAGCTAACACAGAACGTTAATATAACGGCACAATAACGTGTATATATATATATATATATATATATATATATATATATATATATATATATATATATATATATAACGTTATGGTATCGTTAGGGTAACGTTATTTAAAACGCTCTGTGCTTGCTGGGAATGGGGATCTTTAACCTGTCTTAGAAATTGTAAGACATAACTCAGGTTTAAGACAGTTAGTATGTTATATATATATATCCAAATAATGCTGCTTTTGTAAGCCTTCGATTTAAGATATTACAGTTGATCACATCACAGCTGTGTATCATTTTCAAGAGTGCTTTTGGTCCCAAAAGCCATCTCTCACATGGTTCAGTTACGATACAGAAAAAAGTTTAGGATAAAAAAATATATTTATATATTTTTTTATTATTATCCAAATTAAGATATAAACTCCCTCAAATCTGATGCGAAGCAATTTTCATACAGACGTATTTAATATCAATAAAAGTAAAAGGCATCACTCAGTGTCACGGTATTATCACACAGCATCAGAATGTGATTTTTTAAAGGACATATTATGTCTACCGCGTACTTAATTACCTCCTGTACCAGGCGGCGCGACGTGCCTTCAGCAATGGTTACAAATCAGTTTATTTATTGCCCCTTTCTTCCCAAAGATCTTTTCAGATATGGTCCATGTCATGAGGGTGTTGATTCTTCCCTGGAGCGGGTACTCTAATTAGCGGCGCTTTTTCAGTTTTATATATTTCTTTATATGATTATCATTTTGGAAAAAATAACTCTTTAACACTGTTAATTCTAGTCGTGATGCGATTATTTGTAGACACATGGTATTGGAGGTGTGACAATATTTTTGGTCGGGAATGTATTATTATTATTATTATTATTATTATTATTATGACGGTGTAATGTGGTGATCCAGACCAACGTCCTTTCTAAAGTTTTCCCCTGTATGCGCCTGTCTGTACCGTCCTTTAATTTCTGGTACATTTGTTCCAGGCAGGAGAAGTGCGACTATGAACCCATTCCCATAGACACACCATCAATCTACGTGTTCGACCCTACTCTGCATGTAGGGACTTTTGCAAAGAGCACTGGGGTTAATTAAATGACGCGCCTCCTTTTGTTTCCGGCCTGCTCGTTTTATTACTACCCTGAGTGTCAGAGCAATGTAAAAGCTAGCTTGTTAAATATACCTTGTGATGGAGTCGCTTTTACTANCCGGTGAAACCGTCTTTGCACGCGCAAGTGAAACTACCCACGGTGTTTACGCATAAAGCATTTTGAGCGCAATTATTTGATGTAATTGTATTCGGAGGAAATGTCGCTGTTGTTCCTCCAATTATTGCCTGTGTTGATTCAGGTGTAGGCGATGGGGTTGTTGTAATTATACGTACCACTGTTGTTGTCCTTACTGCTGGCCACCAGTTTTGACGTACATTTGAACCAAATTGGATTAATTGTCTTTTTCTTCTTTTAACATTTCCACGACGCTGTAATTCATTGAGTACGTGAATTTCGCCGATAGATCTTCGCTTACGATCATTTAAGTCCTGTGATGTAGATGTATTGTTTAGTGCACATTCGTCTATATCCTCACACGTTGTGCCATCACCAGTAAAACCGTTGAGGCACGTGCAGGTATAGCTACCCACAGTGTTAGCACACGTGGAATTTTCTGCGCAGTTATCGATATCCAGAGAACACTCGTCTATATCATCAACACATTGATAACTGCCTATAGTGTTGATACATTGTTGGTTTGGACAAGGGGAATCGGCACATTCGTCGACATCTGTAATAAAACGTTTACCACCAATTGAATATTAATATCTGCTGTCTTTCCTATCTTCCTTCTTCCCTATCTATCTATCTATCTATCTATCTATCTATCTATCTATCTATCTATCTATCTATCTATCTATCACATTATAAAGGCATAATATAAAATTTAATTTAATTTATTTATTTATTTCTATTTTATGTACATTATTTTAGATTTTACTTGCCCATGTCTAGTAATTTACACTACTTGACATGGGCGAGTAAAATTCAAATTTGTAAATTGAAAGTGGTCATCTTAAATAACTAATTATCAATATAATGCATATAATGAAAGTAATATATAGCACACATTCACAGAGAGAGAGAGAGAGAGAGAGAGAGAGAGAGAGAGAGAGAGAGATGACTCCACTAACCTGTACACGTGGTTCCGTCCCCAGTAAATCCGTTTCTACATACACAAGTACAACCTGTTGTTGGTGTCTGTACTGGGTTCGGCTGGCACGAGCTGAAGAAAATTGAACACAGGACCCCGTTTCCCAACAGATGGTTGTTGAGGAATAACCCTGTGTTTGAAACACACTCTGCATTCTCATCGCATGTTTGAGCAGCTGTCACTGAAACAGGTCACAGGATATTAAGACTTTATGAAAATATGTTGTATAATTTATTTTATGAGAAGGCGACAGATATAGTATTTCAGTAGATTCATGTACAAGCAGAATAAACATCCTGAAATTTGGTTGTGGACTTTATGGCCATTTTGGTTGGGTATCCCCCGTTTTCCTTGTCGTTGTGAGGAAAAATGGTGCTTCACAGTTACAGGTATGTTTATATTCAAATTTTAAAGAAATGACAAGATGTGAAATTGCAAAAAGAAAAAAAAATGCACCAAAGTAAGTTGATACTGAGATATCAAATTAGGTCAACTGCCATATTATCTTTATCTGCAATATGAATAATTGCCGCCAAAGTATAAGAGAGTGAAACTGCTTCAGGCTTAAAATTATTGCAATGGACATCGTTAAGGACGGAGTTAGAGGCTATTTATCGATCCAGCTTTATGTAACGAGCCTTAGTAACGCCCGGATAGCCGACTTTGTGATCCTGCGTTTCTGTGACATGAAAACGAATTTTGACGCTAATCGATCGGTCGAGAGCAGTCGCGTACAGGTTAATGGCAGACCAGCTGTTCCTAACAACCGCTCGATGTCACCCGTGAGACAAAGGGTGCAATGTTTTTCAAAAGGACTCGGTGATGATGGGATCAAACTCAAAACCTCCAGCTCCTGAGGTACTCTAACTACAAGGCATGCACCAAGCCCCAGTTTCACAAAAAAAGCTTAAGTCAGTTCCCTGGCTTAGCTGACTAGGATTTCCATTAGAGTGCTGAAACACTGCTCCTGATAGGTTGAGATGTGCCCACGTGACCATGTAACCTTGCAAACTAAGTTCTTAGCCAGGGAACCCGACTTAATTTTTTTTTTTTTTTGTGTGTGAAACCGGGACCAGGCGATATCACCCAAATGTGTGTATAAATTAATTTACACAGTCAGTTTATTGCATTCTTAAATGTTCTGAAGATGCACATATATCTTTTTCACAGCTATTCAACTGTACTTTAGGAATAAAAAAAATATTGATCCTAACCGGCCAGTCTCGGTCCGTCATCTCCGATCTACATATGATATAAATTCAGATGTCTTATATCAAATATACCAAATATATAAAACTGGAATATAGTAACAAGAAAGATAGGTAAACAGCAAAAGAAAAATAAATCGGACAATAATGATAAATACATAAAATAATAACTGTAATAATTTAATTAATATATAAAATAGAGAGCAACGCCAATAAATGTATGAGTGTATCAATATATAGTTACTGATCATTTGAGGAGAAAGGACAAAAAATCAATATATATTCAACTTGCATGTACGTGGGAAAACTTGACTCTATCTTAGTGTTTGAATATAAAGCTCAACGTTGTGAAGAAGGTACTGAGTCATTGGATATCGTGATTGTATAAAAGTCCACCCACAGCGTTGTTAAGATGAAAAATTGCCAATGCATATTTGCATTTACCTCTATTGCCTCCGGCACGTTAAATAGATAATCTGACTTGGACTGGAAATGTATATTACTCAAAATATAGTCGCGATGGGCGTATCACGCGCAATTTAGGGAATGGCATGGTCCATGCCACATAAATTATGAAACATGGAGTTAGTTTTCACCAATATCTCGCTGATTGCTTTGTTATAAGAACTTCAAGGATCAGTCAGTTGCCTAATATTGATCCAGGATCTTGATATTTTCTCGTCTTTTTTTTTTGGTTTTAATGTGTATTGTCTTCATTGTATGAAACATATAAAATGTCACACGCAATAAAGTTATATGTTTAAAAAAAGGACTTTTATAGACATACATACCCATTTATATATCGTACTTGATGTATTCCACAGTAAAACTCTTCAAGAGATTACTGGGGGGGGTAGCCATCTGTGAAGATCCACGTGGGTCGTGGAAGTACAGATTTAGTAGTAATTGCGATAACCGAAATTTTGATGGAAAGCTGGAATTTACTGCACTTCTTTGTGTTGTTTATAATGTATTTATTGTACAGTTTCATATAATCCCTTTAACTTCGTGTATTACAGACAGCGAAACGGGACGAAGTCATACGATATCCGTGCATAATGGAATGTGATGCGCATAACTCACGTGGAAGACTACAATTGCAAAAAAAAAATGTTAAATTTATTACCTTAAATATACTTCAAAAGTGAGAGCACAGTCATCCATACAACACTGTCACCAGTGTCCTACAAACTCAAATAAAACTACGCATGCCAATTATAAAGTCAGCCGACAAAACGGCTTTTAACGACATCTTCTGGTCGCGTAATCGATCTATTTATCCCGCACCTCTAGCTCGTTACGGAATTAAAAGACGATAAGAAATTAAAAAAAAAGAATTTCTTCCATCTGAAACTTTATGGTTGTGTTGGATAGGGTTAGTGGCGATGATCTAACATGATTTCTCGCAATACATACAGCATTGGTCAAAAAGGTTGTCCCACCCCTATTTCCATGTACTTTTATTTACAAATGATCACCTCACAGCTGTGAACTGTTAAAAAAGTGCTTTTTATTACGGATACCGGGTCTAACATGATTAATGGTTTAAAAAATACAAAATAGTGGTGAAAATATACACATTTTATACCATTTAGTAAAATTTATAAGAGGTACCCCCTCAAATCGACTGTTTCACTGTGACTTCTACAGATGTAAAGAAATGTCTATAAAATTGAAAAGACGCCATCAAATGTCACCAAATTCACACACAATTGGCATTAGAGTGTGCTCGTTAAAGATCACGTGCCTAACAGCGTGTGCGTCTACCGCGTACTGCAATTATCTCCTGTAGACGGCGCGACAAGCCTTCAACACGGGTAACAATTCTGTTATGTGGGATATTGTCCCATTCACCCTAAAGAGCGTGGCGGAATTGGTCAAGATTATTTAGGAATTGGTTCTCCTCAACAATGCACATTCCAATTTATGCCACAGGTGCTCAGTAGGATTAATATCAGGGCTCAAAGACGGTTGTCCCATCCTCAGAGCCCTGTGTTTCTGCAACAAATCCTTTGCCAGACGAGAGCGGTGAGCAAGCGCGTTGTCACAATGAAGCCAGTAGCATCCCTGAAGTCACCTCTTGCAAATGGAGTGAGATTTCTGTTGAGAATGCTACATTAAAATGCCCCTGTTAGGTTTTGTTCCAGAAGGAACAATGTACTAATACCATGGGCTTGGAATGTTCTCCAAATGCGGATTGATCTAACACCTCAGGCGATATTACCCTACACACACCCTTCCAAGAAGCATTTTTCACATGTTTATGGACCCTCTTTGACCATCGATGGGATACAAGAAATAATTTGATTCTGCATTAAACTTGACTTCCTTCCAGTGATGGATGGCCAGGTTCAGGTGCCTGTGGGATCACTGAACGTAGCATTCTCAGCTGATATCTCATTCCATCCTCAAGAACTGACTTTGGGGTTAACTCCAGGCTTTATCGTGACTGCACACTTACTCACACCTCTCGCCTGGCAAATGTTTGTTGAAGAAACACAATGGTCTAAGGATGGAACCACCATCTTTGAGCCCTGATATTAAACTTACTAATCAACTGTGACATGAATTGGAGTGTGCAATGCAAAGGAGAACCAACCCCATAAAAACGTGGACCAACTCCCCCAACTTGTTTAAGAAGAATGGGACAATATCCCACAAAATAGAATTGTAACCCGTGTTGAAGGCTTGTCGCGCCGTCTACAGGAGATAATTGCAGTACGCGGTAGACGCACACGCTGTTAGGCACGTGATCTTTAACGAGCACACTCTAATGCTAATTGTGTGTGAATTTGGTAACATTTGATGGCCTCTTTTCAATTTTATAGACATTTCTTTACATCTGTAGAAGTCACAGTGAAACAGTCGATTTGAGGGGGTATCTCTTATAAATTTTACTAAATGGTATAAAATGTGTATATTTTCACCACTATTTTCTATTTTTTTAAACCATTAAAGTCATAATAACTCTTCGTTTTGGCCAAAAAGTGGATTTTCCTGGAAAAAANAAAAGCACTATTTTTAACAGTTCACAGCTGTGAGGTGATCATTTGTAAATAAAAGTACATGGAAATGGGGGTGGGACAACCTTTTTGACCAATGCTGTATATGTAAATGTAAATACATTTTTTATTTGAAAATATAACTGTTAAAGAATGTTTACTCCTAACGTTGCTGCATCTGTTTGTTTTTGCATTGTACTCACTCACCAGCGTTTTACATTGAAGGAATAGATGACACCGGACTTTGATTAAACACTAGACATTAAATATTATCTACAGGTTGTTATGCCCGAGTAACAAACATGGCATATGAATAAAAACATATGCAGAAATTGATAAAATTGAATGAAAAAAGAACAGATTTGTCCCAAAAGTCGAATAATAAAGAATATATGAAAGTTACCAAAAGCTATGTACTTTTTATCACGAAAGATGAAACTACTTACACGTGAATAAAATGGTCAGTAACAAGATGCTTAGCGGCATCGTCTTCACTCTGCCCCGTCGCTTCATACCATTAAACCTGGACCCAGGACATTCGCACTTTTATTTACGACCTTATCTGTTTAGCCCTTGGCATTGGTCACGTTTTCTATATTACACACGATACGAGGACATCATACAAAACTGCGCGCCATTTTTAATGTAATATTAAGTGAAAACGAGGTCATTCAAGGTTCTGCGCATTATGTGTTTGGTGCATGTCGGTTATGCAGATTTTAGATTTGGCGGGGAAATCACAGATTGGGTGTCTACAAACATAATGTAATGACGTTCACATTTAATGGCCTCAACAATCGTTGGTGTGGCATCCAAGAATAACTGTTTAAAAATATTTAAATGTCAGTTAACCATTTAATCTTTCAAGGTACATTGTGTTACAGTGCTTTATTAACTTAAAACACCAATGATGTATACTATTCTTTTGATCAATTCCCCGACAGACGACTATAGAATTGCCATTCAAAATTAATGGTAGCAATTTGGATATAATTACTGCTGAAGCATGGCGAACAAGAGAAGAAATACACCAGTGAGAAAGGATAATCGGCCGAAAAAGGAGATGAATGTGCTTTGCACCAGAAAATATTTATGAAATTTGTGATATTTATGACTAACACACTTTGGTATCTTCCAAATATTGAAAGGAAAAGTTGAATGCAAGTATGCCTTTGGCAAATGGTGACCATTCCTCAAAGTGCCACTTAATTATAAGTCTTAAATTTGATTAAGTATTTATGTAATGTCGCTTAGTTAAGTTCTTAGATGACTGAATAATTTATTAACCAATTGATTAATCCGGTTATTAATTTATCTTTTAAACAGTACTTAAATGCACAATAAGATCCCAAATATTAAGTTTTTACCTGAATGAATTTAGGCCAACTCTCACAAATATATATATATATATATATATATATATATATATATATATATATATATATATATATATATATATATATATATATATATATATATATATCAAAAGAAAGGGCTTCAAAATTTAGTTCCCATTAGTTCTGGTGTATGAATACATATGGGTTATCAGATATTTCGTCAAGCTGCAACTTTGAACTGGTGGGAGTGGGCAAACATTGGCTCGCCATGCGGTTGCAACACTGATGTATATAATGCACGGATCTGTGTTTTATCATTACATCATTATGCTTTGCGCTGTAATGTGTGTTTCTAAAAATGTATTCTCTTATTTTCCTGAACTACATGTAGCATATTTAAAACTGTATCGAGAGCGAATGAAATTCTCCGCATTCTTTATCTGAATGGAATTTTGAGAAACAGCCTGCACTAATCCCGTGCCAAGCCTGAGCTGGAAAACATACTGACCGCGTTGCACCTTAGCTGGGTCATGGTGCCCTTCGCAGTGACGTATCATTTCACACAAATGGTTTTGTAATCACAATTTATGACTTCTGTGATATCTCCCTTTTCCCTTATCACACGGTACATCAATTAGTTTTCGCACACAGCAAAAGGGTGTGAGATTATCTAAAACGGTGACTTGGCTATAGAATTATCGGTGGACCCCAAGGGTCCAACCTTTAGGGCTGGACACGGCTAATATCAGAACTAGAGCAATGTTATGCTTTCTCGTGCACATAAAACAACCAATCAACCATCCTTGGGTATAAGATTTCCATCAAACAACGTACAGTGTGTCATTCTACAAAGCTACGCCTAAAAATTGAAAAAATAATTTAAGATAAACGACTTCTGTACTCATACGTTTTATTTTCTAGTTAAAATTTAGAAAGAATTAAATCACTACACTATATTTGCATTTACTGACATTCAACAGGTTAGTGTTAATTTATGTGAGAACGTCCCACCTCAGTTCAATAATGTGCCATTGTTCACATGTAAGGGAATTAACGAACATTCCCATACCTGATTTTGCTTCTACCGATTTGAATGTTTTTATTTTCTTTCTAATTGGATAGGCGCAAATACAGGCTATAATGTAATTGATAGCCAACATTATTTAAGCTAACTTTTGATGAGACCTAATTATTAATAAATAAACAACACTTGTGCCAAACTAATTGCGCAGGGAGTGGTTGGTAAATGATCCATACCGTAGTCTGGAAACGGTTTGAAAATCTTCGGATACCAAATCAGCAGATATGTGCATTGTTTTGCAAGCGACACTGGGAAACAAGTACAGACTTGCATAATTTGTGTGTTTACACTGTGGGTGGCAAATGACGGCATCTTCCCAGAGGCATGAGGAAGCAAGGACTGTCGGTTTATATTAAGCTATAAGTCAAGTAGGGCAGCGTCATGTGGTTCACGGGTTTATTTATCAGCCGGATTTCGGCAACGCCCAGGAAGCAGAAAGTGTGACGTAAATGAGCAGAAATGCGTGTATCAGATATTTTCCTATATGCACCCGGATACCTTCTTTAACTTTGAACACACAAATGTAATAAATATAAGGCCGAAGACCCAATAATATAAGAGAACTAAAGTATTCATCTGCCCTCTTTCTCTGCCATTGCCGTTTGTGAACGCCATACAAATTTGTCATAGCTCTGTATATATGTGCATATTGTGAGAAAAGAAACGAACACATTTAATAATCCAACTAACGTCAGTACACAAATACAAGTAGCTACCCAGTGGGATAATTATGTTGTTTTAACGTTGAAACAACGTTGAACCTTAACGTTGAGAAGTCATTGGATAAACTTTGGATTTGAAAGTTGTGTCAACCTCAGATAACAACGTTGTATCAACGTCAGAAAACAATGTTATATCAACCCCACCCAGCAGGAAATTAGCCTGGATGTGTTTAGCAGTAGGACATTTTTGATGGCTAAATATATGTAGGGTATAAATGTATGGCCTTTAAGTTAAATTTTCCAAGGTTTAGATTAATATGTAGTGTTCTTTTCTTATTTATATATATATAACAAAGTCACAGTTACCTCAACCTGTCTTTCTATAATAGCAGGTTACCAAGAACTGTAAACTACATCATCTTTACAGCAACTTATTCATCCTAGTGTTAGCTGACCTTGCAAGCAATTCAGTTTATTGGAATGTATTTCTGAATAACAAGTTAAGAAAATTCACTAGTTAACTAAAGACACAAAACAACTGTCACTTTTACTTTAAAACCGTTTTGTTATTATTTTGATGAATTTAGTTACATTATTGATAAACAAAGTATCACGTTTTCAATAATTAATATTTTAAATTACAATCCATAACTGCAAAGTTGTGTCATTGACCAAAATACAACGTTGAGTCAACGTGGCTGGATCAACGTTGATTTTACCTTGAATTTAGGTAGAGCAACGGCAATTCAACGTATCAACCTGTTTTCAACGTTGATCCAACGCAACTATGCCTGCTGGGTATGTCCGAACCAGTTATGTGCCAATGTTCTGTGTACTAGGGAAGACCGCTAGTCCCTGACTATATACTCATAAATATTACTTTGGACAAACGCTACAAACATTGAAACGCATATCAATAAGTATGCCACAAGACCTAAAACGGAAAATCATCGGCAGCTCAGAGGGATTTGCGAAACAGACAGAAATCGCACACCGACTGGGTGCAATACAAAATACGTATGCTGTCTATGTATAAAAAGAATCAGAATCATGGTCATGTATGGGGGTTTACCGGCCTTGACCGCCGCTATCTGTCTCTCATACAGAAACAAAGAGTCTCCGCCCGCACGAAAATGCAGTAGTATCGAAGTAGCAAAAAAGCATTAACGCAGTTGTGGTGTGGAGCATATTTGCAGTAGAATTGCAGCATAGCCTACTGCAATTCTACTCCAAAGAGTACATAGGTTTGTACAGAGAGAAGCATTAATGCAGTAGATTAGCAGCATGATAGAAGCATGTTTCAAATATGCTAATTAGCTCCCAAATCGAAGCAGATTTGAAGCATGTTCTGTACAAACCTATGTACTTTTTGGAGTAGAATTGCAGTAGGCTATACTGCATTTCTACTGCAAATATGCTCCAAACCACTACTGCGTTAATGTTTCTTTACTACTTCGATACTACTGCATTTTCCTGCGGGAAGGATGACCATTCTATCCTTGCCGGCCCTCATCAGAAATCATGATGGAGATGTGTAGACTTGTCACGGTGTGCTGGCTACCTATAACTACCCAGCTATCGGGTGTACATATTTCATACAGCCGAGCCTAGGTCGAAGAAAATACCTGAAAGACAAAATTTTAAGCAATGTGTCAGTTTGAAACAAAGGGCCAAATAGTTCCTTTAGTCGACTTGCAAACACACTGCAAAAACAGAACTGCACTGTTCACACAAATTATCATTTTGAACTCACATTTCACATAGTTGAAGAACAAGACAAGCATATTTGCCTTTAACAATGATTTTAAACAAATCAACTTCGAATTATTTTCCATTCATTGCAGTTCAGACAGTTCTGAATAATGGTAAATATGTTTGTGGTAATTACGACGTTGATTGTATTATCTATGTAATTAGAGAGAGCCGTAGAAAAGGGCTGTCTTTTTATCTTCCATGTCAAAATAAAAATGTTCACAGCCATATACGAACTCCTCCATTCTAATAATGCCATTTTGGTTGCGGTCAACGGTGTTGAAAAGTTCCTCTGTCGGAAAGGCGTTTCTTGATATCTCTAGGAATTTGGAGTACTCCCCAGCAGACAAAGATGTGGAACCAGTCTAAACACCAATCCAACTCAAGGCCATCCAGTGTCACATAACGAATATCCGTTCCAAATAACTAAGGCCACCTGCCCAGGTCAATTGACTGTTCCACGCTGGATATATCTCCACCCAACCATTTCTGCCATGCTTTGCTCATTATTTCATGTATAGCCTTGGCCCTCCTCTCTCCTTGGATTTTAAATCTGCTGGGTTTTAATTTTACCTCTGACACACGCACATGCACACACATATTAATCAAGGCTACCAAAATGGTGTAAGATATATTTAAACATTGAAAAGGTGTAAGTCAAAAGTTCCACATCTATCCTCATTAG